TGGGATGGCTGTTTTGCCACGTTTTTGGGATTGGTTTTTGCAAAAAAAAACTGGTGATATCTATGGGGTGACCAGCTGGCGTTAAAATATCATCTACCTGCAAAGTGGGTGAACCAGCAAGTGGATACCAAAGGCCTTGGTCCCCCACGCCGCAACATGAGCTCAGAGATTCGGACGATGCATCCACTGTCAAAACATGATTTCATTGGTTACACAAAAGATGTTTCAAATGGATCGAACATCCCTAAAATAGTCCGAAAGTCACAGGTACTCACATATTTCAACCATTCAACAAATACCCTCCGGTAATTCAACATAGCTATTGAACATGGCCATAGAAATAGTTGATTTACCCATCAAAAATGGTGATTTTCCATCGGTGCCTCGCCTGACCCGGGAAGTTCTCCTGCAGGGCGTTGAGTTCCTTGGTGAACTGTGGATTCGCCTCCACCAGGAAGGCTTCCCACTGGCCTGACGGGGGAAACATGGCGAATTGGGATACAATTCACTTAGGGTTATATTGGATGAACAATGGAGAATGTAGTTTGAATATAGTTTGTATATCATACATATATATATATATATATGTATATATATATATGTATATATATATATATGTATGTTTATATTAGTATTTACACGTAGCTCGTTTTGAATGGTCATGGGTAATTACGGTACACGTCGTTTGGCCTTGGAGTTTGTCAGCTCGCTGATGAACTGAGCCATGAAAAATCACCAGCTAGATCCAGCTAGGAGGATTGACAAGGTGATATGACCCAGTTACAGTAACCAGCAAACTGGGTTATATATATATATATACATGGTTATATCACATTATATCCCCTTTTTTGCTGGGGATATTTCATTCATGGGATATATATATATATATATCTGTGTGTGTGTATGATATGTATAAAATTATCTGTATGGCCCTGTATGGCGTGTGAATGTGAAAAAGACATCCAGGTTCCAGGTCAGATGATCTTCAAATCTCAAGGTGTTCACGCAGACCAGTCACCGTTAGGACAATTCTTCACTGGGCCATAGTCGTTCCTTGGCTGCAGCCCAGCTCGAGTAGGGGAGCAGAGGTGTACACTGCCGGGCTGCCCAAAATCACACTGGAATTGAAAGGAATGGAAAAATCACATCTTGCTTTGGAAACGACTTCATGGCATCTGTGTTTGAAGTGCTAATCCCATGTGTATCAAAGTAAGAAAAAAACAAGTCCACCTGGTAGGCTGATGTCCTGCAGCCCCCCGATGTGTTTGGTGCGTGCATTTCTATTAAAAAAAAAACGGCCGTAAGCAAAACCCGCCAAAGTCATCCAAGTTCACCATCTGCCTTACCCCAAGCAGAAAATACCATAGAAGCAACAGCCACGGCTCTCAATGAACTTGGCAAAGGTGTTGCCATCCTTGGCACAACATGGGAATGTGGACCATCCGCTGCCAGAGCAAAAAATCTGGTGATGTCCCCCCACCAGAGGCGAGACACAAAGAATACAAGAGAGAGAGAGAGAGAGAGAAAAAAATCAATCAAATTATTTATCTATCTGTTTATCAAAGAAACAAAGAATCAATTTATTTATCTATCTGTTTATCTGTTTGTCTATCTATCTGTCTGTCAAAGAAATCAAATGCATCTCTTTGACATAGAACACAGGATATGTATGGATATGTCTCAAACCGCATGCCAACCCCAACCCAAACGTGGGCTAGTTACTAGTTGTGTTTCCAGCATATCGTTGGTTGCCTCCCATCCGAATACTCAACTCGACACCCAGCATCTGCTGCTCCCAAATCGATGAAAATGCATTTCGCCTCGAGATGCAAGGAGAAATGGGAAATAATGGCAGAGTGGCTGTAGTCAAACTCAGTGGCCACAGTTAAAGTGTAATTCCATATAATTCCTATATACGTGTGTTCCACTCATTACAACTGAGAAAAAAGGAATACTATTACCAATACACATTCAATACACTATACATGTTTCATCACCAGGTGGAGAGCCAAAAAAACATACGTATTACTATACTGATCTCTGATACTCATATATACTACCCTCTGGTAAACTAACATAGCTATTGAAAATGGACCATTTATAGTAAATTTACCCATTAAAAATTGTGATTTTCCATAGCTATGTTAAATTACCAGAGGGTAATACACTACACAGGTTTCATCACTATGAGGTGAACAAAAACACCTGCCAGATCATCCCCATCGTCCATGGTGGCGCCTCCGCGCGTGAGGACTTCTTCCATGCGGCGTTGTTGGCCATGCACTGACATTGCGGCTCCTAACCCAAGGCGGCGCCGACACATCTGGACACATCTGGACACCGGAAGGGATCGCTAGGGAATAACGAGCAACATTGGAGAGAAAAAAGAACACATCAAAATTGCTGGGGAAATACTAAGAACATCTAAGAACGATCTTTTAGGGATGACATGGGATGTCTGTAGTATCATGAAGCCTACCTAATTCGACTAGTTGTTTTGATTCCTTAATAATTATTTGCATTGTTTTTTTTTGTCATGCGTTGATCAACTAGTTTAGCAAGACATTCAAGGAGGTATGCAACTCATGTATTCACATAATTTGATATAATTTGGGTATGCATCATCCCGACCTCAAAATAGGTATTCAAGTTCGCTAGGCATGCGAAGCTGATCCGTTGCTCAGATTACCACCATGACAATACCCATTGGGTCAAAATCACGTGGAATGATGAGAACAACTGCCCAGTTTATGGGCTCCCCATGTTCCCAAACAATATCCTTGGGCCCCAGCATGCAGTGTGAAAACCCATCACTCAATGGACACATCTTCTCTTTACATTGGCAAATCTTGGATGGAGTAACAAAAATAACCCTTTTTACGTGCTAAACATGTGAATGCGGACAAAATTATATACTTGTTCATTTTCATGCCATGCGCAAGTTAGGGTCGTCCCCGGTCGGTAGTGAGAATTTCTGAGTTCTCAGACTTTGAGGTGACTCATGCAAGTCCCCTATCGGTATTGAAGCTTTTCCACATCTCTCAGCAAGGCCAAGGCAAAGCAAAACTAAATTAGTATTATAACATATATGTAAATAATAACTGACATTTTTTGCAATAAGATTGAAGCAGTTACTAAGTTACTACATATTATATTGCAATAATTGTGTCGGTCACACATATAATATCCCGACGTAATTATACCCCTTGACTACTCAGCCCTACAGCAACGTCCATCAAAAAATCGTGGCCCCGTGGCTGGAAATTCCGGGAACATAACAGCGTCGAAGTACCTAGTTTCATAGGCATCTTTTTGGGGCTTCCAAGGAAAATTCCCTGGGTCCCTGGGAAAGCCCTGGTTCCTCCTGGTAGAAGGACAGGCTGGAGACCTGGTGAACGGAGGATTGTGTAACCTCAGCGGAGCGCACCGGAACAGCCAGGACCGAAAAGCATTTGTAGAGTCAGCAGAAAGGAAAACATGGTTTCGATATGTTTCGATATACATAATAAATAAACAACATATATACATCTATAGAATCTATGTCTAAGGGGGACATGTGTTTAGAGACGTATTTAGGGTGAATGATGGCCTGACCATGTTTTTTTGTGGTAGAATGGGGTTGCAAATTGTAAAATGCAAACTTGAATCATGATTGGGACTCATCAGTTGCTTATCATTGTATCTGATTCTAGGAGCACCCAAAAAGATAGAAGGGTCATGTTTTCTATTATTTTCATGGGATCTTACTGTGCTATCCTTTTGGGGGGCGCAATGCAACCTACAAGAATAATAGACACACCTTGCCATAAATAGAATGGACGAGGCATCTGCAAGGGGAGTAGTCAATCTTATTACATCATATCATATTCCATCATATTACATCTATTTCTCCAATATAAAAAGTGCCTAAATGTCTCCCAAATCATGTTGCCTTGTGGTAATCCAACACTTTGCTACGGACAACCATCATGTTTTTTACTGCGCAGCAAATCATTGACGTAACGTGCCATGGCTTCACCCAGCTCCACTTTAAATGCGCGGTGGATCAAGGCACGTTGCTGCGCAGGTATCCGGCACTGCCGGCAGCAACCAAGGTGAGGGCCACAGTTCGGAACATCCTGATGGGCTGCCGGGCTGCTGTTGGGTCCCGTTGGATCAAAGGAGGTTTTTGGACGGGAAATCCCCGAAGGAAATGGAGAATAAATGAGCGATAATGAGGAAAGCATGGCCTGGTTTTTTTCCATTCTCTTGGCCGGGACTTCCCACGGAAGAAGCCCTAGAGCCAGGAATTTACAGCGTATGTCAAAAGAAACTCCTCTATGGAGCTAGGAGGCCCAAACAATGCGTGTCAGCTGGGTCCCGAAGTGTTTTCGTCTCCCCAAACCTACTGGCTGAATCTGGCTCATAGGGATTTCAGCATTTCAAATACTGCAATCTTGCCCCAAGGAAAAAACGTAGTGACGTAGCATACCGTAGTCACGGTTGAATGGGGATCATGCTGACTCAATGACCTTCCCATACCATCCCTGATCCCTGATGCTCGGTGCCTCTGTGCGGTAGACTGTACGTTCGCTACGTTGAGCTGTGCGGGCCGGCGATCCAGGGGGATGCGTTGGCCAAAAGCTACGGCGGCGAATCGACAAAGTCAAAGGATTGGATTTTGCTGTGTTTTTTTTCATGTTTTTACCAATCACGTATTTGAAAATAACATTTTGGTTACCAATTTTTAGAGACGTTTCTCTTCAACCAATTCGGAGGCTGTGGATTCACATGGCTGTTCAGCATTGTTCAGCTCTCGGGCTGGTCACCCCCAACGGGTACGACAAGCGCACCGGCAGTGCCTTTTTTTGCCCGCTCTCAACCCCTAAAGTTATCTATAATTCTATGTTTGCCCTTAACAAACAATTGTAACCTCTAATCCCATCTCATCCCATGTATATATATTTATATATAATATGTCTATACCTGCTTACGGGCCCATCATGGTGGTTGTTTTCTATCAAGACCCAGTCCATGGCAACCTTTTTCAGCCCAAGGGCTTGATGTCGGAGTTCAACGGGTCCGCCACGAAACCAAAGCATAGGGCATTGGCTCAGTCTATGCGATGGCCTAAACATGCCCATAAGCAATGACATGTTGCTGAATTTGGTTGTTGAAACTCGCGACACAGAAGAACACATCCTAAAATTCCAGACGCAAAATACAGATTCTTGTCAGAGAGATTCCCGCAATGCTTGTGCAAAACAGTGCCCTTCGATGCTGTCCATTTGGACAAAGATGATATAGAGGGGCCGGTCTGGTACCCTATTGCCTATAATAGGAGATACGCAAACCATTATTGAGAGATTGCTGTACATTGACTAAACGATTACCTTGCCCTTTTTCCATCCCTTTCCATAAACCCTTTTCTGACCATTTCCAGTAACGTGTTACTTCTAAAGGTCACTTCTAGTGTCACTGGAAAACATTATCTTCTGGAGGTTCGTTCCTCTAGATTTTAACCAACAACCAGTAAGAAACGAAGCTCAAACAAAACACAACAAAAAACATCCCCTCGCCTCCAGTATGAAGCAGCTTGGTGAGGCTGGACATCATCACCTTAGCTTCACCCAGCTGGTGGTTCCTCGCACCGCCATTTGGACATGGTGATGGCTTGGGGATGCTGCGTTTATGGTGCCCTGCCTGTCATCCCCTTGCTGTGAATGTTCCTGTTAATGTTTCCATTCATGGGCCGTGACAATCCCGTCATTCCCACTAAACTAAGTGGCATAACCCTCAACATATTACAGTAATCAGGTTTGCTTAAATCTTACATGAACATGTTTCAATGAGAGATCCCATTGTTGCTTGACAAAAACATATCTGTTCACTATTCCCCGCCGCAGTACATTAAGATAGATATGGACAACCCATGGTGACACCGAAGAACAACGATCTACATCTCTTGCGGGTTGTTCATGGGCCATGGGTTTTCTACATCTATATATGATATATTATGTTGATTTATTGGGGGGATATGCCCATGATTTTTCAGGTGATATTCCAACATTCTGGAGATTTTGTGCCCATGGCATCCATTCTACCCATGATTTTCATAGCCCGCACCAAGTAACCGTCAGGATCACGGCCCGGCCCGGGACGTCCGATTTTTGGAGGGCCATAGGCACCCGCGGTCATTCCAGGTGATGATCCTTGGGGAACAAAATGTCACCTTGGGGGTTGTCGTAACATACCCAGAAACTCCCAATGACTCAGTGGATTTAAAAAAAAACACCGTGAAGTGTGCATTATCAATATATATATATATATATATAAACCGTAACTAGATTTAAGCATACGAACTGGTATTTCATACTACCTCCGGGGCCAAAAACGGTCTGGCCCGCCCTCCACATATTTAAATGTCGTTACCGTAACACCCATATGATTTCCTAGGAACTGATCCATAATATGCTGGATCTCCATATCTAGGTGAATCAACTGGGGGGGGTCAAAAGTAAAACAAAACATATAAAAAGCCACGGCGGGTTGTCATCAAGAGGTTATGCCTGAAATTGGTTGCGCAACTGGGATTGGTGCAACTTGCAGGGATGTAACAATACAACACATATCAACACATAATATTTCAAGCCGAGCATTTTTTAGTGAACACTGATTGTTGTAGCATTTGAAGACACGTTGTTTTGATTGAATTAAGTATTGTCTAACTCACCATATATGTGAAAGTTGTGATCTGATATACACATGTAATATGCCTCTGCAGTCTATGCACGTGAAAGTCCGGACCAAATGACAAAAGGCTCCGTTCATGTGAAAATGGATGCGTCAACGAGGTGCTGTGTTTTCTCCAAGAGTGACCATCCTTTACAGGCCGTTTCAGGCTCTATGCATTATCACAAGGTCAAAATCAATGTTTGTTCATGACTATTTCTAGGACAAATCCAGAATGCCAAGGATTCCAAGGATTCCTTAGGTGTTGGAAGGGCTTGAGGGATGCTCCAAAGGTAGCCATGAACATTCGAACTTGTTGAGAAAATGTTGTGTCTTCGACATCTCCAATCTTGGTGACATGTTCCCCGTTTTCATGGCGGCTTCCACATGCTTCGACTAGAAAAATACAGAGATCAATCCATATCAATCCTAGCCTTGGAAAGATGAAATAAGAACTGTTTGAAACCAACCATTTTTCCCTGCCAGGGATCCAAGGGCAGTTGCAAGGCGTTTGACAGTTGCGAGGACAAATGGCGCCGCACCTTTCTCCGGTGAAGAGGTGAAGGTCCAGTAGAATCCTCTAAAATGTTGTCATATGTTGTCCATTGCGGATGGAAACTGAACATGTTTTTTGTCTTTGGGGCTTTCCAAGTGGGTAGAATTAACTGGGGTTAGGATGGCTATGATTGCAGTCATAAAAACATGACCGCCCGACTGCATCCCCAAGTTCGTGGTACGGATCTCCTAAACTCATTTTCTGAGATGTTGCAGTCAAATGCTCTATTGTTCTGATGTTCCATCCTATTTGCGAATTATATCTATAATCATATATACCTTATTTTCACCAAAGAAAAACAATATATGAATGATATACTAACATATTCATATGGGTTCATCTGAAAATTAGGCACCCCGAATTCAATGGCTAGAATATGTCTAGAATATGTCTAGAAACCTCTTTTACCAGCATTGAAATATGACATAGGAAGTTTAACCAGTCATACCCCATGTTCAGTCACCCCCCAAATGGAGGAAATGACATTGACTTTCATCAACAAGTGTGCGGGTAGTGGATGGGTGTCCTACTCAAAGTGTACTTAAAAATCAATAGGGTCTATTTCAATAGAGTTTCCTCATCTCAAATCTAACCCAACTCGGCATGCCATGCATGCATCTTGTACTACAATTACATCTCAGCCGACGCTTGATGTTGCTTGGGCCCTGTGGATACGGCTAAAGAGATGGATAAGCAATGAAAAGCAAACTATCAAAGTGAGGAACCTTTCAACTTGAAAAATGTAAATCCATCATATTGGTCAATTCGATCCTATCTATGTCTAATATATGGTATCTTTACTAATTCATGTTCCGATGTTCTTCATGTTTTACATCACTTTCTCCAGAGTCCCTTGACCTTGGCGCCTCTTCCACGGCCGCCACATCAGGAAAGGCGCTTGGAAATCGCGCGGCCAACCACAGGTAAGTTTCGCACACCTCCATCCAGGGTCATTCGGAGCATCTAAACGCAGGTTCTCCAACAAACAACTACTGGGAGTGGAGCCACAACTAAGATCAAACTGAGACTCTTACTGGTTGGTGGTAGACCTACCCCTCTGAAAAATATGAGTGCGTCAGTCGGGATGATGAAATTCCCAAGATATGGAAAAAATGTTCCAAACCGCCAACTAAGACTAGAGCTGAAGTCCAGGACTCTTTACGATTCTTTACTGGAACTCCAAAAACATCTCCGGAAACAACTCCGGGTTGACATGGAGAGTGTTGCCCCGTTGCCCCCGTTGCCTTGTGGAAACTTTCCATCTCCAGAATCTTCCCTCAGCGAATGAGCGTTGGTGATCCATGTCCTATTTGGGTGTGGGCTACCCCAATATTGCTGTTCTAATGCGGGCAACGATCATCATCAACTGCGGGTTTTTTTTTGGTGCCCCACATAATGGCCATCCATCAACCAGCAGTTCTGGTTGTCATAAAACAACACTGGTTGGTAGTGTTTCAACCCATTCCCCCCCCCAAAAAAAGGTGAGTCAATGTGGATCATCATCCCAAATATGGTCCAGAATAGGTAAAACATAAACTATTTGAAACCATCAACCAGAACATAAACCAATCCAATTTTGAATCAAGTGGTCTCTTTGGCCGCGGAAAAAATGCTGGTAGTGGGCAGCCCTATATGATTGATGTTCACCAAGGCCGAAACATAAGAGATTTTCGGTGTCGGTGCCAATGAAAAATAAATATAAGTAATGAGATTATAACATATGGGATGAAATCTTGCCGAAGATGTGTTACCTGTTGAATGGTACTCTCCGCATGTTCTTGGCTTAAACCATTTTCCAACTTGGTTCAATCATGTTCAATCATGTTGCTGCTGCTGCTTAAAAAAAAAATCACTTGTTCAGCTGTTGTTTGATTTCATCCCTCAAGTTCTTGTCGGTCAACCCTATTGTTGACAGAAATTTTACTCCCCACAACAGCATGTCAACATATTTTTGGAACAATCCCCAAGGCATCCTGAGAGAATATCCTCATTTGCGGGGGTAAGCACTCTTCCAACTTGTGATTGATGGATTCAAGTGGCTACTAGTTTATTTGACCAACTCAATGTTCCAGTGGACATCCAGTCGGTTAACTCTATAACCGCAAAAAAACGATCTGTTGTTTTTCCTCAGGCTTATCAAATCTACATAATTCTATATACAGTATATATATATATATACATATACCCAACCAAATGTTTACCCACGCATATTTGCCCATTGGTTCTACTCAGAATCACTCTGTTAGCCAATTCTTGGTGATTTTTGTCCCTGTGATCCCATGATATCCAGCAGAACTTTTGGATGTATCCATCATGTTTAATCCCTTCCCCCAAAACATAGACTTACCCGGCCTGGTAATTTAACATAGCGAACTGGAAAGATCCACCATTTTGTAGCTGGGAAAATCCACTATTTCGACTGGGCCATTTTCAATAGCTACGTTAAATTACCAGAGGGTAAATAGACGCCCCCAACACCAACCGTGGTGGATGCTTCGAGGATGAAAACTACATCTTGGGGACGGCCATGTGGCGTGGCGTCACCGCCATCTGCGACAGCAGCTCGCGCAGCTCCGCGGGCAGCGCGACTGAGCCGGACGAAAAATCGCGAGCGAAACGGTGGAGCCTGGGAGCAAAAGGGCACAAAAACCATGAACAAAACATGTGAAAGTTGCCAAACAAATGCAAAAAAAATGTAGATTATTGTAGATTTCTCTGATTTCAGTGGACCATAGTGGACCTCTTGGGCAATCTCGTGAACATGCAGCAAAATTTGTCTTTGACACAGGAAGACTCCGCTCTACACTGTCTAAGAAACAGACGAATCATCCCACTGCCACTAGGAACAAAAAACAATTGTAGGCCAAACCAGCTGGTCATTCAACATTGATGTGCTATGGTAATAACATGCACCTGAAAAACTATATAGTTGCGTATTGTTTCAGGCTACTTTGGCCTAGTAGCACATGTTTGTGGCACTTTGCAATTCTCAGACCAAAAATAAGGCGCTTCATCTTTTGCTCCAAACATGAGCGTAAAAGTGCCGTAAATATCCGTAAAGCGCCGTAAATACCCGTAGAAATATCTTAGTCCTAAAATGGCACACTTTCCAGTGACCAAAATTTCGGCAACTTTGGAAAGTGCCAAAGTTCCAATGGGCACTAGGCACTTAGCAAGAATAGATGAACTTTTCCAGTTTTCCAGGTAATATATGGGAACACAACATCGCTTGCTATGGCTTTCCAGGTAATAACACGGTGATAACATGGTGTTATCCCACTGCTGGGATTCCCACTGCCACTGGGTCGCATCAAAAAAACCTCTGTGGGGATGACCATCGGAAAATCCATCACTGAAGACGTCGATGCCGGGCATCCCGGGCTACGCAAGGCCAAGTGCTACAAGAAGTGGTGGTGCTACAACCTATATGGATGTGTGCCATATAATATATATATATATATAATATTATACAATAATTATATAATAACATTATATAACCACACTGAACATGGCAATGGACAATCCACCAGGTTCCGTGAACTAAACATTAATATTATTCCAACTTTTGGGTCCCAAAAACGAGACCAGTTGCCACACCGTGGCTCCACGACCCGAAAATTCCTTCCCAGCAGCGCCGTGAGAGAAGCCACATCACTCAGTCCCACAGGTGCTTGGCAGAAAACAAACTTCTCCTCCCACCCAATGATGCAATGATAAGAGCCCCCCGCAGCAGGGCTGATCATCTGATCATCTGAATGTAGAGCCGATGTAACTTAATATACAAGAAAAACTATCCGGCACTTCAGCCTAACAGGAAAAAGAAGAGCATGTTTGGCATGTTTGACAGGAAAATCATCCATGAATGGATGTTGATGCATATGGATGAATAAGAAATTCCATGGATGTTCGATTGGCATACTAGATTGCCAGAGTCTATGTCGGTGATATCACTGGGTTGCTGCAAACTTACGAGGTCGACTTTCCTAGTGGGATAACTAAGTCTATATAAGTAGGATGATTGAGACGATGATGCTGGAATTCACAGTCGCGTACTAATATTGCATATCACCATGACTGGTTGGTGGTTTTAACATGTTTTAACCATCTTGAAAAATATGTATGAAAGTCAATGGGAGGGATGACATCCCATATATTATGGAAAACAAAAAATGTTTGAAATCACCAGCCAGTCATGATATCAACCAATTGATACGTGTGGGGCCACCATTTTTTCCTGAACAGAATTTTACCGAGCTCCAGAGGTTTCGACACCATTTTTCTTAGTGTCTTTTTGTGGTTTAGCCTCATGGTAATCAAACATGGTTTGCCGTTCATATCGTTCATTCCCCATTGAACAATGACCATTTCATTCCCCAGCCATGCTTCCGGGATTTCCCAGCCATGTTTCACAAGACATGACAAGAAACTTGGTCCAGGCTATGATGACTTTAAGTGCAATGGACTGGAGAAATGGATAGAAACCACAGAAAAAAAACAAAAATATAGAAAATAACTGGTTGGTGGTTTTTAACCATCTTGAAAAATATGAAAGTCAATGGGAAGGATTATTCCCATATATTATGGAAAATAAAACATGTTGGAAACCACCAACCACTGGAAAATAAATCATTGATCATTGATCTAGGTGCGACTTCGAGAACTTCCAGTCACCAGGACCCCAACCCCCCAAAAAAAATCAACCGCAACACATCTTCCAAACATCTTCCTGTCCTGTGGAGGCAAACGAAGATCTTCCAAAAAGCGTGCCAAGGCCTGGCGGTGACCAACGTAACCTGCAGGTCACTGGAGAAGATGAGTTTGGACATCAGATCTGAGAAGTGGTTTGTATACCCTCTGGTAAACTAACATAGCTATGGAAAATCACAATTTTGTATGGGAAAACTCACTATAAATAGCCATTTTCAATAGCTATGTTAAATTACCAGAGGGTATCTGTCATGGCTAGTTGGGTTGGTCTGGAAATAGGAAACCACCCAAGCAAACCTTTGGTTTAGCATAGTTTACCATGAATTTATCACCACCGTTTTAAGGGGGAGGACCTACCCAAAATGTAAGCTACATGTTTCAAGGTGTTTTTGAGGGGGGGCTTGAAAATGCAAGCTTACATTTTGAAGGTATTTTGCATTTTGAAGGTATTTTGAAGACCCTCCCCACAAAAACGACACCTGGGGGACGTTCAGCGACCAAGTTTACATGTAAAGGGGGGGTCCCAAAAAATGTATCTTACATTTTGGTATGGTCCCCCGAAAAGTAGTGGTGAAATTATGTTATTGTATAGCGTGCATTGATCTTCAATTGGAAGTTTCCGGCATTATGTTTTCCCACATTCATAAAGTTGCTTTAGCAAGTATATATTTCTTAAACATCACATTGTCGCCTCCAATTGGGTCAAACAATGACTGAGAACGGTGACTCATTCCAAGATGCAATCAGATGATTGGCTTGCGCCAGGAAGTACAAGTCTTCAGGTACCTGGGGAAGTGTCCCCATGGCCATGATTATGACAGGATGAACTACTTCCCAGAGATTCTCCTGATGATTTATTTGACATATCTTGATCAAGAGAACCGGGAATATATGTCATGCAAGAAGCAACTTAAGGTTTCTCACAGTGATTTTTCACACACAACTGTAATTTTCAGTGCCAAGTGGATGTTATGATATGTTCATGGAGGGGCCATAAGTACCTAGGCCATGAGCAAGATGCCGCTCTTGACAGGGTACAGGGATGACCGACACAAGACTCAAATCAAACAAAGGTTGCCAAATCTTCAAATGGCAAAACTCGAAGTGGCAAAACCCAATAGAATAAAAACATGTTTGTTTTTTGTGGTATTTGGAAATGCTTGACCAACGAGGCATAGTTTATTGAGATGGCAAGCCCTCCAATTGGATACTATGTGGGGGTAGTTCCAAACCTCTCTAGTGCGTTTGATTTACCATCTTCTTGGGTTTGCAGCATCCAATCATTGGTTTACAACATTTTGGGCATCATCATCCCAGCTCGAATATGGCTGAATCTGAAACACATATGGCTGAACCAGCAACCAGTCAAGATCAGTCAAGTAATGTTATTGTATCTTTATAATTAGACTCATCCCATAGTTTGATCCTCTTTGAATACCAATTAGATCAAGTTCCAGAAACATGTTTGGTTCATGTGGGTTGCGTTCCCATGATTCCACCAGGACAGACAATTTCACCACACCTGAGCGATGGAAAGGAAGCGTTCCACCAGCTCCGCGAATGGCAAAGGACGCTGCAAATCTGCTTCCAAGGAGAGGCTGAAGGCTTCCTGTGGTCGACTGTCGACACGCGTCTCCAGGGGAGAAACATGTGCTATATCCCATAGGATCCATTTATGGTATATATGCTAACATTGGGGGTATATTGATGGTAAATGTTACCATATATAGCACACATGGATCCTATGGGTATGTATATGGATTGTGATTTTCGCATCCATAAATAAATGAACATATTTACAATAGTATCAATTATATAGTAAAATATTTAAGATGATAAAGATATATTGCAAGCGTGGCTACAGGCAATTGACAATTGGCAAACTTCATTGGAGGGACTGATGTTTAACAATCCTTAATCATTCCAGGTGATCGGGGGGGCTCACATCCCAGCACCAACTGCACACCAGTTTCTGTGCTGGAGTCAACTACAAAAAGTAGTTGGGCTTCTCTGCTAAAGGGGATAGCCCCAAAATGCAAGTCTTTGTCTTTGTGGTACGATACAGCTTCATGTATACTATTTCCATATATCTGTGTGATTCTGTGTGTGTGTGTGTCGCTATTCATGCCATTTTTGGGATCCCATTTTCAACCCTGGATCCAGTTGATTGCCGAACTGGAGGACCTGAATGGGGATCCCAGGTCACTGAAGAAAACCCAGAAATTGGAGCAGAAAACCAGTCGGGATTTCATCAGACTTCAGCATGCGTTGCACCAACATGCACCAACAATTTTTATTTGGTGAGTTGACTCTGCTTCCGAAACCAATTCTCTTGGCACTCACGCTGAAAAAGATAGACTATAGAGATTTGAATTCGTGGTTCATAATGCCCATATGTTGCTGGGATATATCCAATTAGCCCATACGACTGGGTCATAATCTGTTCATCATCCACTTAGTCACGCACATGCAGGTACCCTCTGGTAATCAAACATGGCAATGGACAATTCCCCAGGTTACTTCCATGGATTTCCTATTTCAATGGCCATTTATAGAGGGTTTCCCAGCCACGTGGCAACCCTATAAATGTTGAATCCTAGTATTTGAATCCGATCCATGTTCTTGCCCAATGAGTCCTAGTCCATGAAAGTACCCTCTGGTAAGCGTCTACATAGCGAACTGGAAAATCACCATCTTTAATAGGTGAATCAACTATAAGGGACCATTTTCAATAGCAAACTGTTAAATTACCGGAGCGTAATATTGATTTTGACGTATCCTCGTCTCGGACTCCCACCAACCATCGCCCAGCAGCCAATTGCTCCGGCAAAGGAAGCAAAGCTGCACGTGTGGGCGGCGTGAGCGCAGGAGAGGCTCCCTGATCCCAAATGAAGTGCCGACATCTTGGAAACACATGGGTATAACTGGGGTTAGTCGGTGGTTCAGCCCTTATAACCCTATAGCATACCCTAGATATATGATGATATAACAATGATATATGTAGTAAGTTGGGCCACAAGCCACTTACATCCACTGCGCTGTGAAAAACCATGGTCCATGGTGAAAGTCTTGATTTGGTAACCTCCATACGTTGGGAGATGTGGCCCCCTACAACTACCCTCTGGTAATTTTATATACAGTTTGCTATTGAAAATGGCCCATTTATAGTTCATTTACCTATTAAAAAATGTGACTTTCACTAGTTGTGTTGGTTTACCAGAGGGTATGGTAAAACATATCCACTTCATTCGTTCACTGGAACCGCATCGCAATGGGTATACCCTCTGGTAATCAAACGTGGCAGGGAAATCCACTAGAAATATCTAGAAATTGGCATGTCAATGCGAAAATCATCTATGACATATGAATGGGGAAAAATTCCAGCAAGCCAAGTCTACCATTTATCACCAAAGGGTAACTTTATGCCCCACACAAGGTCGAACCCTACCAAAATGGGGAGTTTGGCAACATGAGTGGATTGTTGCCAACCATTTTGATACAGTGATCTATAATAGCTTGGTTCAAGGGAAACCCACCGGACACTATGGATTTGCCAGCTGAAAATTGAAATTTCCGCAACTTCCCTCTTCTATACCCCACTTCTGGGACATGGGCAAGGGTCCGCACGCCGCACACACACACACACATTTACGCACTAAAATATATTGTCATGCAACCGCTTCTGGCTATGGGAAACCTCATGTCATCCAATCCCTAACCCAAGGTAGCCAGGTAGCCTTACGTACAAAAGTGATGGTTATCATATGCGATTGGTTTCCACTTAAAAATTTCAAACCAATCTGAAAGATATGACCGCGTCATTGGGGTGATCATCTGTGCTGTCTGATTGAAAAAAATGGAAACCCCCAGCTACATCCATCACTGGTTTATATAAGTTTTATTACATCCCACGTGTTCATGGTTAAATCCTCTCAAATCTCACCAGATCTCCAGTGATTTCCCGGAAGTTCCTGACCAGCTTGGCCGATAGAAGCAGGACAAACTATGGAAACTATAGGAAAAACATGGAAAAGTGAGATGAGTGAGATGAGAAAAAAAGTGGTATCACATGGTATCAACATCTTTCTGGGTCCTGTCATACTATATACCCTTGTCAGAAGGAACTCCACATTTCACGAAGATTGCTTAAGCATCCCATGTATGACACCAATACCTTGGCTCAAACTACCACTCTGTTTGCAAATTAATTCTGTTCCCCCCGCAGGCTCGGCCATTGTGGTGCCAAGGTGGAAACACGATGAAACACCCCGGACCTCAAGAGCTTCCCTCAGAACAGGCAAATCATCGCCTCACACTGGCGATTCTTGTTCGCTGGAGGCGATGATAACTGGGGATACTAGGGATACGACGGGAAACACACGCTCTGTCAGTGGTGTGGCATCCCATTGAACATAGTCACGTTCGGGTTGCATCGTCTTTTTTCTGGGTGCAAATTGCAAGCTGGCAGGAGCTCAAAATCAAGTCTTGCCAGAAAAATCCAGTCCTTCCCACTCTTTCTCCAGAATTCTTCTGGGAAATTCTAGGGAAAACATGTCTTAATGCGGTTACAACAATAATAAACCACCAATTTGGGAATGGTTCATACCACCTATAAAAAATTGTGAAATTGGGGATGGTTTATGGCATTGTTTTATCAACATTACTACATATTACTACTTTTTGCCAAGAAAACTCGTGACCTCCACATCTCGCATCCGCCTTGGCAGCACGCTGCCACCCCCAGCGACGTCAGGCCATAGCGCCCCGCACGGCCTGCCAGCTGCCGAAGCTCAGGGGACGTGAGCTGCCGCGTGGCGTGGCCGTCGAACTTCCTGGGGCGACCAAATGTCGTCCAAAAATGCCGATTTCTTCATTTCTTCCATGAAAATCTGAACTTTTGATGGATGTAAGTCTGGATGTAAGTGTGGCCCAAGGAGTGGGGACCTATATCAATTTGCATCAATTTGCCAACACAATGGAATCAAAATGGAGCATTTCACCAGGTGCGTCGAAAGTCTCTCATTTTAGCTGGTCTAGAAATTTGTAGGGATCTAAGCTGCTTCGATAACAACAAAGAGATAGGATTTGAGGATTTAAACAAACAAACGCTTTGAACATGAACATTTGAATCGATCCAGACATGTAGAATGACGTGGAAAACCCATCATTTGTGGATACTTTTCCTTGGGTTTCCCCGCAATGGGTTTTCCATATCGATCTCAATGTGTTGGAGAGTATCCCAAAAAGAATCCACCATCCGATCCAAAAGATAACAAATCTGATTCTTGGTAGGTAGTTAATCCATTCATGTTAATCCCCCCATATCTTCGGACAATTTAACATAGCTCTCGGATCTGTCGAACATCACGATTTTTGCTAAATCATCCAACTATTGCTGGACCAAACCTTCCACAGCTATATAATCTGAATGGATCTTAATGGGTGTCTACTCACATCCCATAAAAACTGATACCTCGATACCTTGCCCCAGGGAAGCGTTTGAGGACACCGGAGGGTCCATCGGCCAATTCTCCACCCAACGTCCAAGCCCAAGAAACCAAGTGGAACGGAAGACCACACGTTGGATCTGCAGATTGAGGCCTCTCTCTGCAGGGCTTCAACCCCAAAAAGATCATCCACCGACAACATGCAGTGTACATTGTTTATATGGATAATTTACACGAAAACCCCCTATCTAATGGGAAAATGGATGGTTTCCGGTTAAGATTTTCCCTTAAACCAATCCATTGATAGTGATATTATATGTTATATGATATGATATATGAATTATATGGATTTTGGATAGATGTGATTTATCTACACACACTTTGAAGGTCGGGATCGTGATCCCAGGATGGAAAACAGCAGGCAGTCTCCACAAGAAGTTGTGACGAAATATTCCTTGAGGACAACACACAGTGAAATCATCATCTATATAGCTTGTATTTCGAATCGTCCACATCCCTCAGCAATAGTGGGTCTTCCAGTTGATGTCAACAACTCAAACATGAACAAAATAGATCAAAATAGCAAACTAATCGAAAACTTCAATCCATCCAACTCCAGATTTACCTATCAATCCATCGTTTCCAGTTTATTGAGCACTGCCGACACCTAGAGCAATGGCGTCGGATGCCACTAGCACATCATGCCCGCCTCAAAGAGCGAAATGTCAACCCTGCATGAGACGAAACCCTGACTCATTGGGAGGGGGTACTACATGTTACTACCGCTAAATAGTGACAGCTTTCTATTGAGTTTGGTACCCTAAAGATCCTAAAGAAAACAATCCTGGCGAGGCTGCTAATCTGGGGTTGACATTGCAAAGTCTGCATCAATATCTGGGAACAAGAAGCATCGAAATCCTTCTTCTGACCCATCAACGTGAGAAACAAATTTCTCTAAATTTCTTTCATGACATTTCATGACATTGATGGAAAGCCGTCGCACGCACGTTCTGGCATTGTCCTTTGGAAAGTGGCAGCTTCAGCAGCCCAAAAGTGGCTCCAACACCCAACAAAAAACTCAAACAATCAAGTCCTTGATGCCTCAAAACAAAAATGGGTGATTGGATTTCGCAAGTGATCCGCCATTTGTCCAAATTCCAACCCACCTGTGGTTCCCGCAGTGGGCCTATGGTTTGCCTATGTTCGATGGCAACCTACCCATTCTCTCATGCTTCAATGGCGGCGGATGGTGATCCGACGTCTGTCCGGTTCCTGGGGAGGAACTTAAGGAGCCATGAATTGAGTTCCCCAACCACCAGCCACCAGCTGTCCACTAATCACATGACATCGACCCAAGCGATGAAAAAAACCCTCTGGTAAACATACAAAAAACTATGGAAAATCACCTTTTTTAATGGGAAAACTCACTATAAATGGCCAATTTCAATAGCTATGTTAAATTACCAGAGGGTACATCCCAGCTGCTATTGGGATCATTGAAGAGTGCAGCTTGTTCTTGCCGCACTTCCGGTGGCAGTGATCCATAGACCACGCAGGGTCCTCAGGGCACCAACATGAACACCACTGGCGATATGATGGGATAACCAACAGAATGGCACATGATAAATATCTGTCTCCAGCGGCATGTCAGCAAAGCCCTACCTATTTGTACATATATATATATGTAGATACACAATTAATATACGGTATATAATTATAAATTCTGCGTGTAATTATGCATGTATCCGTATTTTTGGTTTGTCCAAAAATGGGGGATACCCCAAGTCATGCACATATTGACAAGAGAAATTGGTGATGTACCAAAAGGTATTGGGGTTGTCCAAACATGTTCAGCCCATGTAACTGACCGAAGATTCGTAAGTCAAATGGGGTCAATCATAAAAAATGGGAACAGGTCAGGAAATGTTCAAAAAATAGACGAACGACGAGCATAGTGGGCATATGAGGCATAGGAAGTCACACAACTGGGAACATTTCGACAAACTATTTACAGGATTTCACCTGCACAAAGACTACCCTCTGGTAAACATACAAAAAACTATGGAAAATCACAATTTTTAATGGGAAAACTCACTATAAATGGCCATTTTCAATAGCAAACTGTTAAATTACCAGAGGGTATTTGCCCAAGAAATCCTCACATCCCTTCAGCTTCACAACAACCATCCCATCACTGATCACCGAAGCCCAGCTGGTCACGCCGCCAAGGTTCGTTTCCCCACAGCTTCCAGCCGGCTCTTTGCCTCCAAGACTTCCGCACGGCTGAAGCAGACCTGAAAACCCATGGGCTTTGACGTGGCTTGACCAAAAAGAAGGGGATACCCCCCATTTTTTAAGAGTGCCTTTGTGATAAAAGAACATGATGATAAAACCAGTGATTCAAGGGGTACCTGTGGACCTACGTAGTAGTAATAATAATAGTAACATAATTCTTGGAGATGGGAACCCTGCGCAAAATGAGACATGTGTCCAATCCTTGGTCTATGAGAACTATTTGAATTGTGAGGCAAAACCTGCTTCCTTTGAAATTATGTCAAGTAGAACCACCGACCGGACTCTTAGCCCAGCTCCCTGCCGGATACACTCAACTGCCCAGCTCTTGGGGCTGGCACCAAACAATCACCTGCTTCAAGTTCGGAGTAGTCGCGCACAGGCTCCTCCTCAGTGAGTCATCTTTTTGGCCAAATGATCTCCAGATGAGGCATATGGATGTTAATTGTGGGAATATGTATGAATATGTCCTGTCAAAATGACCTTCGACTTCGGAGTGAAGAAAGAAACACGCCCGAAATCAAACATGACAAGATTTGGCAATGGAAAGACCTTGGCCATGCAGGAAACCCCTAGATAGACTACCCATTCGGTCACTCGACATGTTGTTCTTCCTCTTCTTACCATAGTTTATAGTATGCAAATGACCCAATGGAACATATTAAGAACCTATCAGCCCCACAAGACCACCAAAAACATGTTCAAAACCCCGTGCTTGGGTTTTCATTTCTTTCCAACACATTAAAATCGCCAGTTTGATTCATCCCTGGATAGGTTAATAGGTTAACTTGCCCATATGGCCTCATATGGTTATGGGTTAGTTCAACAACCGGCACCCTTCTGTTCACACCAAAATGGCGGGGAGCCCATGAAAATGTGGTAATTTCGGTGCCTTGGTCCACGTAAAAGTGACATAGCCTGCTGCATAGCAATGGAAGCCATGGCCCATTTTAGGTCTCGATGAATTACCGATTTCGCTCAGGTCGCAAAAAGCATATTATAATATGTTTTATTGTTTTTTTGGGAGCTGGGGACGTTGGCCTATCTTATTTGGATGATTTACCTATTGAACATGGTGATTTTCCTGGCAACATGTAGTTCTTGGGGCTACAAACGGTACCCTCTGGTAAACGTTTACATAGCGAACTGGAGAATCACCATCTTCAAGTTCGGTAATTCAACTAAATAGATGGGCCATATTTTCTATGTCGCAAATCTGTCACTTCAATTACCGAATTACCGGGTACCACGTTGGGGAAACCGCCGGTCCTGCAACTTCAATGGCACCAAGCGTTCCTTCAAATGCTCCACCTCCACCACAGGGTCCCCACCTGGGAGCCGGAACTGACAAACAGCGGGGCTACCTATGGGGGTTTTCACATGTTATCACCCAATTGTAATCGAATTAGTGGGGTTTTCACATGAGTGGACTATGAGTTATCACCTATAAATGGTTCACATGTTTAGTTTTTTGAATCGAAGAATCCCCACTAGTGGACTTACAAATGATCAAATGAGGGGTAGGTCCGTCCACGCCAGGTCCTAATTGGGATGATCGGCCAACAGATTCCAACGATACTCTGGGTATAAATTGATCAGCAATAACAAGAATAATGTTGGTACAGAAAAAGTATGCTTCTACCATCCAACAAAACAAACCACTATTCTGGGTGGTATCAAAAAAAAATAGATATGGATGGTTTATGATATTGCTTTACTAACATCAACAGGGATGTCAAGAATCAAGAACTCTCTGGCTGCAGGTTGGGGCATGAACATTGGGCAGTTAGTTGGGCTCTTCATGATACTTATATCATGGTGTATAAACTCCAACAACTATGTTTCACGATACTTACAACTTATAGCCTTTATAGCTATAGTTAAAAGGGGTTTATGATGCTTCTAACCGACAGTAGTTTTTGGATGTTTTAGCAAAACGGTGAAACCTCTTCTCCCAAAAAACTCATCGGGAAGTCGCAGGAGGCTGCCAAGTCGTGCAGAAGGGTCTCCTGATCACGGCTGTTTTCAGAAATTTTGAATTGGGATTACCCTCTGGTAAACTAACATAGCTATGGCAAACCATGGTATAATCATGGATAATCATGGGTAATCTGGGATTATAATGGATTATCAATGGATTATCAATGGATTGGGTTAAGGGATTTTGTTTACATGAAAGCCCTCTATTTGATGGGAGAAACCATGGTTTCCTGCAGATGTTCAACCATGGTTTCCTGTAAACAAAAAAAACAGCGAACTGGAAAGTCCCCATCCTCAAGTTCGGTAAATCAACTAAATAGGTGGGCCATGTTCAATAGATATGTTGAATTACCAAAGGGTACTTGGTGGCTCATCCCACTTAGTAAGTGGGTTATAACCCCAGTTATAAATGGGATAAGTAGGGTTAATCCACTTATAATTGGGGTTATAACCCACTTACTAAGTGGGATGAGCCACCAACTAAATCTACTAAACTCAGGATTTATAGACCAACTGCAAACGGTGCTGTTGGGCAACATGGGATGCAAAAAGAGTGCCTCTTATCCAGCACAAGAAGGCGAATGTGCCACTGATTTGGTGCCTTCAGGCAACAAACATAGACATGGTCCCAGAAACGGTTTGAATGGGTTTGAAGGAAATTCTACCAGGAACCTTTGTTCAAAGCCATCAAATACATCATCCCCATCAATTGACAAATCCTCATCGTCACAACGTCACACGTGTAACCTTTGCATTTTTCCGTCCACCATCCAATTTTTGAGACATGGGCGACATGGGTTTCCATAATGTGAACGCATCCCCCAGTTTGTCATGTCTTTATGTGCCAAAAATTGCACGAATACCTTGGGATACATCATTGATCCTCAGCCCGCAGCTCTCAAAAACTATTCTGACCCCAGCTTCAGTAATTGGCATGATCGAACCAAACTCAAATGGAATCTTTAATCTTTACACGGCGGTGATTCCATTTTCCAGTCATAAAATTGTTACAAGTGGTTTTCAAAAACTTACAACCCTAGGTACCCCAAGCCGCTAACCATCCACTATCCACAAAGGCACCCCATGATACAGTAACCCTCCGAATCAACATTACTAGCTCTCTTAACCCAGGCAACAACGGTCCAGCATTAAACATGACATCATACATGACGCAATTATAAATCCAACTTAATAATTTTTGGCTGGGTATACATTCAGTTTTGATATCCTAAGGTCCTAAACTATGAGGGCCCCCTATTCCAACTATAGCCCTAATGGTTCCCTTGCAAATGAAAAAAGTATTATTCATAATACTTTCATGCTGAAATCGGCCCCAAATCCTTTCCCCTGTTTGCTGTTTTGTTCTTTTTGACATCTGCAACGTCTCCGACTCTACTTCTGGATGAGATCTAGCATGATCCAACGCTAGCCCACTACGTTGGTTCCACCGTGCGGTCTCCCCGGATCGCTCCAGGCTCTTCGGTTCATTCGCCCCACAAATGTGCAGCTGCTCCGCGCTGATGCCCAGCAGGGCCCGAGTCCAGGCGCTACCCCGCTGATCATCGGAGATTAGTTGGATCTCATCCAACACAGCGACTGCCCAATGTCCTGATTGGAATGATCTTCATTTGTCTTGGACAAATGTATGCATATGTATATGATATACATATATGTATATGATATACATATATGTATGTGTATATATACGTATGTGTTTATGTATATATATATATATATATATAATATTTTTTGGATACAGGTATTTATATGGGATTGAAAAAACTCTTCAGTCACTGCACATCTACAGAATCTACAGATGTCAGTAGGAAACCCGTTGCTTTTCATTCCTTGGGTTGGCTTAACGGGACATTGTTTACTTTCATTGGGTCAGTGAAAGGAAAATCACGATCGGAAACCACGTTTTGTTTCCATTAATGTTTTGCCGGTGGTTTCTGGTGTCATTTTTTCCGTTCTACCAACTCTGCAAATATTCAGCAACGTTCAATCTTCGGAAAAGTGCATCAGTGTATCTATATGTTCGAGAAGCACCCTATATACACTTACTCGACCCCATTTAATCTTGGGGTTTCGATCGGAACCCCTTAACCGCTTCGAAGATCCGCCAAGACTGGCGTTGCCAATGGGTGCAAGATGGTGCAAGTCATGAAGATGCATGCCCTGAGTTATTGTCAAATTGTCTCAGTAGTCTGTGCAAAAATAATCAAAAATACACACCGGAAAACAAGTTGGTGCAAAGTTGCTTCCGATTAGAAAAAACAGTGCGACAGTCGTGTTTCCATGAAAATTTGGTGAACAAAACGTGAAAAACTCGCAAACACCAAGGATGAATTTGGGTGTTTGCGCGAGTTGTTTGGTTCAATTTTGGTGTGTACTTGAGCGAACCGAAAACATATCAAGCCCGCTTACTGACTCAAGTTCTGTTCTGCATGGAAAGAACGCGCTTAGGGGCGCAATTCAGAGGGTAATCTCTTCCAAGTGTCGGCACAGGAATGATAGAAATAGCCATAGCAAATACTATTCAAGTGTTTGGATGGGCTTCAGCCACACTATTTTCAGCATGTCTTTGGAAGGAAGGTTCGTGTTGTTTGTTCTCTAGTCTTTTTTAATACAAGAAATGCGGATGTGTCAGATCTTGCCTATGTCCGGACTCAGTGGCTCAGGACTTTATGCTGGGCAGCTCCAAGAAGTCCAAAACTATATAAAGTGTCGCTGAGCAATAAGCGTATGAGTCCGGGAGATGACCCATGGACCTGCACTTTTTTAAAACCTCGGGGAGACTTGCAGCCAAGGTCAAGCAGCATCGAAAGCTGGCAATGGCATCTACCAAATCCACCAAATCTGGTAATTTTCGGGAAAAGTGTCCTACTTTATAAATGATTTACCCATTGAACAGTTAATTTCATGATAATTAATGGGTAATTTCCCTATTTAATCCATAGGTGTTGACAATTTCATGATATGATTTTGGCTAAATCACCGGAAGCCAAGGCAGCCAAGGATCTGGTAATTGGGGCCATCTCAACCGTACACGCCACCTGGGAAACTTCTTGGAACAAAATCAGCTGCAGATCATCCAGTTGCCAGGGTGCACAAATCTGGAATGATGAGGATATGTCACGAACATTACATATTACATATAACTATAAATATATAAAATTATAAATTATACATATAATTAAAGACATAAATACATATATATATATATATATATATTTATGTATTGATATAATTATATAACCCAAATAGTTAATAATAATAATAATTATTAGTTATATATTTATATAAATGTACTTGCATGTTTTCCCCCCAGTAAATTGAGCAATTGGCACATCAGCACATGGGTTCCATCAGCACGACTTGTCCATCAACAGAATCCAGGTGTTTTCACATGGCGATCATCGATGATCAACTGGTTCCATCCGTTATTTTTGCCGCGTAAATGCCTATGCCATCGATTGAAACCTGGGAAATCAGCAAACAATTGATTTGCCAATTCAAAAGATATGTTTTACTTCAAGGTGTTGGGTGGAGGGTAAGCGGGTCATTGAAATTCTCTGTTTCACATCGCCGCACTGTGTTTGAAGGAAAGGCTGCTGTTCGACAACCGTGGTTTTGAAGGGATATTGAAAATAGGCTACCCCCAAATTTGATTGTTCATCTTCATTTTCTCCATTAAAGTCATCAAAGGCGTATCCCAAAACAGTTTCATGTATGCCCGTGATATCCTTGCTATGGTTGATTGGATACCCCCAATGTCACTGAATCATTGATGGCTAAATCACCATGCGTATTTCACGGTAATATGTGCAACATTATATGCCCTGTTGATACTCCCATACATAATCCGTTTACTATCCCACTTCGACAAAACCGTCTTTGCTGGTGAATTTCCCCCATTTATTGCAATCCCTATAGCTCCAAACACCTTCCAAGACCACATTTGGATCAATAAAGGGTGATGCCCCATAGTTAGCTAAGCTAGTTTCTAACTACAATAACTACATGTATACAGGTAATGAAAATTATATTCATGGTTCATGTAGATCATACACCAACTTAAACTGGAGGGTGCCAACCTTGTATCCATAAGTAGCATGCACAAGTGGAGATACTCCAGTTTGTTCACTTTAGGTTACATATTACCCACAAAACGGGTAGCCTGGCTAAGGCACAAAAACGACCTGTTGAGATCAAATTTCCACTGTCACCGTCTCACCTTGAACTTTCCCATTGGGACAAGAATGGGGTTTTCTTCAAATGGGGGATCCCCAAGTTACCATGGTTGTTTCAATACTAAGTCATGATCTACCGACTTGGATGATTTATGATGATTTGGGGTTCTCCCCATAAGAAACCTCTTTTTCAGTCATCAGCAAATCCAGGTCACTGAAACCACTTCGGCCATGTCACATGTGTTGCGTTCTCCGGGCCCAGGCGCTCTTGCCCCGTGAGCAGGGCACATCGGAGTCCGGCCTGATGTGGAGGTGGAAGCTCAGGGTGACTTAAGCACCGTAATCACCCAGTGTTTTTTGAGAAAACAGACGCACAATAAGACAACAAATAGAATAAGACTTACTGGTTGGTGGTTGTTTCAACCCTACCCCTCTGAAAAATTCTAGTCAGTTGGGATGATGACATTCCCAATATGTGGAAAAATAAAAAATGTTCCAAACCACCAACCAGAATAAGACTTAATCCTACTCATGGTTTGAAACGATGTTTCTGGAGCAAATCTTTGGTGTCGGCAGGTTGCCGGTGTAACTGACCCAGCAAAGGCCTGGGATTGATGAGAAATTGTTGTTAGAAACGAATATACAATACAAGTAATGGGGATTTTAGTTACAAATGGAGATTTGAATAACACATGGTTTCAATGGATGAAAACAACCAAAAAAAACGTAAATTTGAAGGATTAAATTTCAAAGAAACCTGGTATGTTGCAGAGTTCATCCTGCCCATGAAACCTGGAACCCAATTCGGTATCATCATTATTATCATCATCAGCAGCAGCAAACATCATGATCACCATCATCATGATAACCTGCATCAAGATCATCATCATGATCCAAGGGAAAAACGTACCCTGCATCATGATCATCATCATGATCACTATCAAGACTATCAAGGGAAAAACGTAACATAGATACATAGACATAGACTGAGACCGCAAAGCTTCTTTGCCGCAGGGAAAAGCAACAGAAATAGCAAGCAGTTGATACTGGCTGGGGTTCAAAATGGGCAACCCCTTCACCAGGGCCGCCGCCTTGCCCATCTTCTCGTAGATTTCCCATGCCAACAGCCGCAGCGGAGCCATGTAGAGCCCACTAGGTGCAGCCAACAAATCTTGCAACGCGCCAAAAGTTTTCCCACTGTTCCTGAGCGATGGGAAGGTCAAATTTGGGTTGTTGCTGGCAGCACCTTGCCGTTCACATCAACATATACATGGTAAAGGGTCAACCCCCCCGCGGTTTCTCTGTCAATTCACTCAAATCATGCCCCTCCACTTTTCATGCCTGGAGCTGCAGGAAAAAAACCGCACCATAGATGCCGCCTCTTTCCCGGATTTCCTACCTTGACTGACTCAAAATATAAAAAAAAATAATCCATGGCTTTCAGGATCACATTGGCATTCAAGCCGCTTTCATGGTATGGTCCACTGTCCTTCCACTCTTCAGCACCACCCGCACCAGGTTGGACTCAGCCAAGGTGCGTGACACCCAGATGTAGATGCCAGTTCCGTGGATTCTTCCTGGGGGTTGGCAACAATCGCTCGATTTCAGGGAAGATCGAGAGGAAACCGTCCTTTTCACCAATGTGATAGATATAGAAATAAAACAAGTCTGAGGCTTTTCGCTTTCAGTTTCCGTCCAACTCTGGAAGAAATTGTTAGGGCAGGATAAAGAAATGTCAATGCATGAAAATTCAACTGCGAACAAAACATAACAACAATGTTTTTTGACGTGCCCAAAACATCCCTAAACTACTGAACGCAAAACTGTCACGTACGTGTTCAGGTATACCGGTGCTGTTGCAACATTTTCCCTATTGTCCCTTCCTGGGATGCTTGTAGTGTCATGCTATTCCTAAATGTTTCAATGCAAGGCTTACAAGCTGCAACTCCGCGCACAAAAGGTTGTTTAACCGGTATTTGACAAAAGTGAAAAACACTTGGACATGTGTTGACAATGTTTTCTTGCGGGCTGCCAAACATCACCTGGTTGAAGTTTTCAACCGTCCTAAAAATATCTTCATCATTGGACACTGTCCACACTAAAGATGGCTAAAAAAATCTAAGCACTGAGCACAAATACTTGAAACCCCAAACCAGTCAGATTCCAATCATCACATTGCTATGATACAAAGAAAAATAGTTGTTTTATGTTGTTTTCCCGACCGCCAGGAGAACTTCCAATCCGCCTGGGATACCAGCTCTCTGGTTTACTCAAGTCTGCCAACGTCCGCGCACGGCGAAATGCCAGGAGTTCGGGCTGATAATTGCTTTCCACAAAGGCCACGGCCAGCTCCTTGAGGCTTTTTTTTCGGCTTGATGAATAGGTGAGAAATTCGACCGGATTTTTTTTACTGTGGATTTCATAACATGCTCATTTGCATGGAAAGATTCACAACAATGGTGGTTCATTGCAGAAAAAAAACAACGGTACGCACGATTTTGCCCACCAAAGTGAGCATGATACAACTGAAGTAAGCAACTAAACATGGATAAACAAAAACGACATGGCTATGTGTTGGCAGTAACCACAAGAGATGAAATTTCAGGTTGACAGCATCTTGATCCGAAAAAAACTGGAGCATGCAAAAGTTGAGGAGCGTTTGAAACAGTAAGCTGGAATATTCAACAACAAAGTAATTCATTCAAATTACTTTTAGCACAAATGTCCGCAACACAAACGCGGACACCAATAACACATTGTAGCTGGCTGCTGGTTGTCCCGCAAACATCGTTTAAGAACCAACCATCAAATTGTTTGTTTCAGAAAAGTATCCGAATTCGTGTAGTTGGCTGTGGTTATTACAACTTACAACTGTAGCCCATCTGAGGGAACACAGAAATTTGCAACTTACTTGCCGTCCTTGGCGTAACGTAGATCTCAATAGTCAATAGATACAAAAACTTGTTCATTACATGGGATCGAACGGAGGAAAATTCGAGCCCCTTGGAAGCATCAAACCATGACAATAGTTGTTTCGGTCGTTTTGCACCTGCCGCAACACCATGGTCACTCAAGTTCCTTCAAGGCTTGAGAAACACACCTTGACATGTTTTTTGCCTCAATACTAGTGGCAGAAACCACACATTAATAATTTGACCTGCGAAGCACAACACTTTTACTTCGAGTAATGCCGTGGAATCCTCACCAGGAATGCATGAAGCGCCCTTCCACAACGGCCCACATGTGCTTTCTGCGTCAAGGGACTCCCTGATATGGGCTGATTGCTGGATTGAATTGCTTGGCTCACTTGATTTTTTCAGATGGATGTATGTGAAGCTGTGTGAACGTAAAACTTAACTAATTTTAACAGTTAACAATTGTCTTACAACATAAAAAAAGGAAGCGGGGCAAAAAACATGGAAAATCATAGAACACACTATAAACCACTTTCCAGCGGGTACTGATTTTCTCCCATGCATAAAAACTCACTATGTTATTCATATTGTTGCAACCACAGACCTGGAACCTGAATAGTTATTAAAACGTGAGTGCAATACGAAGTGAAAAGTAGGGTCGCCCGAAAGTCACTAACATGGAATTTTCAAGGAAAACGCCTTAAACACCATTTAGGTTCCAGGTTAACCTGCAAATCGCCCTTCAAGGTTGCAGATCGCTTTGTGATAACTTGTTCAAATTCCATGTTGGCTTTTCAGGGTGCAGTTTGGGTTCAGTTTGGGCCTGCATTGGGTTCCATGTCAGTTTTTGAGTGATTTTGTTGAAAAAGTTAGTTGCATGATTTCCTGGGGAACAAAATCCACTTGAGACCTTACCATAGGTTCATGTTAGGAGACCTCAGGAATAGCATGCAGTTCTATGTTATTTTTGGGGAGTGTATCTGCTTGGGACCTGGTTTGGAGGCTATGTGTGCTTACCACATGTACCAATCACCAAGAGGGAAAATTAGGAGTTTGCTAACCGTGCTCAAGAACAACCAAGATTAGCAGCTTGCAGCAGGGGCTTGATCCTCATGAGGTATGCCTCGTATCTGTGAAGGTTCATTCCTTGTGCGTTGGTGCTTGAACCCCATGTTTCCCAAATATTTGCTGAATTGTTGATGCTTAAGTATACAAGGAAGCTATCAAACAAGTATTTAACATTATTTAACCATCGTTGTGCATGCTTAAGTTCTATCCATATCCCCATACACCTTATAGGTGTGTTGAAAACAAACCACCAGATTTGCAGGGTTGAACTGCCATTCACATCCATTTGCAACGTTTGTCTGAAGATACGTTTTTTTTCCCCGAAATCCATGGGTTTCTCAGAATTTGCCCCGAAAAAAATGCGAAATGTTGGATGTGCATCTTCCATTTCTGTAGGAACCATCTCGTATCGCCGGTGATATATCCCAGCGTATCATCGATTATTTCGCTCCGTCCAATTCCATCCCATTTTTTGCCCAAAAACAAACTTGGTGGCGTCCCTTTTTTTGACCCCCAGTGGCTGCATACGTTACATGGTTTCAATGGTAGTGAAATTTCTATTAGCGTTCATTCGTTTGTTTTTCAGTTCCCCGGCGTTTCCCTTCAGGAATTTGACATAGCTATGAAACATAGCCCATTTATATAGATCGATTTTCTTCAACCAAAAAGGGTGATGTTCCAGAACGATTCTCAATTCCCAATTGTCAGTACAAGTTTTTTTTTGCCTTGAGCTAGCCCCCTAGAAACCTCTGCTTGTTGCGGTAAACTAGATATACTACTACTACTACTATATATATATATATATTGTGTGCGTGTGCATGTGTGTAAATTTATACATGTTTAAAACCAACTACGTCCTGGCAATCCTTATGCCTGTTGATCATTGCGATTTTTCCCCCACCTTTTCTGCGCTGAGCATCCGCCAGCTGCCTCAGCGCTTTCGCTTCGGGCGCCTGCACCGCTTGTGCTTCCGTGGGGGCCTCCAGGACATTCTGTAGGAGCTGCCTGAGGACTGCAAACACAAGGGTTCGTAGATATTGATGGGGCAAGGTCAAGGGTAGATGTTTGTCTACTCGTAGATATGTGTTTCAGACTGTTCTTCATCATTTTTTGCCCAGATTGTTAGCTGAATTTACGGTGGATACATCTGCAACTATTTCATTACTGCAGGGCACCACAATGATACAATGTATGTATTGATGCCAAACGTTGAATATGCAATGAAAAAAAACGTGTGTCTCTACATTCTGGAATCTGGTGCAGCCCTCATGGACTTTACAAGGCGCACTGAAGCCTTTATACTTCTTTTAATTTGATTTTGATGCGGCCCCTCTTGCACTTTACAAGACTTGTTATGTCCACTGCCCCATCGCATTGGGACCCGGTTTCTCTTTATGCCTTCATATTATGTACTTGGAAGAAGTTCCGAATTGTGGAGTGTCATGCGCATCATCTAGCTCAAGATCATGTTTGGATCTTTACTGGCGACTCTGAACTCGTACTCCTTCACGCTTGCGGTGCAGTACAGAGTCAGCCTACGTAGCAGCGCCGCGGCGTGTTTTTCGAGCAGTATAAGCGAAACCACCACCACCACCACCACCACCACCAGCAGTACATACTAGTACTAGTCAACCTACGTAACTCATGTTTTCTGTGAATATCCCAACACATTTTTTTTGTTTCAGCTGATTTCAGCCAACCTTGCTCATAGTGACAGGGATGAGAAGCGCAGAAGCCTGGCCTCTGAATGCCATGCTGTATATGTTGCAGGCATGGTCGCCTGTTCAAACAACAAATGTGGGATGCCTCAATTGCTGACGTGGCGCCAAGTGTTATTCTTTCCCTGTAAGGTGTGAAAGATTGTGAAAGGAGAAGGCTGGTTCTGTTTACTATACCATATCATGCCATACCAGCTTAAAATGATGACTATTTGTTGGAAGCAGTTCCTTAGACTAAGTTTCCCATACTTCCCTACAAAAGCCCGAAATGACTTCAAGCAATCAAGGAATCTCCGTGCCCAACTGGTGAGTGAATAAGTCTGATCAGTGATCAGTGGCTCATGTCCCAAAGATCCCAAAGTCAGGCTGCAAATTAATGACATTTTGCCGCTCAATCTCTTGTGCTCCCTCTTCGAAGTCACAGGTGGCTATCGCAGCAGGGTCATTCTGCAGGAATCTGCAGTAACCTGCGCTTCCAGGCAAAGAAAAGCAACAACATGATTTAATGTGCTGGGTTATGAACTTGCATTTCCTGCTCCCAAGCGTGAGAGCAATTTGAGTTGGAATGCAGATAGGTTGAGCAACATCGCACAAAAGCGGAGGACTTCCGAGTTCGAATTTCTCCTGGGGTACCACTGCATCATGGGCCAGCTTACATACATTCAAAATCAGGCAAAGGTTTATTATTGCCAAGCAGGATGACAGAACTTCCTTAAGATTTGCGGAAGCATGAAGCCATCAAAGTGACCTAACCAAGCCGGAATTCGCCCAAACGAAACATTGATTTCTTCCATCAAAAGTTTGTGCCGCAAGGCACCCTTGACTCAAGAAGTCCCTTGGCGCACCTTGAGGCATGTCTCCAGCTGCAAGCAGAAAGTGCGGAATGTCATGCTCTGCAAACAATCTCAAACCTCAAGTCACTCAACCAAAAATGACCCTAAGAAGGCACCCCACTCCATGAAAGAAACCATGAAATGCCCATGGTATGTCATGCCCCATACAACCATGAGGCGTGAGTAATACATGTGCAAACTGTAAGCGCCACTCGTGGTACTAGAACAAACATCTGTGCAAATGTTGCATGCCAATTCGTGGGATCCCCGTAGCAAGCAGCTCTCCGCGTCCGAAATCAAGAACTGCCACAACTTGATGCTCCTCTGCGGGGTCGTTTGATCATGTTTGATCCATCGGATCCACTAGGAGCATTGAAGTTGTTTTCCTGACCCTGGGAGCTGGGAGTCAGCACGTGATCTATGCCAAATATATCCAATATCATAAAATCACCGTCTATAAACACGTTCAACATGCACCAACTTCAGGTATCGTTCCAGTACAACAACTACAAATGGGATCTGGTTTCTGCACAGAACCCGTGTGTGTAGTGTGTACACAATTCACTACGAAAATTGATTGAAATTGCTGAGAATATCGGGAAATTGGCACACTATAGAACCATAGCTCCAAGGTCTGCCGGTATATCGATCCCTACCCCCACATCATTATGCGGCATACAAGAACCAATCGTATCCTGAATCCTTTAAGTGTCCTTTATACCTAACAATTTATGATAACGTTCTGCATTGGATTGGCAATTTTCAAACAAGCCACAAGGAACTGACCAAATCGGGATGGTTGCACTGACCACTATTTGTGGTGACCTCGGCCAGTGAGCTTGCTACAATGGCTAAAAATATTTAATATATATATATATATGTATATATATATATATAAATAAATCCAGATTGATGGCTATTATCCAATTATGTTCATTGAAATCCATTGAAATCCCCAATTCCTTCCCATATTTGTTTGTTAAATCCTTATGTGTGTTGGTCAGATTCAAATTACCTTATTATATCTAATAATTATATTCTCAATTTACCACCATCTTGAACCGACAATTCATCTGTCAGTCATCCAAGGCTCAATTTCCCCACTTCCGCGGGACTCAAAATGTCCAGGTCGTTGACCTTGCAGAGATGGATCGAAATCGTCTCATCCAGAAAACTGAATGTGACTGGTTGATGGTTTTAACCATCTTGAAAAATATTAGTCAATGGGAAGGATTATCCCATCATTATGGAAAATAAAACATGTTTGAAACCACCAACTAGGTGAAAAATCTTGGGAGAATAATCTCATCGCGTCATCGCCTTACAATGCCACATGATTTCATATGGTTTGGTCGGCCTGAAACTGAAAAATAAGTTTCGTTTTGGGGGGAATGGACTTTTGAAAGATTTGAAAGATTTCTGAGGCGTATAGGGAAAATAGGGATATGACTTTTTCCAAGCAGAATTCCTGTCCTATCTTGCGCTTAATTCAATAGAATATATTGGTTTCAGGAATTGGCAGCTTACAGTTACAGGGGCAGTGATAGAAAGGGACATCATGCGCCCGGAGCCATCATCTCCAGCCAATATCTCGATCCCTGAGTCAAAACTAATATGATGTGCTCGACTGTCACGTTATCTGGTTATCGCATGTTATCGATGTTTTTCGCCTTGGCGGTCGTTTCACCAACGCCAAAGTGAATATGGCTCCCTGCTTAGCTTCACAGCAATAATATGTTGAATGGAAGGAAATGGCTAAGGCAGCTCAACTCAATGACGGTGGATTTGGTTTCGTGAAGGAGGCTGCCTGTGATGGTCAAATCTTTTCACATTGAACAAGAACAAACTGGGAGTAGTAGGCTGCGCGTCAATTGAATCAGTTTCATGACAGCATGCAGACTATTGCAAACATCATCTCCCAGTCTTGGTTTCACGGGAAGAAAGCGGGCAAACCCTTCAAAAAAAACGTGATAGATACGGATAGAGTGAGTGAAAGCATGCTTAAAACCAATCCATCGACCACCTCACCCCAGTAACCAATCCAGGAACATCAACGATGGTCTGGCCCCCTCGTCCACCAAACGACAATGGAGGGTGGCTGGAGGTCGTAAAGGGCCTGATTCACCATTGTGTGGTCGCGGAATGAATCCCTGAGCAACTAGTTCGGCCTTTTAATGCCAAAGCCCACATGCCAGTACCTAGATGATGTTCTGGAAAAAAAAACATATCTAACCAATCACTGTGATAAACATCTTAAGTGTGATAAACTATATCTAACCAATCACTACAAAACCCATCATACGCCTCAGTTAGATGATGTTTAAATATCCTGTGCATCACTGCTGACCTCAGGTCCAGCAAGTCCATAGAGCTGGTTTCGGGATAGCCATGGAGAAAGGCCATGTTATATAGGTAGCCTCTGGTAAACGTTTACTGTTTGCTATTGAAAATTGCCATTAAAAACAAAAAAACACCAGAGGATACCAGAGGGTACCCTCTGGTAAACTAACATAACTATGGAAAATCACCATTTTTAATGGGACAACTCACTATAAATGGTAATTTTCAATAGCTTTTTGTATGTTTACCAGAGGGTAAAACAGGTAATTAGGTCATTTCTCGGAAATTCTCCATGATCTCCTCAGCGCCTCGGGGCGGTTGAACTCTGTGCACTCGAAGCCGCCTGCGAAGGCCCTAAGGCAACCTGCGGTGGTGTCACAGAGAAGCCGAGCTATGTTTTACCCTCTGGTAAACTAACAAAAAGCTATTGAAAATGGCCATCGAAATAGTGGATTTACCCATTAAAAATAGTGATTTTACATAGCTATGTTAGTTTACCAGAGGGTAACAGATGTTTAACATTGTTTAAGTGTTAAATCTGTTAAATATCTTGAAGATCTGTTAAACAATGTTGTTGTGAACACTGCTATGTCTTATCTTGAACACTGCTGCAGGACCTTTTTCATCGTTTTGTTGTGACGTGAATTGATGGTGGCTGGGCCCTTTTGAAATCATCCCAGGCACAAATCTTCGAAAGATATCATGTTCCTCCATGGACGGCCGGGGCAATCACCTGGCCGCGTAGCAGGCGTAGCACTGGTTGCGCAGAGCGGCGCAGGCGCATCCAGCTGCGCATGGGGCTTCATTGCGCTGATCCTTTGATCAATTTCATTTCAACTGGGCAGGCTGGCATCCCAAGGCATTCCCTTCACTTGTTGAGAAGACATGAAACTACTCTAGGTTAACCCAATGTCATGGAAATTGGGGTCAAACTCCCAACAAAGTTTGGTTACTCTGTTTGAGGTCTCGGAGAAATGTTGCCCCTGAAAAATATTGAATTATATTATATGTATCTACATATTATATATATATAGTGTGTGTATGTTTTCTAAAAATCGAGGAACAGCAGCGCGCTATATCACGACCATTTACTTGGGTCATGTTACGCAAGCCGCTGTTCAACACCGTGCGCACACTCAGTCACTTCAATGCTGTACGTTGGAACCTGTTAATTTGATTGCCAGAAGTTCCTGAGATCCAAGAATTGCATAGCGCAATTCTAATAGCACATTTACATAATATATATATATATTACAATGTATATATATAATTATATATATATACATTTATACATTTATACCATTCCTATTTCTGCTGAAGATCTGCTACTCTACAAGCTGATGGATTCCAGAGCTCCGCTCATATCAAAAAAACACAACCGCGGCCTGGTTCAAGGTACCATTCAGAAGTCTAAATCCATAGCAACACATGGTTTCTGGGGAGTGCCTAATCATGTTTAATATGAGGGAAGAGATCCATGGAATGAAAAATGATCCGCAGATGCGTCATCTATTAAAGGTATTAAAGGGCACCCCCAATGGAACCAGTGGTCGACGTTGTGGGCTGACACTGCCCATGTTTATCAAACTTCATGGCTGTTCAATAGGTAAATCTGTGGGTTTATCAACAGTAAATCTCCACTTTATCGAGCAAATGAGTCCGCACTTTGAGTGGATCAATTTCCGTTTTTTACTGCTAGCACTCCCAACGTTTTGCTTGGCAACTCCCCCTGTTTTTCAAAAGTTACCCATTTCGAAGTGGCTGCCGACCCAACATTTCTTCACTCAGAAATCATTGCGGAGACTCGCCGTCGCGGGTCGACGTGGTCACCGAAGAGCAGAGCTTCATTTTAGAATGCTCAGCAGCAGGTTGAGCCGGGCATGGCACCCTTGAGATCCAAAGATATTCAAAGATTTCTCTGCCCCAAATCCCAGCAACGCTATTGTTGATTTGATTGAAAAACATCTCCAACTGAGGTTCAACTTAATGATGTGAAGTGCAGGCATGAATATTTCACACGCACTTGATTCAGAGACAATCACAATCTACATGCACCATGTTTATCGTCCGAATGGCTGTCAGCTTGCCACTCAACTGTTGTGAGATGTGGCTCTCTCCCCTCACTTGCGGCTCTGAACACACAAGCCCTAAAACTGGGTACACATTGGGATATACCATGATCCGTTACCAAATCTTACTCCATCTTGCCTCATCTGTACAGTATGGTAAACACCGGAAGCCCTGGTTCAGTATTGTATCATTATGATCACGATTCATTATTATATTTCACTGTTATCACTTATCACATATTTTCATATATGTTCATTATTCCATAGTCTAATGACAATGAAATACATATCATTGTACACCATTCCAATAAAAAATGCCAAGATTCTATTCCAATCAAAACCATTGTGAATCAATAACAAGGAAAATTGGACTAACATATTTCCGATCAATTTCCGACCATTTTGGGAGCTGATTTTTGTGACTTTGGGGACCTGGATTGCTGCCACAGCTCGCCCGACTGTCGGTGGAGCGCTCGCGGACCCGCCGTATGTAAAACTCACCGGACCAGTCCCGGTCGTTGGTGAAGCCACCCGAAGAATCTGCCGAATCTTCGTGGTTTCTGAATCGTTTTTGTATCTTTTGAGTGGAACCTGGAAATCATGGGAAATCTATTCCCTAAGACTCGTCTCCGATTTTTTTTGTGGCCTGAGCTTTTTGGGTGTTTGCATTGTAAATCATGGAATTCTGTGGGTGCAGCCAGATCGAAAAGGGGGAAGACTACGCCCACCATATCGATAGGTTGGTTGAGGAATGGCGAGTCATGAGCATTGCAGTAATGCCCAACCATCCATACTGTAATTCACATACCCTTCAGTAAACTAGCCTAGCTATGGAAAATAAATGAAAATTGCCCAGATCATCTATAGATTATGGGCCCAAAAGGAATCTCTGAAAGAATCACGGGACGCCTTGGGTGGTACAACCCTTTAAAAAATCAAAAATCAAACCCGCAAAGGACACAAGTCCCGAATACAACCAACCCCGTGTCTAAAGAATGGAGGACTTCGGATTACAGTTCTGCAAATCCGCCCTTGCAAACCCTTTGGATATCTTTCAGATTCCATTCTTGACTTGTATTCATATGTATACTTGTATGAACTGTATGTGTAATATATTTGTATATAATCTAAATCAATCTAAATCGTCCATTTGAAATCATTTGAATAGGAATGAATAGGGTTTTCCATTAAAAGTTCTAAACCATCCAGCTATTGGGGTACCCCCCGTGACTCTGGAAACCCCCATGTATTCGTCATTTGCTGCTATTATGTCAGGTTGCACTTCTTGAGTCATGTCACTTGCAAGTGGAAAATTTACGTGCTTGGTTGATGTTAAGGGGTTCAAATTGCTCTCACAACAGGGTCTCGTAAAAAAAAAATGAAAACCCTATCTAAAACAAAAGAGAATTCATGCAACGTGGAAGTTGCAATTCTCTGCAGCACTGCGCTGTTTTCACGCACCGGGTTCATTCCTTAGAGTGTTTTTTTTTTTTTTCGAGGGGATTTTCTACCGAAATATTTCATTATAAATTCCTATATCATTCTATACCACCACTGAATATACTGAATCTATCAGTACATCTTCATAGAGGTACAAGTACGGGATCTCATCAAAAAGGGTACTGATTGGCCCAAGGGTATGTTGCGATATGTCATTCAGTTTCACTTTTCTAAGTATTTGTAATTGCCATGCAATTTCAATGAAATGATTTTGAAGGAAAATGTATGAACAATAATGCACTGAGGGCGAACTTGTCCTTCAGATGGCTCGAAGCATTTGTTTTGAAATCATGTTGTTTGAATGTTGTATACCTTTTTCGGACGGTTTTGCATGTTGGTTGAATGTTCTATGAATGGTTTCGCATTTTTGTCAATGTCGTTGGCTTGGAGTCTGTCAGAGTTAGAGGCTAACTATGTGAGATGTGACAAGATGTACACGACATGTCAGCACCAAGCACCCGACTAGGTGTTTCCGTGTGTCAGTGGCCCGTTGTTGGTAGAAATGAAACAACATGTTCCAGCAGGAAATGGTATCTTTACAGGCATCTTCATGTATTTTCCATGCAGAAACAAATTTGATGAGTAATTTGTTGATCAGCAACCCATGGTGTTTGGATGAAGATCATTTACGGTAAATAATCATGCATATATCATATATATATATGTATGTATATGTGTATTTATATATATATACATATAGAAAGAAAATAAAATGTATATGATTAAATATGTATAAATAGATCACATGTACCATGGTGGCTTCGACCACCTTCCCGGGACGACGTTTCGTTCGTTGATGGCTTGAGTTCACCATCAGTCCGACTCTGACAAAGTGCTGCCGCACCGTTTTTTTGCCGTGTTGCAGGCAACAGGCCATCGAGAGAACTACAAGTGTTACAAGTGGTGAGAATATGACGCATATACAAAGAAATCGAAACACATCTAAGAAATCATAAAGCAGCTTGGATATAGTTCATATACAGTAACATATAAACTAAGTTGATCTCAACGATATCGGAATACATGACCATGTGCTTGTCCCAACCGGTTAAATAGGCCTATCATGATGGCAATTGGAAATCATGAAGCCTGTCAGCAGCACATCTAGCTGAAGGACATGACTCTAACACAATGAAAAACACACATCTATGGTAATTCATATATATATATGTTTATACACATACATATAAACGTATATACATATATACATATATATCTACATATACATATACATATATACATATATACATATATATATATACATATATACATATATATATATACATACATATATACATATATACATATATATATATATACATATACATATATATATATATACATACATATATACATATATACATATATACATATATACATATATACATATATAAATATATACATATATACATATATAGATATATAGATATATACATATATATACATATACATATATATATATATATACATACATACATACATACATATATACATATATACATATATACATATATACATATATACATATATACATATACATATATATATATGTATATATATATACGTACGCATATATATATATATAGGTATACATATATATATATATGTAGATATATATATATATATATACGTACGCATATATATATATATAGGTATACATATATATATATATATGCGTATATATCACCAATCACCACCTGTTACAATTTGTGCAAATGTCTACAGGTGGTGCAATGATGGAAATGATTCATTCATTTGGCACAAATATGCACGCATTTGTCACCACCTGAAACCACGCTTGACCACTGTTTGCAAACAACGCTCTATATATATATATATATATTTATTTATACATATCGATGGAACATTTTAAAAATACCTACAATACGGTCATTTAGGTTCCACCACTAGAATTTGAGTGTGTTCTCAAAACAGGGCCGATGCGAGGGCCCACAAAAATGGCTGAGCCATTAATAAATGACCCGCTGGTTAACATAGCAATGAACTATCTGAGTATCACTGTTTGAATAGATACCATCTGGCCATGGAAAATCACCATTTTTAATAGGTAAACCATTTATAAATGGGCCATTTTCCATGGCTATGTTAAGTAACCAGAGGGTAAGTCTTTTATAAACGGGCCATGGCTTCCAGGACGCTATGTCTCAGGTCGAGTCAATGATATCATGGCTGGTCCCTCCCCAGAGTAATTACCGTCCCAACTCTGGATCTCTTCATTTTGGGGTTCCACATAGCGGAGTTTGTTGAGGAATGGGGTTTACCACCAGCAATGAGGATATATAATTGTATCATATATATATATATATATATTATATTTAATATATATATATATAGAGAATATTATATATAAAATATATTAAATATTTAATATATATATATACACATATATATGTATAGATTATTATTATTAATATTTTTTATTATCATTATTATTATTATCTATATAATATATATCTAATATTATATATATATTTATTATATATATACTATATATATATATATACTATATATATGTACATAACCATATATATATATATACATATATAACCCATCACAGTGTTGAATCACCCACTTATGCATGGAATATCCTTGGGGTTCTCTCTGGCATGTAGTGTCACCGCCCGTATCACCTCGCTTGGGCAGTCTGTGCCACGCGTGCCACGCGCAAAAGTACGGCCATGTCGGTTGCGTGCGCCTTTCACATTTCGTTTCAGGCGAGCACGTGGTCAAAACCTTCGACTTTTAAAAAGCCCCCAGAAAACCAACAGCTTCTGTATCTAGAAACAGATATGGCAACAAATGTTTGCCAGAAAATTATGGCATTGAGCCCTTATCGACGGCCTACAGTATCTATAGAGTTGGCACATGTCACATGTCCTATATAGCCTGGTTTTAACTTAATTTCAATATAATATATATTTATATATTATATATATATATTTCAATCATTTGCGACGTTTCTCATGTGGAAAGATGCAGTTCTGATCAGATCCTATCATCGTCGCATGCTGTCGCAGGAACCTTTGGTAATGGACAAATGCCGGCGCTGGGCTGCTAGGTTACGACATTCATACTGGGAAGGAAAAAAGGATCAACGAAAACACGCGCCGCTCATTTGGGACTTGAAGTCAATTACCGGCACTTGCCGGGAAGAAAAAAAAAACATCTGAAGCTTCTGGCCAGCATTGCAGTAGTCCCAGTGAGGGATTTCCATTCAGTCGAAGGTACCAAAGACATTTGAAATATTGCAGACAAGATCACAGCTCATCTCTGGAAGAACCGCTGCATGGGTGGCGCCTTCTGTTTGATAAACCATGCAGAAAGTTGGCTGGTACCAAGTTTGGGGAGATGGGATCATCTGCAAATACATGCAAATACAAGATAAGACAAGTAGGTTACAAGGGTACGAACCAAAAATCCCAAGAAACAGTCAAGCCAAGTCATGAGATGACCCGCGTCGTGTTTTATCTCCCTGTTGTACCCCTCCTCCACTTGTGCCTGGATGAATCTTCTCATCCAGTCCTTGTGAATCTTGTGATGGCGCACCCATGAGCCATGCTACTCGAATTCATCTTGGCGCATCGCATCAACAGCGCGTTGGCAATCGCCAGCGGGACCTGAAGGCAGCTTGGAATCAGCCCACAACAACGCAGATGTATTACACAGTATCTATTCCACCTCAGCTTGACATAGAACCCCAAAGACAATACCATCGTCAAGAGGAAAGTGATCTTCCACACCCCAGAAATTTGAGGGTCTATGTTTAATTTAGGTGGTGGTGCTATAATGTTTTTGAAAACTCAACGAATAATGGAACTTAGATCCTGATCAACAACAATTCCATCACCCAGATCATATTAACCCCACCCCATGTGGCCTCCACAATGAATAGATCTAAGGCTGAACCAAGTTTTGGAGTGCCGTGCGCGCCACCCAACAGCCAGCCGTTATGGTGGGCTCGCACCAGAGTTGCAACTTCACTAAAGTGTTCAAAGAGATGATTGTGAAAATAAGTTTGCATGGTCTAAGATACCTTACAAAAAATACACGTATTAAACATTGCTCATGTTTCAAGAGCAGGATATGTTCCGCCAATTTTTCTGAATGGTTGAAAATCATCCCGATCATCCACTGAAGATCCAGTAAAGAATTTCCAAGTTGTTGTCCCATACCACGGCCCACCTGGCATGCATTGGCACGCCAGGGAGGGCCAGGCAGCCAGACCCTCACAGGAAGCTCACCACAATTCCTGGCCCCGGGTTGTTTGATCTGATGGCCTGCTGGAAGCATTGGAGGAAACCAATTTCTGCGATATCAATGAGTACCAACATGTTGATTTTTACCAGGTTGAATCAACAATTTGTGGGAAAGTGAGTTGATACGCACCAACATTGGACTATTGACTATGACCAGCAAAAACCGGAGTTTCAACCTAGAAACAGAACAACATAAGCAAGAAGAGGGGGATAATTGGTGAACAACCAGTCAGAGATTTTTCGCAGGTGTTATTGGTATTGGCAACCCGGAGGTGCTCCAAGAATCGAACAGTTGCACTTCCTTTCAGGCTCTCGGGGGAAACAACTTGGACTTGGGTGGCATACATCCACCGGCTGCAAATATAATATGGAAAGTCACTGTCGCCCGGGAGATTTTGGCAGCAAATTCCCATGTAAAACAATCAAAACACACCATACCGCAAGAAACCATCAACCAGCACAAACACAGACACACGCATCGCCTATACCTGCAAATGCCGCCCGCAATGGAGCGGAAAAAATGTATGAAATAATTAAGCACTAGACCGTAACATCCATACGCCAAACTGTATGTGTACATATATATATATGCGTTATTAATTATATAATATATCATTATTAGTATTAAATATATATATATATATATATAAATAAACATATTATAATATATGCAACCTATATGAACCATTTAAAACACCAATAGTGCCGCACAAGGTGGCGGTAAAGGTTTCAAAATAGGAAACCTATAGGACAGGTGAGTTGCTGGATGCACGGATGGCAGAGCGAACCCACAGGTGGGCCGCAAGGTGGTTGAGGCTCTGAGTCTCTCTGTCTCTCTCTCTCTCTCTCTTCTCTCTCTCTCTCTCTCTCTCCATCGCTCTCTGTCTCTCTATCTCTCTATCTATCTATCGATCGATCGATCGGTCTCTCTATCTATGGAAACGTGCTTCGCGCCACAACAGCGTGCACTTTTTCGACATCGCAACTTCCAAAAGTGGTCCGAATGTGGTGTGCTTTTATGTGCTTTTCACATTTTGACTTCGAAATGTCTTGCGCGCCACAAGGACGTGCACTTTTTGGACATCTCAAATTCCAAAAGTGGTCCAAACGTGGTGTGTAAGTGTATTTCACATGTTGCCTTCGAAATGTGCTTCGTGCCACAACGGCACGTACTTTTGCAACAGCTCAACGTCCAAGAGTGCGCCGACCATGAGGTGTTTTCACCATGAGTACCTCCAAACGCACTTCGCGCCACAGTCGCGTGCACTTTTTGAACATCTCAACTTCCAAAAGTGGCTGGAAGCTGCGGTCTTTGAAGTCTTTGAAACATTTTCACTTCCAAATCTGCTTCGCGCCACAATGGCGTGCAATCTTTCATCTCTCATCTGCCGAGATGGCTCCGCACCCGCTGCTTTAGCAAGCCTACTTTTCGACCCTCCGGAGCCACAAAACGTTGGAAACAACAGTGTTTCGCGACTTTTCTCCCTTTTCGCACATTTTGATCTTCTCTCTTCTGACTCTTCCCACCTCTGCTTTTCCATCTGTCTATATTGTCGGAAGTTTGATTTCAAAACTTCCTTCGGCTAATTGGTATTTATTTGGGGCATCGGTATATATATAATTATGGGTATATATATACATATATATATGCAATTATGTGTGTGAATGTTAAGCGTCTACATGCAAATCTACATTGCCAAAGATCCGCCACAGTCAATGTACAGCAACTCTGGAAGATAGGCAGTCCTCAGTCACGTTCACCAAGGACAAACGTCGATTGTCCACGATTCTCCACTTGGATCTTGTTTTGCAAGCATCGGATTGAACAGAAATCAAAAACATGATTTTGCCCAAGTGAAATTGGAATTGTCCCGGAAAAAAAGTGAACTTAGCCAATCAAAAGCATGGATCTACCCGGAAAAACAAAACAATATCATTTAATGTGTTACAATACCCGTTGCCTGCTGACAAGTGGGACTAGGAAATTTACAAATCAAGTATGGATTTAAAATGTATTGAACATGGATAGGCAAGAAAAAATGGGACATGTTCAACGTTGAAAACCCGGTTGGTTGAGTTGGGGTTCCAAATGATTCAAAATCTATGCTATGATACTATAATATACCATATGATTTCCAACTATCAGGCGGTTGGAAAACTCTTGGTACCTTCTTGGCCTCCATTTTTACGGGAACAAAACCGTACCCATGGCTCCTGAGTTCCCTCCTAGCCGACAAAAAATCCCAGGCAAGCTTGCAATGATCCCGTCATGCGGTCACATTGGACCAACATGCTTGGTGTTTGGAGGTGGCTTGTCCAAATGTTGGTTACATATATATCGTGCAATTATGCGATTTAATCAAAAAAGTTAACCAAAATGATCTTCTTGCTGATTAACATTTCTTTTTGACTATCCCATGAAGAAAAAAAACACGTTTTCCTGATCGGGGGTTTTACCCTTAAAAAAAAGAAAACTACTTCGAAGAAACCCCACCCTGACACACTATTCTGACATGGTTTCCGACATACTATCTGGAAGATTTTGGAATTATATATATATATATGGCATATCCATTCTGACATTCTGACACTCTTTCTAGCATATACTCTAACATTCTATCCGACATTCTTTCCGGAATTCTATCTGACATTCGTTCTGACATATACTCTGACATTCTATCCGACATTCTTTTTGGCAGTCGTCTATCTGACATACTTCCTGGCATCTATTCTGACATTCTTTCCAGCATTCTATCTGGCATCTATTCTGACATTCTTTCTGGCATTCTATCTGACATATGTTCTGACATCGCAGTCCTTATGGCATCGATTCTAACATTCTTTGTTTGGGTCCAGGCGTGGTCCACTGCGTCCGCGGCTCGCGATACGGAGTTCGGGCCCAGGCATAGCCAGCTGCAAAAAAGAGCTGGCAATATATTATATGGGTTCGGCGAGGAGCTGGCAAAGACATGCAAAGACGTAGACAAGGAGGAAGTGAGTAAGTGAGCCGCTGTGAGCCAGGTACACTTTTGTTAAATTCTATAGGCCCTCACCTGGCAGGTGGGGAAAAAACATGAAAAAATCAGTGGGGACCCTCATCCGAACAGGGCAAAAATCGACCAACCATTGGAACCACTGACATAGATGTGGACAATCCACCATATATGTAGATGTTTTTTCTTGAAAAGCATTGTTTTCCAAATCTTTTTGCATCTTTGCAGAACATCTTTGCAGGGTATCATAAGCTATCCCCCAGAAAAAGTCCGGCATCCTCCGGTCCTGCGGTCCAAGCATCTCCAGAAGTTCCAAGTTCTGGTTGAACCTGCTTCCAAAGCTGAGGCGTTGGAGCGTTGGCGGCAGAGTCCTGGGTTTTATGCGCTGAGTGAAAGAAGACCTCGGGAAAAGCTCTTGGGAGAAGGACCTGGTTGACGATTTGGTAAATCTTTAGAGTTGACTTCAAACTTTTAGATAATGACTTCTTCAAACACTCTTTGATTGGAAAATTGAAGATACTTCGGTTCTGAAGCTGTAGGTTGTCCAAATCTATCCAGTTCTCTGACACATCTTCAGGAAAAGGTCTCTTTGGCACAGGCTTGCCAGCCACAGTCCGGAAATTCAGGTTGTCCCAAACCCCCAAAAAACACCAGGAGATAAAACTTGGATCATTGGTGCCAGGGCTCACATTCTCCAAGCTCTGATCAAAGTCAAATCCGAAGCACAAGTTTTGCAAACCCACCGGAAGTTCCACATTCTCCTTAGCTATCGACGGGCGAAGGGGCAACCCCCATTTCCCAAGCGGTTTGGGCATTGTTTTCTTTGCCGTGGGGCCTGGAAAAACTACAAGACTTCGCAAAATTCTCCTCCGGTACGGTACCGAGTTTCTGACGGCCAAAACCACTCATGAAATGCTTGCACAGCAAACGGCAACATTGGAGTTTCACTTTTGTCTAAATGTCCTCATCCTCTTAATTAAACAAAAACGGTACTCAATCGGACGCAATGGCAGAATGGGCGAAAATCTCCATATAAGATCATATAAGTTTACATCACTTCTCTCTGCAACCGAACGAAGTGCACAACAAACAGAAAAAGCAAACGCATAAATATCAGCTATGTGTTATTCTACTGATGCATCTTCTCTGTGTGAACCCTTGCACCCTCTGCAGCACCTCCCCCAAATTACAACCCCAAACCATTGCCATGTTACTACCAAATCTTGTATATACGAGTACAACTATATATATGTAAATACATGGACGTATCAAGCAATATGAATCAAATCGGGATGTAAGCCACTGTACCAATTGCCAACCATGGCTGCCATGGCTGCCATGCTTGCCATAGCTGCCATGGCCCAGTACCAATGCCACTGCCACGGGGCCAAGCTCTGGTTGAAGCACTTGCCGAAGACGAGGCTGCGCAAAGTGCTGGGCAACTTCCTCACAGAAATGATGATCAGAATGGTACGAGTAGCGAAACAACAAACAGAAGCAAGTAACAGCGACAACAACAAAAAATGGTGATGATTATTATTATTATGATGATGGTGACTGAACCAAAAACTCATTTCTGTGATAAACATGTTCTTCCACTTGCCGAGGATGTCACTGGCTCAGTCTCGAGGTCCGAGTTTCACTCGCTCCAAGCTCTGATTGAAGCTCTTGCCAAAAGTCAGGCATTGCAAACCTTGGCCACGGCCGTGCTGGGAAAACTGTTTGGTTATGGCCCAACATCAATTTCAACATCTCGGGGTGTTTGACCTGTTTTCGACATATCTGTACATATCTGCGGTGAATGAGGATATTCAAAGGATTGAAAATGACATATCTTGAAATATCAACCCAAATTCTAGCAGTATCTAGCTACCGACTTGATAATTTCACCAATGGAAGCGGGGATGCATCGGGGAATGTGCTCACCAGTGAACTCGACATTATCTGTGTTGGTTGGTGATTCTACCCCCGGTGACATATTGGTAAGTTGGCATTCTCATCCCAATTCCAGGGTTACAAAAAAGCAAGCAAAAGTGATTAAAACTAAACAAAACATATTAGTAACACACTCTCACTTCACTTATTGGGCCGTTGCACCTTATGTTTTTTTGCGTTGTTCCTTAGCCTTTAAAAATCAAAAAAACGTATGTGTGCCGGGTTGCCCCTAGGTCCCTGCTCTGCGCATGTGCTGACCATGGAGCTCTCTGGAAGAATCACCTTTTCCAAGCTTTGATTGAAGTTGTCTCCGAAGGTCAGCGATTTCAAGCCTTGCATTGCAACATTGCAAGGCTGTCATGGCCGAGTCTCTATAGCTTCAAGCGAGACTGATTCATCGGTGGCTTCAACCCCGAAGATCAGGTGGGATCATCGTGCCAAATCAAGCGGAAAAATCAAAATATATTTGAAATCAACTATGTATAAATATATATACAATATATATATATTATAAATGTGTTATATGTGTATATATAGATATTTTTTTATATTATATTATATTACGTTATATTTTATTTTATCTTATTTATCTATATACTATTGGATTATATTGGATAATTTATACATATATATATATATGTATATGTATAGACACCCCCATGAAAATAGAAAAAGTACTTTACTTCGTGTGATCCCCACCATGACATTTATACATTTTCTTACTGGCAAATCTTCTGGCATTCTATCTGACATGTCTTCTGGCATTCTATCTGGCATTCTATCTGGCATATCTTCTGGAATATGTTCTGGCACTTTATCTGACATATCTTCTGGCATTCTATCTGGCAAATCTTCTGGCATTCTATCTGGCCTTTCTTCTGGCATTCTATCTGACATATCTTCTGGCATTCTATATGGCATTCTATCTGGCATAAATTCTGACATATCTTCTGGCATTCTATCTGGCATTCTATCTGGCATATCTTCTGGCATATCTTCTGGCATTCTATCTGCCATATTTTCTGGCATATGTTCTGGCATATCTTCTGGCATTCTATCTGGCATATCTTCTGGATTTGCCCGTTGAGGTCCAGCAGTGCACACTGAGCTGGGAAGGTCCTGAGGTCCAGCGGTGCACACTGAGCTGGGCAGATCCCAGGTTGAGGTCCAGCGGTGCACACTGGGCTGGGCAGGTCCCAGGTTGAGGTCCCAGTGCACACTGAGCTGGGAAGTTGGCAAAGAGCTTGGCGAAGAGTTGGCAAGGCGGAAGTGGAGGTGGAAGTTGATGCAGACATGGTCGAGGAGAAACTAGAGGAGGAGGAGGAGGACAGCTAGCCGAGGAGGAGGAGGAGAACAACTCTGATAAAATCTAACAACCCTCACCTGGCAGGTGGGGAAAAACAGGATGGCATTATATACATTCCATTTCCTCCATGTTTCTACTGTCGGTGTCCAACTCTTCTATTGTTCTTGGGGTGGCTACAATCCATATATCCCTTGAGTCCTCGTTTCCAACAGCGACATCAAAAGGGTGTAGTTTGTTTCTGAGAGCTCCCCTTCTCTTGTTTCTGACCTTCGGGCCTTTGGTAGAATGCACATGACAGGTGGCAAGTGGCTATGAGCTATGACTTAATGATTCTCTCACTCACACATGTATCTCGTGTTTATATATGTTTATATACAGAACTAACATGTTATAACACATTGTAATCATATGTCGATTTAATGTCGTAACATGTCGGGTCATTCACTTAAACACTTATCAACTGGGACACACATCATCCAGGCTGCCAAGTATCTGCTTGGAAGTTGCAAAAGGTCCAAGCTGCTGTTTAGAGTTTCACCTAGGCTGCAATTGCTATGGGATGGGGAAAAAAAGTGCCAAACATGGAAGTAAAGCCCAGATCAATAACAAACCCCAGATGGGTTCCCCCAAAACAGTAAATAGTGATAAATTGCTAGAAAAAAGAAACGAACTGGGATATACCGCCATTTGAAAAGCACTGGGCCTTATCAACTCTGGGTTAACAACATTAAGCTTCGCAAAATCCACTGGCACCGTGGGGACTTTCTTTTTCAGCAACAGTGCAGCCGCACATCCCTCACATCCCTGCGGCCAAGGGGCGTAAGGTGAGACTCTGCAAAATGCTTGGCAGACTCACCTGGGACCGAAACATCCGAAACTGTTTCTGAGGAAAGAATATCATATGTTGCAAGCATCGATTCTGCAATCTCGCTGGTGGGTAACACTGACTTTCGTGGGAGTTTTCGAGTTGAAAAACCAGAGGGAAAAAAACATAAGACTTCTAAAGACCTGAAGACCTGTCTGAACCTGAAGAGAAACACCCAAGACAATATGAAATCAAACCGCTTGGCGGCCAAGGCAAGTCACATGTTCATAGCTGTGAGTCCAAAAGCGCCCAAAGGTCAAAGATTGGACGCTGCTTGGAAGATTGACGTGGTCAAAGATGTGCCTCGAAAACGAATGAAAACTCAGACTCTGCAGGTTGCCTCAGATTCCGCAGCAGGTGAAGAATTTGGCTCATCTTGTGACATTTGATGACATTTCTTCCCTTTTCTTGGGGAAAAGTATGGAAAAGTCAGTCAAATTCACCCCCACATACTTCAACACTTGGGGCACCCTCAAATGTGACCAATTCCCAACATAACAAAGGAACGATAAGCAAAACGACAGGGCTTTCCCTACGGAGAAGGATCTTGGACAACATCTGATGACTTGGGATCCCCTATTTTGTCAACAAATTCAACAACCATTGTGTATAAAACTGTGTATGGTGATATATATATATAATTGTATATATATACATATATATATATATACACAATATTCAATGTTCATGGTCCCCCGATTTTGAATTCTTCATCATGGATGGTCGTCATTGTAATTCCCATTTACCAATGTACGTCCATCCATCAACTCATTCCTCGTCATCCCTGCAGCAGCTTGAGTTGCTTGGGAGCGTGACGGAGTCCAAGTTGTGGTTGTACGACTTTCCTTGTGGCTGGGGATGTGGACATACTGGGAAGGGGGGGAAGATTGGGAAAGAATCCGGATCAGAATCCGAGTGAAAATTCGAGTTTGGTATATTTTGGTATGGTGTTCCCAATTGATTCCACCAAATTCACCAAGGTGTTACCCTCTGGTAAACTAACATAACTAAGGAAAATCACCATTTTCAATGGGTAAATCCACTATAAATGGCCATTTTCAATAGCTATGTTAAATTACCAGAGGGTGTTAAATTCGCAATTTTTGGATGCGCCGGGCCCAGACTCCAAAGGCCAATTGCTGCAGAGAGTTGGGGAGCTTCACCACATCCAAGCGCTGATTGAAGTCAAAGCCAAACACCAAGTCCAAGAGATTTGGGGGCAAGTCCACCTGCAAACAACGGGGCCCGTGGGATTCAACGCGATCACCGCGTTGGCACTCCTAGGAAGTGATAAAATTCCCGACATGCCATACATATATACATACATGTGTATGTATATATATATATACATAATAATATATATTATGTAGACTATATAATCACCAGAAAAATCCAGATTTAAACCATCTGGGGCGTTGGCCTAGCTGCTTAGCTTCAGCACTAAACACAATCTTGTGTTTGAGTCTAATTGATCCTATGCACCGTCCAAATTGAGACCTCAAGAAAAGATCCAACCTAATCCAAACCTATCAAATGCTATCCTTCACCATGGTTTCAAATAGCCCCTCCACATCTGACAGCGACAGTTGATCCAGGCAGCGTTCTCCAAGCTCTGGTCGAAGCTCTTTCCAAAGATCAAAGTCTGAAGAGAAGATGGAAGATTTACCTGCCATGGATTCCGCGAACCATCAAACACGGTGATTCACCTACTAAAAATGGTGCTATGGCCAACAATGATGGGAATGTGCAGGGATTGGATTATTCATGGATTGACTTTCTTCGAACAATCTTAGCCAAAACTGTGGTTTTTACGGCCCAAATTGGTTGGGGTTTTCTGTCGATGTTCCCTTGAACTCGCAACCGCGAGTTAGTGACGGCAGGATCCAACCATCATTGGCTTGGGCGACGCTGCAAGGTCCAGTCAGTTTGTACAGTTTATACATTTTAAGATTTTTAAGTTGTAGTAAGTTATGTAAGTTTTTTAGCTATGCCGACATGCCCTAGTCACTACATGTCACCACAGTCATCAACCATGTACCAAGCCCAGGGCGGGGATCTTCCCAGGAGCCCGTGGTCATGTCAGAGATAGTTCCATACGAGGTGGTGGCCCATAGTTAGCTAAGTTGGTTTATAAGTCCAATAACTAGGTTATGGGGGTTATATCTATAGTTTATGGGGATTATAAACCAGGTTTTAATATGTTTTAATTGGGGGGGTACCACCTTGTAGGTACTGACTCCTTTTCACCATGTGCAATAGTTGAGAACCTGTTGTGATCGCAACTGCTTGGTACGACAAGTATGGTCTGGTTGAGATACGCCACATCATCCACATCGACGCTTGAAAAAGCGTTGCCAAGGTGCTTTCTCCAAACTCTGATTGAAGGCTTTTCCAAAGCTTAAATATTGCAGACTTGTAGGAAGATTAACCTGAGGCTCAGCGCGTGGGTCGATGATACGGAATGTTTCCAGCTGACTCGTGGATTTCCAGACCATCACCATGGTCAACGCTTGGAGGGTCATGACGTGACTGGGATCCAAATGCAGCAGGTTTTCCCAACAACTCGAAACTGAAACGGGGGAAATAGGCTTTCAAAGAACACATTATGACATAAGATGACATAAGTAGACTCTGAATCTCACCCATTTTCAGACATATGGGTGCGGCAGCATGTCATACGCGTCTGGTCGCCGGGAAGTAGCCTTGAACTCTCTGCAGCAAGGACACGTGCTCCAAGCTCTGATTAAAGTCACGGCCAAAAGCCAAACCTCAGCACCGACTTCACCGTAAGATTTTGGGCATGTCAAGGATGGGGACCTAAAGAAACGGACTCAAGCCAGCAAACTCATGATATGTTGAATAGTACTTTGCTCATTTCTTTACTTGAACATATGTTTTCCATATTTTTTCCAGTTACCCGAGCAGTTACCACCGAGCAGCTGTGCACGCCACATGGGAGCTTCACGCCCTCCATGCTTTGATTGAAATTCTCGCCCAAAGACAAGCTTTGCCTCGGACAGGCTGGGACCACTTTTTTTACCCCAGGTCCCCCAGGTCCCCAGGTGAGGTAAGCCCAAGGATTTTTGGCTGGGACATTTCCCATTTTTGTATCATCTAGTTAAAGTTAATCTAGTTCTAGGATTTTCTCAACTAGAAACAACCACTTACATAGTATTTTTTAATAGGGCATGTTCCAATTGCCACGCTGGATCACCAAAGGGTAACCACCAACAACCACGATCATGAGAGCTTGTTGACTATCTATCATTAGGGAGTCGCCTTCGGGGAGTGGTTCAATAGCTAAATGATGGCAGCAACTCAGCAATCCGCATGATTTGGACAAGGGAGAACCCTGATCGAAGTTGTTTGTGAAAACGGCATGTTCATGATCTGTCTTGGGATGCTACTTGAGTTTGTGCCTTTGCTACTCATGTTGACCTCAAGTCATAGTCCAAGCAATTGCTCGTTGCATCAAAAGCTGTAAGCAGTGCATGGCTCGTAGATGTTTTTGGCCAACGAGAGAAACAGGTACCAGGGGCTAGTCGTCTACTAGTCGTGGCTAGTCAGTTGAAAAACAAGTCAGTGACCAAAACCAGATCATCCAATGCCAAAGGGGGCAACATGATCAGTACTTCAAAGCAAAATGTCATCATACTCATTTAGTCTTCGGAACATGGGAATTGAAATCACCCTACTTACTTCAACAACAGAACATTGTCCAAATAGCTAATTAATATCTGAGTCTGCGAAATCTGCTCGAGCCGGACATTGGGCTGAGCGGGCTGACAGCAGGAAAAACCTCTTTACCATTCCAGCATGCCATCTTTATTAGCCTTTGGATGTTCGATATGTTCAAGTCAATCGTCTCCCGTGACAATGCTGAAAAACACTGCAGAAACTCAGCACCAAAAAAACAGTCTCCCACCAAAAGCCTTTGCCATCCCAGTCTCAGGGCAGTTGGAAGATCCACTGAGTCTAAGCTCTGATTGAAATTCTCGCCAAAGACCATCTCACCTCGAAGACGCGGCAACGACGCGGCAAAGAATTGCTCGGGCTTTATTGTGGTCAGTCATCATGTTGAGCGGCAAAGCATTAAAGACTACCACTAAGTCCCTCAACACCATTTCTATCGATTTCTCACAGAAGTCGCGCCGTGGCACGAATACCCTTAGGCAACTTCACATTCTCCAAGCTCTGGTTGAATTGCCATCCAAAGGTCAAAGACCTTAGCTGTGGAGACGCGGAGATTCTCACCGTCCTAAACGGTGAGCATCAAAACTTGGACCTAAAAAGGGGTGGATTTTGCCATGAAAAGTGCGCCAACATCAACCAACCTTGTTTCAGAACTGGGAAAAAACATCAGTGGAATCACCTGTTTGGAGATCTTCGTCGATGTCACTTGATATCAGTTTCCATACTTGTGGCTGAGTTTTTTCAAATACTGTAGCAATTTCAAATCACAAATATCATCAAATATCATGCCCCGGTGTGATTTCAAACCACAAATATCAAATATCATACCACAAATGTGTGACATCACCGCATTCAATTTCATTCAACGTTTGCGGGTCAAAGTGTGGATTTTGGATCCAGGTCCAAAATGCTCTCAGGGTGTCCGAAGACCCGGAGTTCAGACTGTTCAGTTTTGATTGATTTCTGGTATATTCCAATCAATTTGGGGGCATAACCGCTGACCTCATCTTATCACGATCGTCACTGTCTGTCATGGTGTTTTCCGACAATGCCCAAGATTGAACTGAAGTAAAATTATTTGTCTCCCGTCACGGTCTCTCACGGTTGGCCGAGCAATTGTATTGTAGGGCAATTGGACGCCTTTTTTCCGACAACCATGCAACAATGCATGTGCAAGATGCAACAACCATAGATGACCTAATTGTTCAACTGCATTTGCGATTTGGTCCTGTTTACCCGCATGGATCCTCAGGGTTTGCGTCCTTTTCCTACCCATAGCACCCAACAACACTACCTAATCTTTGCTGTGTAATACGCCCAGGGTTACGCCCACCGGAAGAAGATACTGTACATCACATATTATCTAAGGGTGGCTTTGGGTGATACTTCTTAGGGGCTTTCTTGTTGTCATTCCACTCCAGAAGAAACCTTGAAAAATCCATATCAATCTCTTTGCAATTCTAGGGAATTTCTTTTGGATATTTGAGGGATTTGTTTGGGTAATCCAGGTACCCATAGCCTTACCAAGGGGCTAGACCACCAATTGTGAATACCAAACCATCAGTTTGAGGGTGTAGCTGTAGCTACAAAAAATCTTGCTGCTGATTCTGTGCTTGGAAAAAATGGTGGGCTTGTGGCACAGTGTGATGATGTGTAGGAATATATGTCCTTCGATTCAATAGGTAATTTATGTTTTTGATGGTCAATTTTAAGTTTTTGGAAAAAGTGATGCTGGAAAAAAACAGAATTCTGTTTATGTAAGCACTGTTCATTGGAAGAAAACACATCTGTGCTCTGGCAACCTATCCCCATGTTTTGGGATTTTTGTGTGATTTTTATGATGTTTGATTCTGGTCGGCCAATTTTTGGGATTTTTATGGGATTGTTGTGGTGTTCGATTCTGGTTGGCCCATTTTTGGGATTCTTATGGGATTTGTGTGGAATTTTGATGGAATTTATTGTGGGATCTTGTGGGATTGTTATGGTGTTTGCTTCTTTCTGGTTGGCCCAAAACTACAGAACAAATAGTGGAATTGCCATGGCTTCAAAGCAAATAGTTTTTTTTTCATTCATTCTGATAGATTATGTTTAAATGGGTTTTGCTGCCATCTTGTATTTTTAATGGATTGGTTTTGGACTGTTTACATAGGTGTATATAGGTAATTTGTTGTTGATGTCGACGCCAGCAGCTATTGAGTTTGGGAATTTGCTGTGGAAATTTGAGGATTTAATAGGAAAATTTCAGGTATGTTCAAAGATTTTCCAAGTATTTATGTACTGGGAAAATTCAGGAACTTATAGTCAAACTAAGGGGTTTCAATGGGAATAGTGTTGGTTTTCCTTGGGGACAATCAAACTAGAAATGCCTCTAACAAGAATTGCTCCAAAGCCGCTCTTTGATATTAAAATGCAAATGCAAATAATGACATCAATTGATGTCCATATGTATGCAGCTGCATATATAATTCAAGATGGTTCAACATCTGGGGTTCAGTTTGACCTCGAACACTCAGGGTTGCGGCCATTTGGGGTCACCAAAATATTCTGCTGCGACCACGTCGAGGATCTGCAAGGTGCTTGGGAGCGTCACCTTGATGAACCAGAAATCACCAGACTGGGAAGTGATGTTGAAGATTTTTGATCACCAATGATTGTCAATGATTGAGATGATAATTTTGATGATTGTCAATGATTGCCAGGTTTTCAATGATGTTCATGTGTCGTCATTGGTGCTGATTGATTCTCATTGACTGTCAATGATCTCTCATCTCATTGGTTGTCATTGTTTCTCATTGCACCTCGTTAAAGGTCAATGGTTGTGGGGGCAACAATAAAGATGAGGATGAACATAATAGTGAACATGATGACAGTGATGATGATGATGAAAATGAACATAATAGTGAACATGATGACAGTGATGATGATGACAGTGATGATGATGATGATGATGATTAATAATAATAATATAGTCATTATCATTGTCTTTATGTTGTTATCATAATCTTGCACATGGATTGTTTTAATCATTAGTGTATCCTTATTATTGTTACATCCACGGACAACAATGGTACACGTTGCTTTCCATTTCCAAGGCGCAGAGTCAAGGGGCTGGTTGAAGCGACTGCCAAAGGTCAAACTTTTCAAGTTGGTTGGCATCTTCCTAAAACGCAGCGTCTGGTGCCATGGCCCAAAATATGGCCCTGGGGAATCCATGCTGGGGCGTATGCGGGTTGGGTTGCAGCTTGGCATGCAAATAGGTAGATGAATCGATTCATCGTGCCTGGGTTCAGCAGGTAAATTGAGAATCAGCTTTCAAGTCCGATGTGCCAAGCTTATCCAAGCTTCACATTCTCCATGCTTTGGTCGAAGTCAAATCCAAAGACCAAGTGTTCCAAGCCACTTGGGAGATCCACGTTCTCCTCAAGGAGGGACCGGTGCTTTGATCAGCGAACTGGACGTTGGTTCGCACGGGAAAGCCATTGGTAAATGGGGATATGGTGATTCATTATGATTTATATAATGGGATCTAATCGGAATATCATGGGATGAAGAACCAACAAGATGTTCGGGTGTGTCTGAAAATGCGGTATACTCCCCGTTGTGGCAATTTTTGAAATGGGAACATGATGACAATCCATTGGCTTTTGATTTTGAGTGCTCGTTTTTCAGATGAACACATGTTTTCTGATATCCACTCTTCCAGAGGCCGCACCAGCAGATCAAACCACTGCCAATCCACCGTAAGTTTGATGGTTCGCAATTTGCCACAGTTTTTGAGGATCACACGCTTAGTAACTGACCATTATAGTACACCCATGTACACCCCAAACCTTAAAACCTCGCGATTCCTTCTCCCAGAAAAGGGTGCGGAACTAACCATACTAACCCTAGCATGTAACCATCACGCGGAGCACCAAGTCAAGGTGCCATGCTTTGGTTGAAGCTCCTTCCCAAAATCAAAGATTCAAGGCCTCACCAGGGGGTCACCGCGCTGATGTCCATGTGAATCTCGGGCTATTTCTGATGGGGGTGGTAAACCACCTTAAATGATTGGGAGGGTGTGTTTCATCTGGGTAAAAAAACACACCAAACATTGTACTTCTAAGCTTGGGGAGGGTGTGTTTCACCAAATATTGTACTTGTTTCTTCGTTTTTTTGGTTCGGGGGGTTAAAACACACACCAGCCTGACTGGAGAATAGACCAAGCGTGGCAGGAAACAGCTCAAGCCCTCGCCTGATGGTATCTCTGCATGCTCCAAAGATTAAGTGACCATAAGGGTTCGCTTCTCATGGGGTAAGCCATCACCCATCATTTGACCTTCCCCCTCCAACTTTGCCGAGGTGGCCGAAGGTCAATGTCTGCAAGCTGCTTGGCAGCTTTACCCGGTCCAAGCTTTGATTGAAGAATCCTGGTGGTTTTTTTGGAATGGATGCAGAATAAAACGGTTCAAAAAACATCTGTGTCTAACATGTGTCAACCCTGTACAGTGATTTCGCCACCACATTAGTTACCTGACAGGTTTCAGGTTTCTTTTCACCCTCTACGTCTCGAGTAGAAACCTCGGTTCAGCAGGTTTGCTTTGAAGGCTCCGTTGCCCAAAATGTACACCTCTCAGATCCTCTCAGCATTTCATAGCATACTGTATTGTACAAACATGTATATGTATAATATATATATATATATACCCCGGAAATGCAAGGGTATCCAAAGGTTATGTCGCAAAAACCGTTTCACCCTCAATGCTAAGTGTCCTTTGTAGTCACGCGTGTTTGGGCCCAGATGCCCGTCCAGTTCCATGATTCAGTGTCGTTTCTATGGCAGTATGCCTGTACCCCTGTTTAGCCTTGGTTTGTTGCACGTTTACGTAATTATATAATGTGTATTTATATATATATATATACACATTATGTATATAATTAAACATAATATATTTTTAATATATAGATACATATATATATATATGTACAAATAATAATATATATATAATAGAAAATATTATATATATATAATAGAAAATATTATATATATATAATAGAAAATATTATATATATATATATAAACCACTATATGTATGATATAAAACATAAAATATATAATAAATATAATATATAATATAATGCATAATTGTATATATATATACGTATATGTGAACATACTCAAAAAATGTGCACTGTGAGATTTACCACCCAAAAAGCACCAGATCTCCCCGGCCTCCAAATGTCAAGGACAGAAGGCCTCGGTGCTGGGAGACTTCCTGAAAAGGGGGTGGCAGGGGATTTACCGAAGACGTAAGAATACCCATAGGATCCATGTATGGTATATATGCTAACATTTGGGGTATATTGATGGTAAATGTCAGCATATATACCATACATGGATCCTATGGGATAGGATGCTTCATCATGTCATACGAATGTACAACCCTTTCTCTTCCTCTCAAAAATGGCTTCATGATGCTGCATGTTGTTTTCACAGAGAAGATCCATGAAAGGTCGCAGGAACACAGACCATCCCACAATTTGACCGAGCAGTGGAGAATTCTGCCTGCGAGGGGCTGCTTGGCAGCGTACTGCCCTCCAGGCTCTGGTTGAAAAGCCAACCAAAGGTCAAACTTTTCAAGCCACTTGGAAGATTGACTTGCTCCAAATTGCGATTGAAGAAGCCTCACAATGACTCGATGATGAAAGGGGTGCGGGGAACGGGAGTGGAATCAACAACTTAAATCTTTTTCGCGCCACCAGCAAATGACTGGTTTGCAACTAGGATCAATGGCCAGCTATTAGGTGTGCATATACTTGCTTATATATATGTATATATATATGTATATATATGTATATATATATATATGTATATATATGTATATATATGTATATGTATATATATATATGTATATGTGTGTGTGCACACATATAGTATATACATATTATATATATATACATATTTTTATGAATTCATCTATTGTAAGTTATTCATGTCATGAATGCTTATGAATCTTATTAACCACTTAGTGGACGGGATAACGGGATAAGCACAAAGTGAGAGGATAGCTTGGGCAAGGCCCAGCCGCCTGTATCAGCTTGTGATGTCCATGCAATGTCCATGTCTACTTGAATGGGTAAACACTCCCTGATGCAAACTCAAAAGTGTCATTGAGTCATTATATAATTATCATATTGGTTGGTGGTTGACCTATCCCTCTGAAAAATATGAAAGTCAGTTGGGATGATTATTTCCAACATATGGAAAAATAAAAAATGTTCCAAACCACCAACCAAATATTTATCATACATAATCACTATGATTATCCAACATGAGAAAGTGCTCATGGATGTCTGCTTGAGAACGAGGAAGAACGCGAGAATGGTTCCTCAAAAACTGACCTCCAAAGCCATCTTGGTTTCAACATCTCCTGTACTATTTCAATCTATTTCAATCTATTTCATACATTCATAAAACCTTGATTCATCCACGTGTTGTTTCATCCGCCGTTTTTTTTTCCCGAACTCACCAGCTACTGGGCCTTGGAAGGTCAAACTCTCAAGATTCTTGGGCAAGTTCACCTCAGGTCACGGGCTAAACATCTGACCATGACAATTTCCAAGTGGAACTTGGCTGTACCACCGCAAAAGTCTGGGGTGCAAGGGCAACGCCTCTAATGAAACCCCAAGTGACTTTTAGTCAAAGCCTCTTTTCTTGTTGGTTAAAATAAGTGTTTCGTGGATTAGCTCCCCATAGATGCTGGTTGGTTTTTTTTGGGTCACAAAAACTCCACAACAAATAAGACTCAGTTCTGTAGGCTATGCCGTAGAGCAGTTTTTGCAATGTTTTTTTGGAGTCAAAGCCCCAAATACCAGCAATAAATGGCGAAAATTGCATTATCATTCCATAAATGGGGTTAACACTGATAACTTATAACTGACTTATATATAACTATATATAACTGGTAAAGAGCCATAACTGTGGATATATGTATATATATATATATGTGTGTGTGTGTGTGTCTTGAGCAACTCCCAATCTTGTTGGTGACATACCAGCCACGGCATCTGAGCTAAAACCCGAGGTCAAAAACCTCCTTTTTGCCTGTCCGAGGCGCCCCTTCCATGCGCATGTTTTCATGGACATTTTCTCCTTAACCATGGCGGGTCTTTGAACCGGAAGCTTGTGACTTGTTGGGAACCACGGATCCGATGGGGATACCAAGCTAACATCAGGTTTACCCAGCACAGAACTTTTTGAAGCACATCAAATTCGATAAAATGTGAACATTTCAACAAAACGTACTGGTCTAGAGTCTAGAGTCTATAGCAGGGATGTAACCACAATCATTTGACATCCAGCGGGTGTTTTTACACCCTGCTTTCTGCTGAAATCCCCATGGTGAAGTGGAAAAAATCTCCATTTTTCTGTGGGTCAACCAATGCCATTTGCAACATCCCCCAGTCATCACCATTTTTATAGATGGTATGTGTACCATTCCCAGTCATGGGTGGTTTATTTATGACATTGCTTAGTTTTAACATGTTTTAACCATCTGGTTATTCAACATAGCCATGGAAAATCACCATTTTTAATAGGTACACCATCTATAAATGGGCCATTTCCCATGGCTATGTTAGTTTACCAGAGGGTAACCACATGATTTTTTTCTTCCACTGAAATCCCAGAGGGTTTTTTTGGCAGGTCATGGGTGGGGTCCAAGGCTCCAATCGTCAAAGTCTTCAAGCTGCTTGGGAGTTCCCAGGAGAAGGCGGCCCAGGGTTGAGTCTCCTCCAAGACCAACTCCGTCATTCCTCGGTTTTTTTTTCGGAGATGGGCTGTGACACCAACTGGGCGATGAAAACCTGATAAAACCCCAGTTGATAAGCTGATAAACATAGTGATTTAATAGGTTAACCCATGTTAACCCCAGTTAATGGTTACTTAAACCCCAGTTGATGGCTATTTATGGTTGATTTAACCTGATAAAAATTCGGTGAGCACAAATGATTCCATAAAAAAACAGGGGAAACCCCAAGAATCGATGGTTTATTTCATGGTAGATCCCAAAGTAAAATGGATGATGACTGGGGGTAAAGCTATTTCAGGAAACCTCCAAATGGAGATGGGTTGTTAATGTCTGGTAATGGTGGCAGCCTGGCAATCTGTTGGTGAGTCCTTTGCTGAAGCCATTTTTCGAAAAATTCCCAATTTTTTATGACCTTTAGACCTTCCAATTCTCAATCATAGCACTGGAAAATCACCCATTTGTATCTATGGGTTGCTGATTTCCCAGTAAACCCTCGACCCTTAAGGGATTTCCCATTGCTATGTTTGATTCCCTTGCAAGTAAATCCATTCATAATCACTCTTATAACCCTATTACAATTCCAAACAAACCCCAATTTCATTACTTCGTTATCAGATAATTACTACATCGTCAAATTCTGTATCTCTGTCTTCATAACCTGTGGTTTTAAGCTCTTATGAGTATCAAATCTCATAAACCAAAGTTATATATCCCATTTTTCCATATGATTCCCATGGTTTCCCACGGAAACCCACGTCGGCCCGTCGGCATCCCCGGGCAGGTGACCATCAAAGACGTCCGTCTCCCCAGCTTCGGTGCCCACGGTGCCCACGGGGCGACGCAACTTGGTCCAGGCCTTCAACCTGCCCGGCGGGATGTGATTTTTGGGGAGTGGTGAACCATATCTGTCTGTCCTTGTGTGTATATATATATATTAAATAGGGAAAAAACATATTATAATATAATAAGATGTTTTTTATAAAAAAAAACACATATAATAAATATATTATATAATACTATATAAGATTTTATATAATCAATTTATGTAATAAAATGTAACAAACATGTAACATGTATATATGATATGAATCATATATCAAAACATACAACTGCGTAATTGCGGTGCATGCTATGCATGCAACACAAACTGGGAACGGGACCAACATACAGCCGAGATCAGCCGAGTCTAGGGCTCTGGGGCACGGACGCATTACGGCGCAGGTACACGTAGCACAAAGACGAGAATTGCCTTGCGAGCAGCAAAAAGATGTGAGGGATCTCGAGATGAAGCCCCAGTCCCATGCTACTTCTATGAGAAGCCCCAATGAGGGGAAACTTATGGGAATGAAGGTCCCATCATTGGATTCCTGAAATTTTCATGGAAAAAATCACGGTTGTATAGATTTATGGAATATTTATGGTGGATATGGTGGATATGTCGAACTAGTTATAGTGGCTTCGTCAACTTATCTCGGGGGCGTCACCTGAAAAGGGAGTGATCACATGTCAGGCTGAATTAGTCCCAAAACGACCGAGGGTTTGATAACTCGACTCAAAATGACCCTCCAAATGGGAGACGTACAAATCAAATCGAAAATTGAGCCATGGAAGATATGATACACCTATTATCCTACCTGACTTTCTGGTTGGTGATGGGTATCCGATATCCCTATGGGTTACTGTATATATCATATATACCCCCCGATAGAACAGTTATGTAAGATCAACTGTAGTGAGTGGTCCCTATCCTATAGGATTCAGTCAGATTGATTCGTGCATGAACCAATGTAGTGTCATGGGTTTGTCCAGAAATGAGACATACCTGTGAATTGCATCAAATTGAGATATATATATATATAATATATATATATATAATATAATATATATATATATACATCTTATACTTGTGCAAAATGTTGCAAAATGATGACAATCAATTGAACGATTGCTTTTGTTTTCCGTCTCGGTCTTTCCCTCTTTTTTTCTCGGACAAACTTCAGAAACTGACCAGCAAAGTGCCCCCGCTGTGACCTAAAAAGTCTTTGACAACTGCCACCCTGCGCCACCGTTCCCATACACCGAGGGGCTGCAAACCTTGTTCCTTAAGCGTTTTAGTCATTGAAAGCTTGGTGTCCCCGAAGTATACAAAAACCTCAGTTCGGGCAGCTAAGCTGGAAAAATATACGGAAATATCGTGGTGGTTACCATGAGGGTGTTGTGTGTGTGTATGTACCATCTGAATAGATGTAAAACTTCTTATTATCGCAGGGGCGTGTGGCACTCATGTCCTACCATACGCAATGAAGCTGAGTGGGAAGGGAAACGTGGCCGGTTTCCTGTACCTGCAGATATATTTATACACACATATATATATATATATACGTATAATTATATATATATATAATATAGTCATAGTCCCGCCCCTGGGCGCATTTAAGTCGCAGCTGGGGGGGACGTATAGTCTATTGCTGTTGTTTTATACCGTCAACGTCTACTGTGATTACATATATGCATTTCTATACATTTAGGTTCATCTCATCGTGTTATGTTGTTGTGTTGGTGTTTTTTTTGCAAAATTCCACAGCAAAATTCGCAACCACAGTTCTGAGCAAGTGTGTGTATGTGTGTGTGTGTGTCTGTGTTTGCGTATTGGTTGCTACTCATGCACTTCAGAAACGCAAGTGAAACATATCGAAGATTATCACTTACATATTTTGTCGATTGTGGCATCCCTAGCCACACTGCCTCAGATTGAAGCCGTGTCAACCTGAAAATCCCAACTGAGTCCAGCAGGTGGAACTGGATGATCGCAAAGGGCCGGCATGGCCACAGACCTTCTCCCTTGATGGCATATATAGTGACCTACTGAACATGTCATCCCTCGGATGTAAATCATCCGCCATCCCTGATGTTGCTATTCACTCACATACACATGAAACAAGCCGTTTTTGAGCATCATTTCCACTGATTCTCCTGATTAAAGATCATCTGCAGTGAAGGCGGCTAGTGTGGCAATCCACACTTTTTTTAGATCTAATTAGTATGAATATGAAGATTTCCTAAAATGGGGGTACCCCTAAATCATCCATGTTATTTTCGGATTTTCCATTAAAAAAACAATCCAGCTATTGGGGATACCCCATTCATGTAACCCCCATATGAATCCATATGGCGACCAAGGCGAGAAGCATTGGCCCCGGGTTTGGGCGGCACGCGCAAGCCTGAATGACCCCCCAAAGCCGCCAGAGTTGGGTCATTTTTGACCGAGTGAATCACTGGATTGGTGTGGTGGAACGTCTACAAGAAACATCAAGAAACCATTGTTTTGGCACCTTTTTTTACTAGGTTGCCCGCAAAAAAAATCCTTCAACCAAATCTGGTAGTGAAGCGTGTGACTCATTGTGTAGGTGGAAACACTTCACGTACCCCAGTGTCCATTTTGACAACCCCCTTGTGTGTCAAGACTGCATCCTGGCGCGATGGTTGGCGCTGTGAATGCTGCATTCTTCCAGAAGGAGCAATGACCACACTAAGGAGAGAAACACACATGTGATGCCATCAGTATTGATGATGTATGGAATCCTGTCACTGTCCAACGGAGCCTCTGTAAACCAATGTGGGGGATACCTTCCCTTCGAAGTTTTTTTGTTCTGTCCAAATGTGTCACGGTGTACAAGGGAATGCATGTTATATCTTACAAACAAAATGCAACAAGAAGGGGGATAACTGCAGCCACAACTTCTAATCAAATATGTTTAATACAGCATGGGTCCCGAATAAAGTCTATATATAGATAAGACTCTGCTTATATATTGCATAATTGAACAACAGAACAAAAATATTCCAAGGACCTTGTCACATGCAAATTCCATGATCTCTCAAACACTCCGCTGTTTGACTCTGGTGAATGTGGTGGATCTATGAATAGAAAGGGTGCCATGCTTTGAGAGGGTTCATTCTTGAGATTTGATTTACACTCCGATTTGGTTGAATCAGTGAAACCCTCATCCCTGCAAGGTGATTTGTCCATTTCATAGTCCAATTAGAATCATGCGGGGCATATCAGTTGACAGAACTGGGATCGAACCATCAAAATGGTGGGCATGTCACATTGAATCTGGTGATTACCCTTCCATACAACTAACCAATCGACCCTGCCATGACGCCGGGGTGTAAAAACTTCGTACAACATGTTCGATTCTCAGGGTCTAAGTCTATGTTCGTTGGCATGGCCCATCATAGACACCCTCCATGTTTTTGTTGTTCAGCTGGGTATCAAATAGGAAACGCGGTGTGTTATTCAAATACGTACCTATCCAAGGGTTCTACGCATACAGCAATCATTCACCCATTTCTAGGTCATGACATGTCACGGTAAAGCCAATGCCATATCTACGCCATCCCCAATCACCATCTATTCTGGTTGGTGGTTGAGCCACCCCTCTGAAAAATATAATATTATTATATTAGTCAGTTGGGATGATGAAATTCCCAATATATGGAAAAATAATCCAAATGTTCCAAACCACCACCCAGTATTTGTTGCGCATTTTCCCAAGGTTTCCCATCCAACGGCCATCCAACTTGGCGGCTATGGCTATGGCCGAGCGACGAAGGGCATGTAGCAGTTCCTCGCCCACGAGGTGATCGGGAACGCTGAGGTGAAAGTCGCCGCCATTGAGGCCTGATTTTTGAGGAACACCCGATTTTTGGGGCGAAGAACATCAGGATTTAGGAGGTCAATTTTTAACATGGGGATCATCGTTTTTTGGGAACCAGTTGTGAAACATGGGGTGAAACACCAGTTTTCTGAAAGGAATTGATGTCATCAGTGCCTGAAAGGAACTGGCAATTCGGAAATCCACGGCTCTAAGATGTGGGGACATTCATTAATGGGAAACCATGTTAATTTCCAGATCCAAATGGAAAGGTTTCCATCCTCCACCTTTCCATCCTTCAATTTTACATGGAAAATGAGCATCAACCAATGTATTTTTGATGCGCAAAGCGCATACAATCATTGTGGGCCCATTGGTCAACAATGATTGTCAATATCATTCAACATTAGCCAATGAATTTAAATAATCAGTCAATCTATGTCGCATATAATATACAGCTATGTAAAAGAACAGGGGCACACAGCAAAGACATATGTATAAAACGTAATATTTATATATATAGATATACACAATGTACATAGAAATACCAATTTAGACAATTTGGATCATATTGTATCCAAAGGTTAGCCTACTAGCCAATAAGTCACGACCGTGTTTTGGTACAGGAGAACAACATAGGTAGCCAACAAGCGCCGGCGAGCGCTTCCCAGCCTGAGAAGTGAAGATGAAGTGTTTTCTCATCATCATTCTCATCATCCTGCCACTGAACTCTCAGAGAAAATGCCATGGTCTGAGTGGTCTTGGAGGGGATTGCCATGGAAATTGCTTACTGCAAATTTCCAGTCCCTGATGTTTCTATACATGTTTCAACACATCCCCAAAAATGACACTGAAATTGGATCATCATCCCATTTCGAACTCAAAAACATCTTTGTTAAACCACCAGCCACACTGTGCTACCAGGCCATCGACAACTGACGCTGTCAAGTACCCGCTGGTCATCCTGGCAATTGGAGTCGTTCACCACGACTTCTGAGTTCTTCTCAATCACATCGAGCTCTTCATTGCCTGGGCAAAGAGATGTGGCCTAGGGAGTGCATAAATTGATGATGTTCCGACATTTATATCCATTTATGGCGTTGTCATGCATTGTCCATAGGGAAAATCGATGATGATCAGCAGTTTTAGTGATATATTATTATCATATTTCCATCATCATGTTATGGCATTTTCATTTGTCCATGGAGCACGCATTTTCGGATTTGCCAAGATCCCTGTGAATGGAAATAAGTTTTTCCAGCTGCAAGAAACGTCGCCAAACGACTTTCTGCAAGCTGATTTCGTGAAAATGTGCGGGAGGGGAAAATTTCTGATGCGACGTCAGGGATGACATACATATAAATATGTGTATATTATATATATATACAGGCAGACCATACACACATATATTATATATACACATACACATGTGATTTAACTCAATGCACCTATCATTACATATCTTGATTTAGATGTCAACAAGGACAAAGCCAAATGAGTGCAACCCCAGTTGCCCATGTCAAGGGTGTTGTTCAACAACGACATCTTGCCAGTCTTCAGGGGCACCCGGTGATAAAACTCACCACGAAAGGGTCAGACTCAAACAGCAAGGACGCTTCGCGAAGGCAACGGGGCGATATCGCAGGACGCGACGCAAACGGCCCGCAGGTCCCAACGGAGAAAGGTGGAGAAAGTTGCTGGAGAAATGCAAGTGCTTAAGCAATGCCAAGTGCTTGAAAAATGATGATGATATATTATGAGACATAATCAGACCGAATCAGACCACGATTGTTGACATGACAAACACCATCGTTCAGGAGAAAATCTTTGCAAACGACATGAAGTCACAGCGCCGCGCAAAGGCATGTTGTCCATGCTTGAGCCTGGTGGCAACCCATTATTGCTGGAAATCGCCACAATGGATAGATAATTTCTCCAGGGTGCTCCTCTTTTCCTGACCATCACCTTTTTTTGAGGGGTGAGCAAATAGTTCACTACTGCAAGGTGATGTTCTAAGACCCTAAGATGAGAAAGTGATACCGTCCCCGCCAAAAAAAAGCCCCCGTATGGGCCCCCAAAATGACTAGATCCAATACTGAACCACGGCTTCTATAGGGCCATGGGGGGTTCCAGTCAGCCAGAACCACATACCCCGGCAACTTGCACGTGCCCTTTTTTCCCCAGTATCACGTGGTGAGCAGGACGGCGTCTCTAAGCTCCTACGAACATTTTTTCCCCTTCTGCCCGGGGAATCACTATTTCGAATGGGAAAATTACTGGATGGACTTTCCCAGGTGACATTATCCCCACGGCTGATCAAGAAACAAAATGATTCCAGGATAAAAAGTGTTGCGCCTCCCTATGGCTATTGGTGAATATGAAATGATTTACCCTCTGGTTATTTAACATAGCCATATTTATAGATGGTTTACCTATTATAAATGGTGATTTTCCATGGCAAACTGTTGAATAATCAGATGGTAACACAGTTCTTCACACATATCTGGAATGGACAGAACAGCAAATCGGATCAGTCCTGAAGGGCAAATGATCAAGAAAAAACTCAACTTGGGAATCTCTATCACCCTAGCAACTAGTATCAAACTTCCCTCATATGCTCCCAAATGCAATACAAGCCCAGAGGTGCTGAGTATGGTTTTAAAATCACATGGACAATGATTAGTTCAAAATGATTGTCTATAGGATATTCGGGGCTTTCTTAAATATGTTCCCAAGAATAGATGGTTTATTTTCTGATGGAAAATTCCCCTTAAATGGATCATTCAGAGGTACCCCTATTTTAGGAAACATATATTTCTAAGATGATACGATGTCTATGTGTCATTCTGACTGAAACTCCGGCTGACCTCGGCTTTTCGACCTGCAAATCCACATGTTGAAAAACATATGTATTATAGATAGTGTCAACGCATAGTCATCATGTGCGTGTGTGCAAGTGAAAATTATATCATCTTAAAATATACAATAAGATCATATATATATATATTTAATAATGTATGTGTATCAGCAGAGCCACGAGTTGAATCGGTCCTGCAGCTGCGGCAGCAGCAGTTTCGCTTCACCTGGTGAGCTGTAAACCAAGGTACTGTGTCACCTGGTTCCAAAGGTACACCCAAAATGTTGCAGGTCCACAGGAATAGATTCAGTTGAAACGACTAATGATCATTGGCAGAATCGCTTGCAGAAACCTGGCATCAAAAAGTGGGATCTCCCCTTACCATCTTTGTTCACACAAGGATAGAAGCATATCTTATCATTTTTTGTGGGTCAAACCCGCTTTCTTCCAACATCTGCAATATCATCGGATGATTTCTTAAATAGCCTATCAGTAACCCATAAGCCGCTCAGCACCCCCCTGCCACCACTAGGACTCCCATTATCATTAGGATTAAGAGATGTTAAACAATGTTTAAATCATCTCTGCGAAAATCATTCCAGTGACGTGACGACGTGAGGTCATATTCATATACAGTAATTTGTCCGAATGATGTACCATTGTATGTCCATTACATGATATTCGATTATCGCAACACCCACCAAGATCGAACAAATCCGCCGATCCGCCGATCCGTCTAGTCGATTAAACATTACTTAATATGTTTTGGGGGATACTTTTTTAATCAAACAAAAAGAACAACCATATTCCCATCATTCATGGATCATGGATCCGCAATGGAGATACCATTGGGATGATGGATCCTTCGTTGATGATGTTCCACTTCGCAAACTGTTAGCCTATCATATATCTTACTATCCATATACGGTTAAGTATATCACTATATGGATAGGCTACCACTAATATATCCACGATATAATGGAATATCCATATATATATATAACTATCCATATCTGGTTGGTGGTATACCTACCCCTCTGAAAAATATGAATTCGTCAGATTGGATCATCATCCCAACTCTTGGGGAAAATAAAATTCATGTTCCAAACTTTAACCAGCTATATAATGTCAATTTTGGATTAATAAACCCCAAACGGCTGTTTAATTGGGAGGGTACTATTTCAGTATCAAATCATAACTATTGGGGGAATACCCTTCAACTGATAAACCATGGTTTATCAATCCAGCTATATTGTTATTCCACTTATTAAGTCTTATTAACCATTATGAACCATAGATGAACCATAGATGAACCATAGATTAAACCAGGAAAAAATGTTCCAGTCACCACCACCAACCACCAACCAGCGAGCTTCCCATCCGCACCTTGTAGCGCTTCGACCGCCTTGCAGAAGGTCAAGACCTCGCAGCGCACCAAGGAGGCCTTGAAGTCGCTGAGCCTGAACAAAAGGTCGCTGAGGAAAACGTTGGTGAATCATTCCAAGAATGTGGGAAAATATGGGAAAACCATGGCAAAACCATGGGAAAATCAACATATGTGAAGAGTTTTGAAAAATATGGATGACATTTTATGGAGAGAGTGGGAGTCTGTCAAACATAGAGGAAAAACACATGGGGAAATATGCGGGACATCCAGTCAAAAGGGTGGGACATGGGACATGTGGGAAGAATTGATGGACAACGTAATATTGAAAAATATGGGAAACAAATGGGAATGCATATGGCAACATGAGCTTTCACTAGCTTGGTTTATATAACTATATAAGGGATAAGTTGCAGGACCTATCTCTTGACAGCTATGAAACACTATATGATTTTCCTGCAAACTTTTGCTTAAAGTGATGCTAGGCGTATTGGAAATTATATGCCAAACCAAGGACGCTATAAAATGCATTTTTCAGAAACCACTGAAAGTTAGAGTTGTTTCGTCTTTGCACATATGGAACCTCATAAGACAACATGGAGGTTTAATTAGTGAACACGCGCACACACCAAACAAAACGGGTTGATTTTTCCGCATATCATATAATTTGGAAAATGGTTGAACATATCCACATCCATGAACCTAATTTATTTCTTAAAAGCTAAACTCAGATAAAGTGTGATGAAATTCTGTATACATCTTTATCATTCTTTATCTGCTTCAACCACCGCCCACCGAAAAAACTTTCCGGATTTCAAGCAGCCCACCCTCCCAAGCACAGGCCGACCAGGTAACATCGCAAGGGCTGAGCGCCAGTGACGGGCCGAAGCACTGGCCGACATCAGGGAATTCCAGGTGATGCTGGTGGGCTCCAGCTGCAGGGTCTTCATCCTTGGGACCATCATGGCCATGTTCTTCGAAACAGCTCTGGGCATAGCTGGCATAGCTGACATAGCTGATTGGTCAAAAACGCTTACCACAGTGATGCCACAGTGTCCTGGAAACAAATATCATTCCCAAAGATGAATTTCGGTCGCGCCATATGTTTTGGATGCTTATCCTAGCATCAACGAACATTTCAGGTGAAGTCCTTTTGAGGGGTTGCTATAGTTTGCCCACATCTATATTAATTCACCATGCACCATTATGGGACAGGTTTCCTTAAAAAAAACTGAAAGCGGGATTTCCCACTCATTCATGTCCTTTCATGGCTTCATGGCAAATTTTCTCCAGCAAGTTCCAAATTGTCCCACAATAAATTAGTGGTTCAGCTTAGTTGGAAACTGTCATCGCCATGTCAGGAGATGATGGAGGCTGCACTTTGGTGGGGAATTTTCCCAGCAAAAATGCTGGTGTTCAACAAACAAAACCATACCCTTTGGTAAACTGACATAGCTATTAGGACAATCACCATGTTTGATAGATAAATGAATCATCTAATATTTTTATAATCATCTACAACTGATATTTGTTTATGGCTAGGTTACAGCAGTTAGGGTTAGCTGGCGACAGGGATTTTCCCAACAGCAGCGCGGCGCCTTCCCAAGAACTCTTGGGCGTCTTCCGCCTGTGCTCCAGCGGCCAAGGCGCTAATGGCCGCATTGCCTGAACTCAAAGGGCCAAGTGGCGGTCCCAGGTCCTGTTGATGCGGAACATGTATCCAATTTATATATAATATACATATATAATATATATAACATTTATGTATATAATTTGATTAGCACTTTGATCCATTAGCATGATTAAGTATCATTGTATTAGCACTTTGATTGATTACAGTAGCACTTTTAGTACTTTGATTCATTAACATTCATGCATTTATTGATGGAATCTGTTGCATTTAAGGTAATTATCAGAGTAACAGCGGATGAAACCATTGAAGTGTTTGAACAAACTAGGACATCACAAAGGGACATCCATGGAAATCCCATTAAAATGGGGATTTCCTAAAATAGGGGTACCCCTAAATCATCCATCTATATGGATTTTCCATGAAATCAACCATCTAGCTATGGGGTACCCCATTTATGGAAACCTCCATATGTATAATACCATCTGGTTATTTAACATAGCCATGGAAAATCACCATTTTTCATAGGTAAGTCCCTCTATAAATGGGCCATTTTCCATGGCTATGTTAAATAACCAGAGGGTAAATCCCATGGAAGTTCCCATGGTAGATTCCCATGAAATCCGCCCAAGTCATCCAAGTCGCAACTCACGACGCTCAGGGCCATCTCGAAGGCCCGGAGCTGCAACACACCCAGGGCCTAAGCCCGACATTTTCGGCTGGGGGAAAGCCACCATAAAGGGGTGGCTAAGCATTGGAATTCATGAAATCATGGGACAAAACCATGGAAATTCATTTAAGAGATGGTGGACATGAGTGAAGATTCCATTGTTTTGGGATTTCACTTGTTTAAATTAGTGGGAATAGGGGCGTCCCGCCAATAGACACACGTTTAGATCGAAACAAAATCGTGGATTTCATGGGAGTGCTATTGGGATTCACGAGGGATTGAATGGGACTTTAGAGGAATCAGATTTCACCAACAAAAATGCAATGTTTACAAATTGAATGTCTTTTCACCAACAAAAATGCAATGTTTACAAATTGAATGTCTTTTCACCAACAAAAATGCTGATTTCAGGAAGGACATGACGCTTCTATTTGTAAACACTGCGATTTAACGCCCCAAGAACTGATGCCACGAGGGGAAAAAACAACATCAATGATGACCAGTTGTGAACTTTAGATGCCAGTGGATCCATTTCACCGGAGACAAGATCCACTTTACGTACTGCACTATGTCTAACTTCCAGGATTCGACCGGTTCTATCTCTTTGTCTCTTCCTATCTCTTTGGATACCACCAACTAGTGAGGTTGCTTCCCTGTTTTCAACATGAAAAAAAAACAATGTATATAAATATACTACCAAACCAAGTTGGTTAAGCTTACTACGATGAACCCAAGGATTGAGGACTTTCTATGTCCAATTTTGCAAGTGTATGGTGTGTATGTATATATATAATATATTATGTGTGTGTGGCAATAATCTAAGCCTCAGCCTCATGGAAATCTGCAGCGCACCTGTCCCACCCAGTTGGCCAAAATGCCCGCTCCCATTGCTGTCCATTCGTTGCAGCACTCATCACCTATGCCGAAGGGAAACCTTGTGTCTCCCGGATAAAAAAAGTGAATAGAACATCAAAGAACTGGTCTACCCCACGGGTAAGAAGATCTAACAACTAATTAGTTTGTAATTTGTTTATGTTTTGACCCCCCGCTGAATCCATCGTTCTGAGATTCTGAACAGGAATGGATGCCAAGATGACCAGGTAAAGCCGAAGTGACACCCACAAAAAGTCTCTCTACCACTTATTCCAATCCGCTTTGGACTTTATGATCTTCATCTGTTTATTCTTGGCCTTGGCCAGCTGAAATTAATGTAAAGAAATACGCAAATCATATATATTAAAGTAACTGTATATAAGACTTATATGTATATACGCTTGTGTTCTATCACTGCCCAGATTGAATTTCATGTTTCATTTTCCTTGACATTTCCAATCTGCCAAGAACCCTACCTTCTTCCATAAGACTATGCACGCTTAAAATCATGACTATAGTCTATAGTCATAGTTATATGTTATGAGATTCACCATATTTCATAGGATCCTACCCAGACCCTTCTTATGTGACCCCCTTCGGGTGGAAACCATGTAAAAACATGAAAACAGCACCTGTGTGGTTTACATAATCTCCAAGGGGAAACAGTCGCCTGGTCTTTTTTTGCTGTTTGCACATCATCACCGGTTTGTGATGGCTTTGCGTCTGGTGTGAGCAAGGCCGGCCAATTTAGCCGACTATTTCTTGTGGTGTTTTTTCACCTTTTTACTATCCTTCTTGGCCTGCTTTGCAGACTTTGAAGCTTTTGGGGAAGACACGGGTTTCTTCTTTTCCATTTTTGGATCAGTTTCATCAACTTCAGCAAATATCTCATCAGTTCCACCGCTCACTGTTTCCTTTGGAAAAGCAGAGCTGGAACTAGATTTTGCCATGGGTTGTTCATCACCATCACTTTTTTGGGAGCCGGTGAAGAGGAAGCCTGTTGTGTCATCAAATTTGTTCACCACTGCTTGGATGGCGTCGTCATCTGGCCTGAGATAATGGCAAGACTAACCCAACATAAATAAGTAGGCCCAAAATTACAATTGGATACGTACGATGGTTATAAAAATATTAATTCTTTCAGAGTCGCTCAACTTCGTGGGTGTCCGGATTGACTTCCCGATGAACATTCCATAGCCACAACAGCACATCTTTGAGGGCAGCAAACTCAGTGAGTTTTTTCCTCTTTCCGTGCCAGTATGAGGCGTGTGAGTAAAGTCTGAGAGTACCTTAGTCAGGATTCTATTCTATGGGAAAAAAAGGTCAGGTTCAGGAAAAATAAATAAATGAGTGCAGCATCATGAAAAATAAAAAACGATCAATTGTTTTGCAGATAAAGTACTTGGATTCTCTTTGTCGGGTGCATTGTAAAATGCCTGATACCTCTTCAACTGGGGATGATGAGTGATTCTGCAATTTGCTTCTTTGGGCTGTAAAACTTTCAGGGATCCTGGGGTGACATACTTTTGCTCTGATTTGGTGATGTCGGTCGGTCGTGGGGCCTGGTTTCGTTTGTCTTTCAAAATCTCTTCGTCGGCGGCCACTGCCACCAAGTCAACCCATTCTGGTTGGTTTTCATAATCCATGCCATTGAACGCTTTCAAAATGTCAGACGAGTGTCGTGACACCTTTTCTGCCTGAAGGTGACGCCAATTCTTTCCCATAATGCCCCTGAGCATTTCATTTTGTTCTTTTTCGCTGGCTTTACTATGGAAGAACCTGATAAGTGCCAATGCCCAATCCTTCTTCACTACATTTCCATTTTTCCCAGAGCCATGTGGTTTGGAAACCATCGGGAACTTGTAAGTCGCATGCAAAGACCTGATTTGGGCAAGCGTGAGGTAACACCCATTCTTGATTGCAGCTGCAACAACTTGCTCTGGTGGTCCAGTTTGACGAAGTACAACGGCAAAACATTTGAGTGAATCGGGTGTTTGTAGTGGGTGCTGCAACTCCACAGGTAAGTGCAACCAGCCCGTAGTTGTCTCTGTAACTTCCACTCGGTCATTGAACATCCAAACAGGCAGATTCCCAGGGTTTGTATCCACTGTGTAATAAACCTGAATCGAAAAATTTGATGACAACTAACCCTCAACGACAAAAATGGTTCTCTTATGATATCATTGCTGATAATTATCATATTATAGGTTAAAAAAAGGCACTGATCCAGAAATAAGTAAATAAAATATTATATAGAATCATAAAGAAACACCAGGTAACATCCTCCTGCACTATGTGCTTCACCATACGCAGCCCGAGCGCAGCACATGTTCTGAACCCAAGAGACATCAGGACTCTGTCACTGCGAGAGTTGACGTAGCAGTGATGTTTCATCAGGAAGACGCCTGCAGCAAAGGTCATTGACATTGAAAAGGCTTATCTTTGTAGTGATTTACTGCCTTGTTGCAACCACATCCTGAAATCATCTTGGACACGATTTGACAGACCCAGCAGTTGCATGCAATTACGCACAATGTCCGTGACATTACAATTTATACAGACACTTCCGCTATTAGTAGCGGGCCTGTCCAAGCCATGGTAGCGGATCTGAACTCTGTTCGTGCATTGCCCAGCAACCAGGCACTTGCTGCAGCAGCCCGCTGATTGGATAGTGTGCCAGCCTTTTTGACATCATCCTTCGAATCCCTCACGCTAGAAATCATCCTGTTTCGTATGTCCGGTGGCAATGGAAACTGGTTGATGTGGAATGCCTTTCCTGTGATGTCATCAGGATTCTTTGATTTTCCAGTATCAATCAACCCTTTGTCGAGATGATCTTCATATGTGGTAGCCAAATGTGGCCATCCAAACCCAGACTCTTGAGTCAAAGACTGCATTGTCGTGCAATAGAAGTATCTCGTCCACCTCGGTCCCACAGGTGGGTTGTAGGCTTTCCAAGGTCTCTTACAGGGTGAGTAGGTTTCACAGTAAATAGTTTGGAACTTAATACATGTTGGCAACAATTAAAAAAACAATCAACAAATATCAAATAGGATTTTTCCGGGTCTAATAAACTTGTCACATCAGAAGCAAAGAAAAGTCACTTGTTCATAGGTGTTGCCAGACTCGCAAGTTTGCCCACCGAAACAAGATGTGCAAACAGATCTTCCAAGCTGAATTTCGTTTCACATGGGCCACCAAACATTCGATAAGCAAGTTTCTGGATCTCTTCATGCTCCATGTTCCATTGACAAGCTTCGCAAAGGGCCATGACTTCTCTAGTAATTTGAAACGTTTGAAATGACACATCCACCAACCTGTCAGAGATTGCTTTTTTCATGGGTTTGCTCAAACCCTCGCCCTGGCAACCTGGTTTCACTGCGTTCTCAGCTGCAACGATAGCTCTCCAGGTGTTGCAGCATCGGTTCAGCACGTGCTGGCCGGTGTCATGGTCATCATGGAGGACGGCTACAACAGAGTAGGGGGGACAGGTTGCAAAGACCATTTGACTCCACACCCGTGCGCTGGCAAGTTCGACCAACAAGGTAAAGTAATCTCTCAGTCTGGTCTGTTCCTCTTTCAACCATGGTTCGTCGTCATTAACAGTGGCTTCCCCCAAGGATTCTGACGAATCACAAGAAATGAATTTCGACAGTATACCAGCATCATGTATGGTCCCAACAGACTGAAGTATGGAACCAAACCATTCACCCGCTGATCGATGTGCTTGCCAACGACATGATGACTCCTTCAGAGACAAGGTATCTATAATAAGCAGCTTAATCTGAATCTTGTTAATTATAACACGTCACTAGCCAATTTTTGCAAGTATTTTGTTTATGTTATCATGGGGTTAATTAATGAACAGTTCAAAACAATGAGATAAATTCAAGTGGGTCAGTCCTGCGACTCCTTCAGTGCTGACAAAACAGTGCTGTACTCCGCTAAGTAAGGCCTCACAGCATTAACCACCATTCTGAGGTCGTCTCTCAGGGAAAGGTCCCGGTACAAATGACCACACAAATGGAGGGTGTTCTGAAAGCGTTCCCTCAATGAAGCCAGTTCTTTTTTGGAAGTAGGTTTTTCCCTGGCCACCCGTTGGCGCCCTGTGGCTACTCCAGGACTGTCAGGCACATTGTCTGCTCCTTCATCATCGCCAGATTCGTCATTGTCGGTCTCTTGGCTATGGTGAAATTCGTTCTGGGCAACCTGATCCCTCCATGGTCCATCGCCGTTTGCCTAAGCTCTCATGGTTTAAACTAATCAGATTTATCATGCAGTTGCAATTGATCACAAATCGTGTTGGAATCAAATTTCTTTTCTGCCAGTTACAGTGTCAATGTCCAAGACATGGTCGAGAAGATAGCCCATCAACGACCAGTTGTCGCACAAATGATCCATGACTGCCACTGATGCAAACCAACTCTTTGTTTTGACCTTAGCAAGATCTCAAGTGAAAATTAGAAATTAGTGTGTTTTTTATTCCAGGAATAACCAAATAGTGTGTTTTTCAAACAGTAACTCAAATCTTATTATATAAAATACCGGGTGGCAAAAACTGGAAGGTTCCGTACGCAAGACATATTGGGCAAATCATGTTTGTCATGTGGTAAATCTGGGTCATCAAGATCCACATCAGAAAGACGCCGATCCATCACCATGCAATCTAGGAGATCCTCGAACTGGTCACTGGACATGCTCTGCGACAAGCTGGTTGCCGACTCTTGGATTGTCTGCTGGTTGCGTCCAGACCCAAATGGGCCATGGGCACAATTTGACAATACAGAAGCTAACAACAAACAGTGCTGCAATCCTGCCCGACGAATTGAGTTTTTGGTGTCATTCCACAGCGAATGTGTGTTTTCCGGTTGGATAAAAATCCTGATTCCAGAATGACACAACGTGTAGACCATCTTGAATGGCAGTCCATCCTGATCTGCAGCCTCAGATGCTACTACGTGATAAAGATTTTAACACTGCTGCAGACAATATAGTACATATTTGATATTATTTGATAGTTTTTTTGAATTGAGGGGAACTGTCATCAGAGGAACAGGAAGAAAAATAAGAACCACTCAACTAATAGTAGCAGTTGCCGTGGCAGTAGAAGCAGTAGTAGCAGTAGTAGTAGTAGTTGTTGTTGTTTGTTGCTGTTGTTAGTATTCATGTTTGTTATGACCGGAAATAATTATGACGACGACGATGATGATTGATGATGATGATGGTGATGATGATGATGATGATGCTGATGATGATGATGATGGTGATGATGAATGACGATGATGATGATGATGGTGATGGTGAGGTTGATGATGCTGATGATGTGTTATGTTGCAGAAGCTGTCGGTCGCTGGTGTCGTCGTTGTTGTTGTTGTTGTTGTTGGTGGTGGTGGTGGTGGTGGTCTTTATTGGTGTTGTTGTTTGCTGGTTGGTGTTGCTGTTGCAGTTGGCGTTGCTGCTGCTGTTGTTGTTGTTGTTGGTGGTGGTGTTGTTGTTGTTGTTGGTGGTGGTGGTGGTGGTGTGTGGTGGTGATGGTGGTTGTGGCTATTGTTGTTGTTGTTGTTGCTGCTGTTATTGTTGTTGCTGATGCGTGTTTGTTGGCTTTGCATTGCCATTTGCCGGTGTTGTTGATGTATATTATTTTTTGCTGATTATTAATTATTTATTATTTTAATTTGTTTTTGTTTTTAATTGTTGCTTGTGTCGTTGCTACTGTTTGTGCTGTTGGTTTTGTTGGTGGCTTTGTTGCTGTTGCTGTTGTGGTGGCTGTGGTTGTGCTTGTGGTGGTGGTGGCGGTTGTTGTTGTTGTTGTTGTTGTTGTTCTTGTCATTGTTGTTGTTGTTGCTGTTGTTGTTGTTGTTGTTTTTTGTTGTTGTTGTTCTTGTTATTGTCGCCGTTGCTATCATCCAAAACCAATGGTGATAATAACAGTTAGTTACAAATGGGTAACACATATCCCGATCCATAGCATCAGCATTGCACAGACTCCAATGTTGAATTACCGCCCGGTACAGTAACAGGGAAAATATGGAATCATTTTTGGGTGTCTCGCTAAAGTACTGATGAATATGTTTGAATTCATTGATTTTTTTACTACTCAATTTTTTGGTCCACTGACTGTCATCATGATGACTACTCCAAGCAACAATTGTCAGCATTGGTCGCAAATCCAAGTCTCGTGGTACCAGCATCTTGTCTGGCTGCAGGTCATTGTTGTCGGCGTTCAGTCGTTTTTTTGGCACCCTTAGTTGAGGACCGAGTGAGGTTAGTGACATAACATCTGAATTATTTTGGAAACCACTGAATTTTGAATTCTGAATCAGATCACTCACTGGAAACTCACACACACACAAATAATATTGATTCTAAGTATGTATTATTATAGAATTTGAACCCCGAATGATCAATTTTTCAATCTTTGTCAATGCTTTAAAACATCGAACAAAAGTAAGATACAACAATATCATCATTGCAGCCTAGCGTCAAGTCACCTAAGCCTCTACCCCAGATTTGAAGCATAGATGCGTGAAGTCCTTGCGCTACTGCCTCGGCAAGCATATATGTTTTTATATAATGACTTAACTTACTGTCATCAGTATTCACACATGCCATTACTTTCACCATAATAAATTGTAGAGTAAGATCATATTATGATGATTTACTGGTAGTATTATGAGACGATGAATGGCAAAAGCACTGATGCCAAAAAGCTGGTCGATCGTAACTCCAACCAAGTCACCTGCATCGCCTGCAATGATTTTTTTTCACGTAATGGTACATATGCACAGGGGTCCAAGCAGTGTTTGTCACCAAGATTCCTTAGCTAAACAAACTAAGTTAGTCATGACTCGGGCATGCCATGTGAGTCCAGGTCCAGTCCAATGATCAAAGTATTATATCCGATCCTGGATGCCTGCGCCTGTGCCGAGGAATGGCTAAACAATGTGGCAAAAGTTCCCAGATAAGTTTCGTCTTCACCAGTTCCGCAAGCAGGCATGCCTGTGCTGGCAAAGCCTCAGTTCAGTGCAAACTGAATTTCTGAATCATGCTGACTGATTGACTGACAAACAGACAGTCAGAAGAAAGACTTCAAACGTGTTTTCAAAAGGTCAGTTCAGAGTTCTTGTAAAATTTGAATCATGATACTTAGTAATCTTAGGATTTCAGAATTTCAGAAAATCCACTCGTCATTGCGCAGATTCACTCCCCCAGTTTGTAAATTAAACCTGTTTGTTTTCACCCTTGTCAGACAGTCTGCCCGGCGCGTCTCAAAAAGCTGGCGGCAGGTTGACGCTATGATCTATCATCTACTGTGGCCACAGGCTCGTAGGGTCTATTCTCGGGATTGAACGCATGACTGAGACAGCCAATGACTAGAGTTAAGAGTCTTGAATTCAAAGCATCATATACTTGTGACTGGCGACATGAATATTTTATTAATCAATCAACAAATTCTGAAAGTATTCAGGTCAACACTAACTGACAGGCCGTACTCAGATTGCCGTCCCCATGGCTGCGTTTACACTGACTCATATGCCGACCCCTGGACTGTACAATGTGGCAAACATTGGTTTGATTTCAAACCTTTCTAGCGCTCACGGCGCATCTTCTGCCTGTTCTCCACAGAAACTGACAATTGACAGTGGAGCGGATGAAGAAGCCGAAGTTGAAGAATGTGCCACGACGCGAATGATCTCAGAAGCCGCTGGAGACTTGGAAGCATCATCATCAGGTCCCCTACCAAGGCAATGCTTGCGTTTCACCCCCTTGGTTTTCACCGACTTGGCATCTGGGGTAAGCGCTTCCATGTTGATGGTAGTCTTGTCTGAGTCCTGACTGCTCAAAACATCTTGAAGCTTATCATTCTCCGTTGATGATGAGGCAACCGATCTTTCAGGGGTAATGAATGGCATACCCTCTGTGACATTATTTGCTGAATCGGCTCTGTACCCAGATTTCCCCAGTGACATACTACTGTTTGCTGACGTAGCCCGCGATGATGGGGAAAGCAACATCCGGGGGCTGTTGACAATCTTGCGACGGGGAGGAGTCGTGAACTTGTCGTCATCAGGCTGAGCTAGTACTTCGTTCTGAACTGGTAATGGGGCATCATAAGGCGCCATCAAACGATTCATCACACTCACTGGAACACGGCTCACCACTGATCCAAGAAGTGGAAAGAAACCATCACCCATTGTCATAGCAGGCCAACGCAATGGTCTGGGGGGGCCAAACACCCGGCATGGATTTGGGCGATGGGGTGCGGGCAAACTCTGGGCAATAGCGCCATGCGGGATTGGAAGGAACCCCTCTCTGATGATGTCCAGCATAGGGGTCATCAATGTTGGAGTTCTGAACTGGCATCCCGCTTGGCTGAGGACGACTCTGCTCCGCCATTCTACGAATCACTTCAAGATCGAGGAATGCTTCACTTCAGCTTTTTGGTTTGAATGGTGAGAAAAGGCTATCGCAATACGATTCAGTTCAATTGTTTAAAACATTAATCATTACTTAGTATGTACTAACTGGACTGATGATGTCAAGATTTGATGACATTAAGAGTTAGTAACGTGCTGTTTTCAACTTCATGTTATACTCGTTTAAAGTCATTTGTCAGCAAGTTTGCTTTGATTTGTTTTGGAATTTCTGGCCTTACCTGAGAATTGCCTCATCAATTTAATGGTACAAAAAAACAGCTTCTTACATAACGACGTGTTTTTTCCACTGACAGCAAATGACATCGGTCAGTGGAAGGTCTGTAATTGAAGACGGTGGCTGGGCAGCAAACTTCAAACCACGGGAGCTCATCATTAAGATTTCATATAAACATTTAGTAAGTTAGGTAATGATTGTAGTCAGCAGTGTAAAACAATGTAAAACATATTAATTACTATCATGGATTGATTTGGATGTGAGAGCTCGACAGTGACTGGGCCGCTCAGCCATACCAAAAATGTATTGTATGTCATGACATGACATAATAGATGGTTCCCTCACAATGCACTTTCACCCTTTATACTTGACTCAATGGAAACAATGATTTAACAACACAGGTTAATAACAACCATTGTACAAGTAATGATGAAGACCAGCTAGAAATGAATCATTGGGCGATGGCAAGTTTTTCACGGAACCTGGGTCTCGCATGCCATATCCACAACCCCCCATCACCGAGCTTGGTGAAAGAAATCAGCCAGTTTGACTCTAGTCTAGGGGGTAGGTGAACTACCAGAAAGCCATGGTCGAGTAAACTTCAAAAACCCTAAGGTTTTCCCTAAATTTTGAAAGCAATCTCTAAAATTTTAGAGGCAGCTCTAAAATTTTAGAGCTCTCTCTAAAATTTTAGAGCAGCCTCTAAAATTTTAGAGGAAGAACATCTGGGATATCCCAAAATAAGCAGTTTACCAGCTAAATCAGGGGTGTGACCCTGCTCAGCTAAAAATTTAGAGGAGGAACCTCTGGGATATCCCAAAATGAGCAGTTTACCAGCTAAATCAAGGGTGTGACCCTGCTCAGCTAAGATTTTAGAGAATGTAAGCTGTGGTGCAACCCCTGGGGTACTCCAAAATGAGCAGTTTACAAGCTAAATCAGGGGTGTGACCCTGCTCAGCTAAAATTTTCGAAAAAATTAGAAAATTTTAAAGTGAACACCCTTTGGGAAAGCCAAAAATCACCATCTCCTACTGTCAGCGTCGGTGAGTCTGTGCTGGGATTCAGGATTGTTGGCCTCAGCAACACTGGCCCGGTGCTCTCACTTCTTGGCCTTGGCGAATATATCAGGCTTCTTGGGAACCGAAGGGGTCGGAGCTGATGGCTTGGCCGGTGTCGAAGCTGGCTTGGCCGACGCAGACGCTTCTTTGCTACCTAAGTAGGGGAAACCGACTATTACAATTAATGGGTGTATTGATCCCCCCAAAAAAACGATAAACTTTAATAAACACAACACATCACACCTACCGAACGCTAAGTTGACGTAGTATTGTTTTGCAATCCCACTGCCTGTCTCTTCATCAGGCTTGGGAATGGTATCCTCTGACAACTTCTGCTTTTTGGAATCGGGTGCTTCTGCTGATGCCGCTTCACCACCAGCTCCTAGTGTCAGTGTGACATTTAATAATAATAATGTCAAATAAATTTCATATATTATGTCACCCGTTCCAAGTAATATTTAAAAATAATCCCAAGGCATGATCTTAATAATAGTTAGATTTTTGGAATATACGCCATCAACCACTGGTTACTGTCAGTTATAGAATCCTCCACCAATCGCTCGCCGGTCCTGAACTCTCCAGGGGTCGCTTGTTATCACCATCACCCTCCTGTGGTCCTGACGGGTAGCTTGAGCAGCACGTGAGTTTCAGGGGGGTGTGCGTTTGAACTGAACTAATCAACATCAATGTAAGTCAATCAAGTAAGAATCATAAAAATTCATCAAATATTCAACATTATCCATTATTATAAGACTACCCCCTAAATAAAAAATGGGTAACTTTACACATTTCAGTCCTTTCGTAGTAGTATCATCAGGAGGAACAGTCTGATTGGCAGTGGTACCCTGTGCCTCCACTACCTTAAACTGGGGAACTTCGCCCATCATGGTAACCGTCAAGTACCCACGGCCGCAATCTGCGCATTCTGCGCGCTCATGACCACATTTGCAGACAGGGACACGCTTGGATGCCACTGTGATCTCTTTGAACTTCGGTGTCTCACCAACCTTAACAACTTGCAAATACCCCCTGTTGCACGTGGGGCATGATTCCCTTTCTTCCCCACAGTCGCACACCGGTACTTTCTTCTTGATCTCGTTGTCACTGCCACCCTCCCCAGACGGCCCATCAGCAATTGCTGCCTGGGCAGCCTTGGAACCTCACTAGCCCACAGTGACGGTGACAACATAATAATTGTAGTACATGTTTTTCTTAAGGTAATATTATTTTTATTATTGTTCAGGGTTTGATAATAAATAAGTATATAGTTAGTTGATTGATAAGTTGATTTTTAATTAATTGCATTTGAAAAAATAATATGCCACATAACTCGCTGTCGTAGAATCTTCTGGAACCACATCGCCAGGCTTCACAAACTTGGGGGGTCGGCCAGCTGCAACTTCTTCATTAAAGCCATGTTTACAATCTGGACATTCCCCACGAGTCTTGAGACAATGGCAAACAGCGATCTGAGAGGCTTCAGGCGCCAACTCACCTAAGTGATGGTAAGCAAACAGAACAACCATGATTCTTTAAAGTGTATCCAATCATGAATCTTAATCATTTATTTTTTAAATTTATTATAAATTGGGACGACTAAATATATACATTATTATTATCAATGATTAAATGGAAACAAATTAAACATCTGAACTGACTCAGTTTAATCCCCAGGTGCCCGTCTTTGGCATAACTCCAGCCAAAGGCATGCGGTTGCCGCTTTCACTGGCTGCGGAAGATTTACTGGCCTTGGTGTCCTCCTCAGTCACTTCAAGGCTCGGCAGGGCTGCAGGCAAATTAGTTGGATTAGGAGCTTGCTCCTGAAAAATAGCCATGCACCACCTTCGGGTAGTTCCATCTGTTACAAATGGAATTCCTGCTGGATTCTTTCGAATCACCCAAGGGTTCCCGGTAGTGGACTTCCCCAACCCCTTCACGATGCCATTGCAAGTCAAAAGAGATTCGCCAGAACCTCGTCATTGTCATTGAATTGACTTAAAGATATATCCCTTTAGTTAAAATAATCATTTATTATATTAATCCCTTTGCAAGAATTGAATGTTGAGTTGTGGGATACAAAAATAAAAACAATTGGTATAGGACTGGGTCATGAACCAAATGACTCAACTCCATGACTTCAAAAGTCTGGTTCTTGGACATTTCAATCTCGACCTTTCGGACCAACTCCATGAAGGAGCAATTTGCCATGGGGCTTCCGACCTCCAGGTAGTAGTCTTTCATGATCGTAATCAGCTTGTCTTTGTCGTGCCTGGGCCGCAAGAACGGGACCCGGCTGGACTGATTGGGTTGTCAGTGTACCTGCGAATAATAATTAGTGTTACTAGTTACTTTACCAAGGGACCGGTCAATTGAAATTAGAAAGCTAGAGCCCGTAGCAAATTGATCGAACACTGTAAGAAAAACCAATGTCAGGGCTAGGAACGAATCCAGTGGATTTGTCATTGGTTTGCGAAACATACCGTAGAATGCCAACCGGATTGTCTTACTCGGAAGTGTCTGGGTGAACCTCTTGGCGCACTTGTCGGGCTCGGCAGCTGCCATGATATCGAGAAGGTGGTTGTCCTGGTCGTGGATTAATTTAAACATGATTATATATTATTTACATGACTAAATTATATTTAATTCATTCATCCATTTATAATAATATAATTATATTTATTCAATTCAAACAAAAAATAAAGACAACACTGAGTTGAAATCCTAGGCTCTGGTGTTCCATTCCAAGAACCAAACCCAGTGCTAAGTGCTTTGACATTCTGCTTGGTTGCTCTGGCCCGTGATGCTGCCTTCGCCTTCGCCCCCCCTCCTGGCTTCTTACCAGTAGATCTCGAGCCATTTTCATCATCATCACCGGGGGGGGGGGTACCCATGGGAACCCCACCATCAAGCACAACCGAAAGCTCAGAAGCCATAGGTCAATGTCGCCGATGGCGAATGTTCGTTTACCCGGGGTTGATGCTGCTGAGCTGCACTTCGAAGAAACACGGCGGTGAACATGATGCTGGCAGGTTTTTATTATGTTGAACCAAAATTCAACCAATCTGTCTTCTAATCGATCATTGTTTTTTCAACGAATATCAAACCAGCCTCTTGTTACAATATTACCAGTGTGAACTGCTGAGCTGACAAGGGGAACAAGTCGCCAAATTTCTTAGTACCACTGACACAAGCAAGCATTGCATTGAATTGATTTATCAGATAATTCTGAAGCAGTGTAACATACACATGATTGTTTTTCACTGTGGACCGTAACATGCCAATGCCAGCAGCTGAAACACTCCACATGTTTGGAGGTGCATTGAATTTCCAATGACCTTGATCAGATCAGCTGCTCGCTTCCGATCTGATGCGCCTACCAAGGGCACCTGTAGCGCTTGGGCCATTGACTGTACCACCGGGAAGCCCATTGCTACCAGGCGCTCCTTGGATGTCATCCACCTAGAGTAAGCGGGAAGCCAGTACTTAGCAGAGCTGGTGCTGAGCCTAAAAGTAGGCACCTTTCCCGAAGAAGCACTCCAGCTGCAGAATGCAGCGCTGTCACCCAGTCCATACACAAGATTTGGGTTTCTGTATGAGGGTTCTCCCATTTTTTGGAAATACTTCGCATCAAGATCAGACTTTGTTTGTGCCTCACGAGTTGAAAGTAAGATAGCATTGTTGTCACGTCCAGGCACGAAGTTTGACAACCCCATTGATGTTGCCATGTCCATCAATTCTAAATTCACTTCCGGGTCTGTAGCTACCAAATAATCGCGCACTTCACATTGGCATTTGTCATAGAAAAAAGAAGTGATAGAATCCAGCAATTCGAATGGGTCTTGTAGGCATGTAGAACGCTCCTCATGTTGTCCGATACACCACGTCCTTCTTCTCGCTGTACCAGCAAACCCAAAATCAGCAGGCTCACTAAACATTTGATGCCAATGATAACCGGGATGACAATCTTCCAACATACCGAAATCCAATTCCTCGAAATCTTAAAAGTTCCAACAGGCAGGGCCCCCCAATAATAATGCCATTGTAACATCATAAAATTGGGGTCAATAAAAAATGCTCAAGACTTGACTGAAATGAACCCCAATTATACAGTTTCAAAAAAAATGCAAGAAAGCTTAGAGTCCGGCGTGCATTCAATCAGAAGAAGGGGTATCCGATTAGTAGTGGCCCACTTGCCATGGGTGATATAAACGCCATTCGTGGGACCAGCCCGTTTCAAGCGCTTGTGGTTGGCAGCACTCATGTCTGGGCATGGCAGACCGGACACACTGAACGTCGCTGCCTTGTGAGGATTGCACGGGCAACCATCTGCTGCAGCGCTGTGCTGAAGGCAGTACTGTTGGGGAACAAGTCTGCAATTTCTAATGGCGTGAAACTTCTGGGAATATGTCATAGTCTCATGAGTCAGAGTGCCAAATGGAAGAAGACCAAGAATATCACCAAACATGCAAGAGGTCTTGTAGTCATGGCCAGCAACTTCTTCAATCCATCGAAAGGAATCACGGATAAGACTTTGGCATCGTTGGGTATATTCCTCATCATGACATTGACGATTAACTAAATAGTGTTTATTTGAAGCCACCAATTAAATGCGAGGGGGAAGCAAACAATTTATTCAAGGATCATTCAAATTGTTTGTTGAATTATCACCAAGATTCCCACACGGCAACGGTTGGGATGTCAACTTGAAAATCGACTCTACCACTATTGTTGATATCCCGCTCCAATATGGCTCTGCTCATTTCAGCTGTACCGCATCCAGTACAGAACGATGTAGCTGCATGGCAGTGTGCCAACCAAGATGCCTGGGTTGGGTCCCGCTCACTTAAAATTATAATTCTTAACTGTTATGCGATTGCACATTTAATACTTGGGATAATTGATTATGATAATTAACCAACATGCAAACAAACATAATCAAAATACTTTGTCAGACAGAGTCAAAATACATTCAGTCGTGTTTGCGGCAATTCATCAGCTACGATATCCCATGCGTACTTGATGGCATTCGAAGCCATTGCAAGTCGTGACCAGTCATGGTCCTGAAAACTAACACAGGAGCGGGATATCATATTTAATTTATTTGTCATCTGTCGTCTTAGGTCTTAGTAGTAATAATGTATAATTCGAAAAATAGCAGAATTTGAACAGCAAAACAAACAAACAATCAATCAATCATTCATCATCATCAAAACTATTCCAGCCACCTACAAAAAATACACCAACCCTCTCCTCTCCCAAAGCAGAGCTCTGGCTGGGAGGCACGCAGTCATCATCAGTAGAAGCAGAGTTGGAGGATCTTGTTGTCATCCCGGTCGTCGTCATACAGGCCGGTGTTTTCGGCTGAGGGACGCCAACGACATCGGGAATGGACATTGCTGAAAAGGATTATGATTTTCTATAATTTTTGCTGTGACTCTAATACGGAAATATCTGAGTACTGTCCCCTGTGATGTTTTTTTAAATTTTAAAGTGTTGAAACTGTTGAAGAATATTGAAGCCTGAAGATCCCAATAACGATTGACATTTAAATGTTGTAACAATCTGTCCAGCAGTTTTAAACAAAGCCAAGAGGTTCTGCCTGCTGCAGCCGGAGTTTGAATAGATATCCAATCCTACCCATGACTTGATAAAAAATCACTGGCTGCCAAAAAAATCACCCAACTTAGCTCACCCACAAAGCCAAGTAGCAAGTGGAGGGGCATATGCGCTCAAATTGACCATGGGGCCTCAGAATTGGCAGAGGGAGAGAGTGCCTAAGTTTGGTAGTATTCAATCTAAATTTAGTCACATACTAAGTTCTATTTTGCAAAAAATGCTATTTTATGGATCTGTCTATAGTATTGTACTGTATGTTTTTAAGCCGCATTCAGAAATTTTAAGATCCATTTGGATCATTGGTCCAGTAATGTCAAGGCGCAATGAAACTTGTAAGCCTCCACAGCAATCTTTTGGACAACGCTTCCATCGAATACCACCTCAGTCAGGCTGAGGATATTGTCTATCTATTGTAACTGACATTTCACTGAACCCAAGTGTATTGAAATTCTCGCTAATAGTTTGAGGCTATATTTTTGTTTTATCTTAATAAATAAAATAATTTGGTATGACCATTTTCGGGTAGTCGTTAGTACTGACAGTCGCTGAACAACTGACAGAGGATCCGACCGACATGTGCGGGCTGTTCTGGAACACTCGGCGTGCTTTGGCCAGGTAGCAAACCTCAGTCAGTACGAGACAGTGAGAGCTGAGTCTGAGTTAGCCAGATAGCTGAAGGCAACAGACAGACTGTAACAGTCAGTCGGTATTGCGCTACCAAGTTTGTAATGACAAATAATAGTTATTACTGCAACTATGTGGAATCCAGGCAGAGCTTCCAATGAGAATGACAATGATGACACTGACTGATAGTGATAACAGATGATACAGTCTGTTGCCAGATTATGTAAAGGAGCCATTGCGCGATATGCCAACCACATAGTGCCAGTCGTGATCTGGCGGCCAGTGCCCAGAATTGATTTCCCCAATGTAAAATACCTCGGACTGACGTGATGATTTTGACCAGGGCAGGACTCGACTCAAGGCCTATTAATTACATGATTCCTTAGAATTGCCAACAATAATAATAAATAATTGGTCATAACAAGTGTCAATCATGTGTTCATTCCCACAATTTCTGTTGACAAACTAGGTACTTCCCATTCCTGACATTCTGGATGAGGTTGAAAAATTCCAGCACTGTGAGTGGTTGCTTCTTTCGTCTCTCCCTAGCCACGGCCAACTCCGATTGCAGGATCGTGTCAAGGTTACCATCCTTAAGCCAACATTCAATCAGAGCCATTGTCGGGGGGGAAAGCGTTCAGGCTTTGCACAATTGATTGAGAATGCCCAAGATTATTATGGGTTTTAGAGTGTTGTTTCACTAGGTGTTTGATTCATCATTATTAAATTTGATGTAGAATGTTACATTGATCACATTCACTGGCTGGCTGTCATAACAAGATTCCAAAAAGGCTGCAATCTGCGACAGCAGAGACAATCCAATGGAACGCACGATGGAAAACTGCGTAAGTTTTTTGCGGTGCAGCCTCGGCACTTAAACAGGTGGAAAATGACTTGGGACCAAGGGATACTCAAGATGCCCGCAGTAGAGAAAAAACTAATATAATATAATTAGTAGATTGCTGTAATCATGGATTTTCTGATGGGAGGCATCGCTTGATGACGTATAGTCTACCGTATAGTTGATCTTTTTGTGTTACTAGTTATCAGTTGATAATCATAAGCTTATAGGAGACCTCGCTCGATGACATGATGTGACCCTGGTAATTTGTGAAATTTTGATTATTTAGATTATTATTGCTGCCAATCAGCGGGTCCAGTGCAAAAGCAATCACAGCTGCCAGGGAAGCGCACTGGGCCACCGTTGTCACCCAAGGTTTCGATTGGTCCTAGGATGCAGCAGCATGGCTCTTTAATTAATTAATTGATCTCACAGTAGCTTGTTATTAACACCGCATAAAACCTCAAAACCCCATTACTAGTATGTCTCTGCATGTGTGCATGTGGCAAAACCAAACGCAGTCGAAGTTTCCAATGCTTCCTTGTCCCACAACGCTGCTATGTCGTGTCTTGTCTGAACCGTTAACTCACCAGAATTAATCAGCCATTGAACGGGAAAGTGCTCACCATGTCTCTGTGCAACTGCCACCTGTCCTGGTTGATTGAAAATTCAGTTACTTACTACTTACTTACTGCAACTAAGCATATCTAAGCATCCAAACTGGATAGCACAGGATGTAAACAAAAAGTAAAAGATTCAAGTGTTTGCTCAAATTTTGAGTAAGGCACTATTGCCAAATGACACATGAAGTGAGAACCCATTGGTTTTTGTGCAACGTGCCACCAACTCGTTTAAGCAATCAAATCCCTTCCGACGCCCGATGACTGTCCCTCTTGCGGTTGACATCTGCCACGCAATCATTGCAATAATCATTGATGTCGGGAGAGTTCTCTCCGTGAAACACTCTGGATTGTCCTTATTGTTAATAGTTTGTGTTTGCTCCAATAAAAAATAAAAAACAACATTTCCATTTTTAGTGGGCGCCATATGAAAAAAAATGTTCAATAAAATGCTCAAGCTACTGATGCGTATTTGGTCTTGAGGGGTTGCAGTTCCTTCGGACGTGCACCGGGCCAAATTTCAGCGTGCATATCTCGGATAGATTCCAACCGAGCATTGAACTTGTTGCCTCAGATCCAATTAATCCAGGTCCATGTTGTGGGAATAACCAATTAGTTGCTTTTAACCCTGATTAAAATACATGTCCTGACCCCCCCCAACCCAGCAATCACTGGTGCCACCAAAGGTACGTGCATTCTGCTGATTGCTGGATGCCCTTTGATTGTTCAACACTGCAGTTGTGATATCCCAATGCAATGCCATCCAAGTATCTGCAGCAAACCACATTGATTGCCACATGGCGTCCAGACCATCCTTTTTTTTACATACACCCTTACCTTCAAATCCCGGACCAAAACTGAACACTCAGGGTGCCAGTTGGCCTCATTAATATCTGCATCCATGTCTCCTGCTTTGAGCCAATAATAAATCGATGCAGCCGATAAACATGATCTCCATCACCCACCGTGCAAGAACAATGCAATGAGGTGTCGAATCCCAATAATAAAATCAGCAATCCCAACTTGAAATTGTTCTTTAAAACTCTCTAAAATTTTAAAGTATGTCTTTAAAATTTTAAAGATGCTCTTTAAATTTTAAAAGAGGTTTAAAGAGGTTTAAAGATGTTTAAAGAGGTTTAAAGAGGTTTAAAGAGGTTTAAAGAGGTTTAAAGAGGTTTAAAGAGGTTTTAAAGAGGTTTAAAGAGATTTAGATATATTTAGAGCTAATGTGCCAAAAAAACACAAGTTACCAGGGTCACATCGAGTGAGGTCTCCCTACAAGCCTGTGAATATTTTTCTTTACATGTTTTGATATCCCCAATCCCACCAGTCACATCTTCATCAACCATCCCCAAGTCATCACCATATGGGTGGGCTTGAACCCATCCCCAGTCATGGTAGTTGTGTATGGCAGCCAGGGTGTATTCCACATTATATTCAATGAATATTAGCTATTAATTATAACACCACTATAGATAATATCGATACTACACATTAATTATTAGCCATTACTCACAATCAACTAAGTCCCAATATTCATCAATATTCACCATTATTCACCAGTATTAACCATTCTAATCCCACCGGAACGCCAGGGCCACCGTATTGAAAGCCACATCATCCCGCTCAAGTCCCACTTGTGCCATCAGCAGGAGCAGCTCCAAGGCGCAAGGCCAGTGTTTGGCGCGCCTGAGCTCAAGGGACTGGACGGGGAAAATCTAGGGGAAATCACCATTGAAGCAACACAAACCGGTGGTTTAACCAACAAAATTGTTGGATTTAATGGTATTTATAGCTGATTCGTGAATTCGTGATAGCTTTGTTTGGATTCATGATAGATTGTTTGGGGATGTCCTGCACTTTTTGCCTGGAACCAATTCTGGGAGTTTCTGATGAAAGACTGTGGTGACATGGGGATTTAACATTGATTTATCATGAGAACTTGGACTTTACCAGGTCCTGATGTTAGCGATTTGACAAAAAAAATGTGGGAAGTTTGCAACCAAACATATCCAACATGTATATCTAAATATTCTAAATCAATGGGCAGAATTACTCTGTTATGAAATGATTTACCCTCTGGTAAACTAACATAACTATGGAAAATCACCATTTTTAATGGGACAATCCACTATAAATGGCAATTTTCAATAGCTATGTTAGTTTACCAGAGGGTATCAATCTTGGGCCATGGTTTATCAAATCCAGTGGGTTCATCAACATGAATCATCCAGGGAGTGACTTGCAACGGGACAACGGCTTCAGTTCCGAACGCCGAAAAAGCTAAACCGAAAGCCACTAATATATGAACTGGAGGGCAAACCAAAGATTTCCTGGTGTTACATAAGTTTCACTATGTTTCACTTGAACCATCTCTAATCAATGGAACTGCTCCCAGAATCTGCATCACAAATGAGAAGTACCCGAGGATAGAAGCCAACCAAAACACCAAATATATATATATATATATATAAATATACACATATCTCTCTATATATTTGCTCAAACCATGTGTATATACCATATGTATATATATATATATGTGTGTGTATACTGTATACGTATATACCTATATGTAATCAATGTAATTAATATGATCTTCATTCCGTCCTGGTCGCCCCACCGAATTCGCACTCGGAAGTGATTGAAACATTCACTGATGCTACGGGAGAGGCGGCCACGGAAATCCATAAGTATCCTTAAAGTGGTCACGCTTGCGGAAACTGTATGATGGTATGTTCTACATAAATATATACATATATATATATACAGTGTATATATATATATATATATGTGATTGTGTGTGTATGTATGTGTGTGTAGTTGTTCCATCAAATTCCAAACTTGCGACATGAACAAACTCTGAAATTTTATCAATAGAAAAGCTTGTGGACATCCCGGCTTCGATATGTTCGATGTCCAGATGCTCACAAGCACTGGCAACAGAGCTTACACTGATGATGCTGGGCTGCAACTTGTTGTCCTGCAGGGCTTGGATTATCCGGTGAGAACTACCCTTCAAGTCAAAGCGAATCCCATATCATAAGAAGCACCATCTACCACCACTAGCCCCATCAACAACATAGGGGTATTGGATAGCATATTATACAAGCACAAAAAAAAGCGACATGGATCACAGGATTCAATATCCATTCAATCTGGGTAAATTATAGTAATTCACTGACCCGAATTAAGGCCATTTTAGGATGATTTCCCTTACTAACCACTATTCCAGTGAGGTCGCAGTGAGGTCGTTATAATTTGCCCAGATTCAATATCCATTCAAAACCTGGTACTGTCCATCTAGGATTTATGACGCCCTGATTGGGTGTCATGATAATTAGTTTCTGCTATTAGTTCTTCCTTTCGACCACTGCAAGTTGCTGTGATTGGATACTGTCCAGAGACTCGACATGATTATTATGTGGCGTCTTGTCAAAACAAACACTGAATCATCCCTCCTTGTAATACCCGAGGTCCTACCTCAAGGGTTCCTACAATGGGGGTAATCAATTACCCCCAAATCATCCAAGTCACTCCTCAAAAATAGACCAGTTGGTATTGAAACCGGTGACTTGGGGATCCCCAGTCAAAAAGGACCCCCAAAACGCCGATGTTTGATCCCCGTACCGCAACGCCCAGCGCGTCCCGCAACGCTTTCAGCAACGCCAACGCGAGATCCTGGCGCCGGAAAAAGCATCGGCATAGCTGAGGTCAATTTAGGTAAATGCTGCCATGCAAAAAGATGAAGTGGCTTTAGTCAAACATATTCGACATTTTGCATGATATATCATTATATATATAAATGTCAGCACCATTCAAGTGTTTGAACTAAACTGTCTAACTGGATGCCCAAACCACTACGTCGGCAACCTCAGCACATTTCGGCCATTATCTCCTCACCGTTTCCACGCCAAGGAACCCATTGTTGCCCTTGGTCGCATGCCGCCATGGCCGCATTGAAACCCACCACATCGGGGGTTAAGCCGTACTTGTCGTGCCTCAAGGGATGGAGAAGCTACCAAGAACGCGCTTGAATAGAAATTGTTTTCCAGGTGTCCACATCCCCAATTCGAAGTTGCCATAGCTAATCCCAAATAAAACTCAAATTTCAGCCAAAGATTATTGCTTCATGAAAGTGGCATAGCAGCGAAGCCATTTCATTATCTGCCCATCACCCAGGGCAAGAAGCGAGAACAGCAGCAAAGCACGCTCCCACTGGCTAGCCTCTGCACAACACGTCTTCCAAGCTGAACGAAAACACTTACTGGTCGAAAACACTGAAGCGCTAAGATACTCTCCGGTAATCTACAAGTTTTGATAGGATTGATAGGTACATGACTAGAGTTTAAATGAGTTTAACACTCAACACTTGCAAATCACTTGGCAGATAATGACACAATGCCACCCATCTTTCAATGGGTCCATTTTCATGGCAGTGCACCTCGCCGCACGCGCTGATGGCAGCATTCAAAACGGCCACATCGACATCTCCTGACAACGGCAATGGCTGAGGGGTATCCGCCTCGTGGATGCTCCAAAATCATGACCAAAATCATCGCCTTACTCCCAAGAAAACATCATAGAACATACCCTCTGGTAAATTAACATAGACCCTGGCAGATAGGGGTTGGAAGACTAGTTTCCATTAAAAATTGGTGATTTTCAGGGTCTATGTTTATTTACCAGAGGGTAGATGAACATGCTATGACTCCATGTGATATCCCGATAAGGAACATTCAAGAACTTCACATTTCACCATTCCCAGTGTTACCATGGCCTGAGGCTTCCGTGAGGCAAGCCAGAGCTTCTTCCCAATTACCTGGAACCCAAACATTACGTAGAAATCGTGGAGGGGACTGGGAACTTCAGGGCATATTACAACTGGTTGGTGGTGCAATAACCATCTTGAAAAATATGAGTTCGTCAATGGGAAGGATGACATCCCATATATTATGGAAAAATAAAACATGTTTAAAACCACCAACCAGAATACTTCTAAAAGAAGGCACGGCAAGTTTTTATTTGAGTCAATGAGGGCGTGTCAGGCTTCCTCCCAAATCAACACATTGATTTTTTCGGCAGACACCGGCCCGGGCCATGGGCAGCCTATGGCAGCCTGGCCTGTGGCAGAGATGCTGGAACTCCATGTTACGACATCAGGCTGAATCCTGCGCCAAGCCGCCAAGGTATGTTCCCTCCATGAAGGATTTGATGATCTGATGGTGCTACGCCATACCGAGGGTCTGAAAATAGGCTACCCCATCCACTGGTTGATCATCCTTTTTCGTCACCATTTCGGGGGACGTCAACGCATTTCCAGACAAAGCCAGTGGGTCTTCTGGAACCATCTGGAACCCAACAACTGTGCCCATGGCTGCTTGGAACCTTCGCGTCCGCATGGCTGCATGGACACGCTGCAAGTTGGGGGGGCGATGTGCCAGCAGACTGTTGAAAGTGATAACGTCGGAGGTCAGGCGCCTGGTGTGGTGCAGCACTAAGTTTGGCCAAGAAACATGGGAAGCCGCCAGGCTTGCTTCCTCCCGACTGGGGTGATATTCATCGTTGTACCACCACCATTAAATCTCCACACTATTCCTCATGTATCATACCCTCCGGTAGTTTAACATAGCTATTGAAAATCACCATTGCCATAGAAATAGTTGATTTCCCCAAAATGGTGGTCTGATTTTCCAGTTCGTTATGTAAACGTTTACCAGAGTCCAGAGGGTATATCCTGTGTACATATCATCCCGGGCCTTCCCTCCAGCTGCTCCAGAACTTCCAAGGCTTGCTGCCAGTCCTCTGCGACCTTCCCAGCCCCATGGCAAAAGATTCTCAGGGCTGCTCGAAACAAGACCACAAATACAAGGGTGACATATGTTTGCAAATTTTCCACCCCAAAAGTGGCTATCATTTACCAAAATGGATTGGAGCGGATTTCCTGCCTTGATGCAGCTGTTCAGGCTTACCACGGTAGGTTGTAAGCTGTGGCGTCCCATCTCCTACCGGAGGATGACGACCATGGGACCATCACCTTTAGGCACCAGCTCTCATGACGCTGAGGACAATACTCATTCTCTACTTCTGCCCTTAGGTTCTGCATAATTCTATGTACAGTAAATTTCACGATTATTCATGCTTATACCTTGCAGGCATTCTGGCATCTTTCATCACTTCTCCAGACTTCCCCCCGCATATTATAGGTACAGTATGTGTACATTCATGTTTTTTTTCTGATTATCTGTGTGTGAGCATGTGCTTGTATATGAATGCCATAATCTCAGCATATCCCTCAGCATATCCCTCAGCATATCCCTTACTGTCCCCCCAAAAAAAAAACACGGCCACCTCCATTAGCGCCATTGCATCACTCAAGGAAGTGCCTTGGCCAGGAAGAATAAAACGGAGGGCAGTGGGCAGAAACTTCCGATGTGCATCCCCAGCAAAGTAACTATACATTACAGTTAGATATGGTTAAATATGGTATACCTACAGTTAGATATGGTAACTTTACAGTTCATATTTTAACCATATCTAACTGTAGGTATACCATGCCTAATTGGGTTGACAAATTGCAATTTGACTCCTGGATGTTTGCGTTGTTCAACCATTTCTGTCGACAAAATTGGTACCTGCGAATTTCCGAATGATTCCTCACTGTGATTGAGGGATATGTATTTTAAACATGGAAGCATATTATATATATATAATGTATAATACATAAATAAATATATATAGTGTAGAATAAATATATATATATATATATGTGTGTGTCTACATAGAGTCCGTTAATTCACTCACCTGAAATAAGGCATCTTTTTCCTCGTTGTCCCACAGACCCCTTGCCGTAGCTCAAGAAGAGGCCTTGCAGTGTTGGATCCGGCTCTGATACCACTGGTAAAATCCGAAGATTTGCCCCTGATCAAAACAGAAAAAGGTTGAAAACATGGTAATCCGTCGACATCGATTCATCGATTTGTTGAAATATGGGTCCTGAAAACATGGTAATTCTCCCTAAATCCACTATTTAATGGCAGTTGTTCATGGTTGTTTTCGGGGTATATCCCCATTTTCAGGCACCAAAATGGATTCACCCAAGGGCATTCACGGTGCGTGCACCAAGTCACAGAAGGAGATCGCAGTGTTGAAAGTGATGGCCGTTGGTGCCACCTACGACAACCAGGCCCCACCTGGACCCACCAGGGGATCCAACTGATGTTTCCGATATTTTGGACACACTGAACTAATAAAAGTTATATATTAGTTAAGTTCTAATTTATACATTTTATCAATTTATAGTGGTTCTTTGAAGAATTCAACTTCAACCAAAATGGGAGGGTTTGATTAACATTCTTGGAAGCATGGATATGTAGAAACAGTTGCCCCACCATAAAAGTCGATCATTTTCCTAGGGGGAAACCCCTCTTGGGTCTTCCTACATTCCTATCATTGAATTTCATAAGTATCATCATCCAATACTCATCCAATTAATGTGGCAAACCCAATTTCATAAACCATCCCAATATTTTTTTTATCATCCATGTATCCATGTATCACGATTCCTTTATGGCTGGTATAAGCCATCCCCAAGTGCCAACGGCCGGGTCGCCGGCGCCGCCTCCTGCTGCCGCATGCGGCGTAGCAACGTTGCGCTGTGGCGTCCGCCGGAACTTTTCAAGGCCGAATTGTAGGTCACCGCGTCGGGACACACCTGACGATGATATAACCAGCCATAAGGACTAAAGTCATGAAGAGAAGCAATACTACGATATCAAAAACTTCATTATTTCGAAATTGTGTTTTTTTAGTTATTATATAAGCTAATGATATAAGTTGAAATAATCATATCGAATACATCACAACAAAACAGTTGTCAGTCCAAACTGATATATAATCTATGTGCTCCATAGTGAGCTAGGTTCATTTGCAACTAGTAAAGTGGTAGATATAAGTATAGTGGTGAATGGGGCCTGTACACAGACTTAGTAACCAGGGGCCACCACATTGTAGGATAAATCAGGGTGTAAATCATGATCAACTTTGACAGCTTGTATTGATTGAATGCGCACACTTGCACGCATACCGTGTACGTGAAGACATAGAGTATATATAATGTACATAATATATAGAATGTATTTTATAATAAATATATAATTGTATATTATATATATATAATAATAATAAATAAATCAAAAAAAAATATGTTCAGCCCTTCTGATACTTGCGGTAATTAAATGGTGGTTTGGGACAAATGCTGGAATATCCACATGTGCCATCCAGTCGTCTCTGAAGCCCATGCACCGATCTTTTTTCTCGGTGCCCGGTTCGATCCCCTCTTGTGGTAAGTCACGAAAGCACTTCATCCCATCTCCCACTAAGTAGATCCATCTAAGGCATCATGTTTTTTTCGGCAAAACAACATGTTTCACCAATTTCCACGGGTTGGTGAGTTCATTATACCACCTTCATTCCATGTTTTTCGCCCCGTCCCAATGAAGGGAACATCTCCACCCATCGAAACCTGAATCGCTTCCATGTCCTCAAGTAGCGCCAAAGAAATCAGCCACGAACGTTGCCGAGAACCGGAAAAGAGCGAATTGAAACTGAAGGTGTCCTGCGAGTTGGCGGGATGCTGGCTATGGCTCCTTCTGTTCTTTTGAACACATGTCACCACTCTAAAGATTGAAAACTAATGGACGATGTTATGGTTATGTGAAACATGGTGGTTTGTGTGAGTGCGTGTGTGTGTGTTTTATATCTGTGTGTGTGTTAGATATATGACATATGATATATGTAAACCCACAAACGTTGTCATTTTGAGCTTAAATAATATAGAAAATAAATATGCATGGAATGCCTAAAGTGGAGGTATAAACCAACTATAACAGAACATCTGGGCATGTTAAGCATGATTAACGGAAATCAGTCCAATGGAGTTCTCAAAATGAGGATAGGGAACAACAAACATCAGGGGTTTTCACTCCAAAAAAAGCAGGTTTTCATCCTTTAGCAACATATTCAATCTTCCAAATGTGGTTGCCTCGGCAGAAATAGATTAAGAAACAACATGGGGACAATGGATGGGTGTAGGCGCCTGATGTTTCATCCACTTGAATTCACTGAATTCTGACTTCGAAACCACCTTTTGGGACAACACACATTACTATATACTGAAAAATATTCATGGAACAAAGAAAAGGATCAAACGCATTTAGTGTTGTGCACATATGTAGTACACTCTATATATATAATTATAAATACAAGGTGGTGCTTCCATAGTTATAAGTTGGTTTATAATTTATAATCCCCATTAACTATAGATATAACCCCCATAAACCCTAGTTATTGGACTTATAAACCAACTTAGCTAACTAAGTTACACCTTGTATGCATATTATGTTCATTCTACAACAAGCAACATCAGGATGTGGGATCCATCTCACTCCCTTTAGGCCCTAAAGCCTAGACACTTGTGTCTAGTCATCATCAGGTCTGCCTGGGCTACGGCTACATAATCAAACGATTTTGGTAGTAACTGTAAGTCACTGTATCATTTTTAGGGATAGCCCCTCAATTCCCTGGTGCTTGTCAATCTGGAATTGATTTTTACACAAGCACCCCAAAATGGGAATATCACCCGTCCAATTCCAATTCCAATCAATCATCAGTTTGCCCATTTCAAAATGAGGATCAATAAATATCAATAAGGTACATAATGTACACACATATATATATATACATATGAATAATATATATATATGAATATGAATATATATATATATATATACAGTATACTTTATACCTCATCTTCCCCCCACCAAAAATGGCGTCACCATCACCATCACCCAAGAAGCCTGACGGATTTGTTGCCTTGGCATTTCCCAAAGCAAAGCCAGAGCCAACGGCCAGCGTCCACCTTTCCTTGGTAAAATCCATGTCTGGCCAGGGAGGTTTATGAAAAACTTGTAACAAATCAATGAACTCAAAAAAATCAGGGTTTCCTGCGAATTTGCCCTTCAAACATATCTGGGGGCAAAAAAATCAATGACTGGTGCGGGTCACCCGAATCTGAAAACACTACAGAGTTACGACCCGTATGGCCATATGCTTCCCAAAATGGATGGATCGATAGGATCCATGATCTAAATGAAGGATTCTGTGGGGGGGTGGTATTTGTTACTAAGGCCCTGAGGATCCATGCACACAAATCAAATATCAAATAAATAGGGCCACATCGGAAAAACATGGCAAAACGTGATCAGCATGAACGAAAAATGAAACTTTTGCAGGGGCCTGCCCCAACAAGTTCATTACATTGTGGCCAAATCAGAACATCTCTCAAGCTTTCCAATTGATGTTTGCGTGGCCTCAAAAACCCATACATGTATATATTTGGGAATAAAACACAAATAAATCATTGAAATCGCAAGTTTTACATTGTGTGTGATCTCTCCGTTCCCAAGCCGACCGTGGGAACTACCACGGGAATGTCGGAATGTCCCACCGTCCCACCCTTTCCCAAGGCTCGCTACTGCAGCAATGGCAGTGTTGAAACTGGTAGTGTCGACCCAACGATGGGAGCTCAAGAGCGCTAAAGCCTGAAATTGCAGAAACTCTGCGGAGCTGGGATCACTTGATGGGATTAACATGATGTGAGCTATGTTAATTAGTCATTAACTACGGTTGATATGATCATACTTATAGGCTAGTTAACTTGATATAGGGATGGTAACAACCCACATTAAGTTATGTTCCATCCCTATAACTATGGTTTGACATCCGCTTATACTTGGCACTGCAGCTTCAAGTGACGATGGAACCCAAGTTCCAGCCCATTCCCATAGTCACCGCGGTTGCGTCAAGGTTACAGGAAACCAGCTCCCAATCTCAGATACCCCTGTCAAGCTGGTGAGGTCAATATGTCCTCAGTTATAGCCCCCAACTGAAGTATCAACTAGATTCGACTAGTATTCAAGTACCAAAACCATCCGAAAAGTTGACACAACCATGAGTCATATGAGTACCAGAACCCTGGTCTGGTACTGGTCGAATTGCAACAAAAACGCCACGCGCCACGATGCGCCACGCGTCAAGTCGCTTGCTGCCACTGCTTCTTTTTGGCACAGGCGTTCAAGGCACAGTTCACCGCCAAGGTGACAACACTGCCGACCAACCGTTCACCTGAAAAGTCCTGGCAACACGGTGGGTGGTCGATGAGTTTTTGGGGTAACCAAGCAGAATGCCAACACCCACATAAAAATAAATATATCTACACATATCAATGTGTATATACATATATATATATACATATCTGGCATGTGAGTGGATATGATAAGAAAACACATGAAACATCTATAATTTATAGTTGAACAGATGGCAAGAGACACTTGGACTAAGAAACCAAGCTCCTCGAGCCAGCGATTCGACGTGACTTGATTCATGCTGTAGGTCGATCCCAAAAGTAGGTGTCACCCAGTTAACCTTGAGACATCCCGTTTTTATCTAACCTTAAGCTGCTTCTTTTTAAACCCAGTCACTTGCCAGTGTCTACATAGTTTCTATATGTTTCTATGTGCTCCTTTTGGACCATGATCTATCATCATTTCCCGCATTGTTTGAGTGCAACGTGGGTTGCGCTCCTGTTTGGGACAAGGCACTCAGCAACCCCAGAAATCGACAGAAGAAGTTGGAGAATTGGTGATCACATTCCTAGCTGATTGGTGGTTGACCTACCCCTCTGAAACATATGAAAGTCAATGGGTTTCGGATTATCCCATATATTGTGGAAAATCAAAACTGGTTGAAACCACCAACCAGCTATGACTTTATTTTTGACACAGCCATAGGCTGATCCCTCATCAACACCACCAAAATCCCATGGTCCATGGTTCATCACCTTTTTCCACCTGTAACAGGTGCGGGCAATGATGGCTACCATGAGAATCATCAAAATCCCACGGGTTATCCATCATCCATTACATTCTTGGGAGTAAAACTACCATCCATGCTCATCCATCATCACCCCACCTGCTTCCCTGTGAGTAGTTGCAATGCTTCCCGCCAGCGCAGAGCTTTGGCACATGAAATGGAGGCACTGCACAGAGCAGCGGCCTGCTGAAATTGAACATGTATAGCCACCTACAAAAGGTAGAAAAGAAGCAGAATCCTAATATGTGGTAATTGCGGGTTGCTATAGGAAAACTATATAATATTAGCAATATCGTTTAGCAACCCACAAGAAGTAATATGTGGAAACCTTCTTAATTTCTCGTGGGTTGCTATACATAATGAGCAAGCTGTGGGATTCAATGATGAAAACAAGGCAAACTGGCTGAAATGGCAGTACTTTGTGCATTTTTGGGGGAAGGAAAAAGTATGCCCCTCACAAAGCACCATACATCATTGGAATTTAAAATCCAAATAAGTTCCCTATCTTTCCCTGCTATTCCCGGCTTCATATGGTTTTCATTAGTCCCCACTTTCAGGCGTGGACCATAGACTTGCTCCCCCGAAAGCCTTTCATTTGGGGTGCTGGGACTCCTCGTGTCCATGCTTGGCAAGATGGCCATGCCCACATAGGATTTGGGAGAGTATCATTTATTGACTGCAGGGACTATCCTATTAATTGGGCCCTAATGCTTTACAGCCTGACACCTGGAATTGGCTTTGCGTTTGGCATTTGACATATTTCCCAATTGAAACAACTACAAGTTCACCCAAGCCGATGAAGAGTTTAGTGATTCAACTCCATTTATTGGAAAAAAACCAAGCATCACGAATCAACTCATACCTTTGGGATCCTTTGGGTGAAAATAAATCACCTACACCGGTGACTACAGTGGTTTAAAACGTCTATTAAGTCCTTGCCTTTCCCACATGTTCCAATTTTTAGAATAGTTCCCCATATTTTCCATCTCCCATAGGATCCATGTATGGTATATATGCTAACATATGCTAACATTTGGGGTATATTGATGGCAAATGTTACCACATATAGCAGCACCATGGATCCTATGGATCTTGAAATGGCCATAACTTGGGGCTTCCCAGGTCAGCATGTTCCCACCTGGCCGTGTGCCCTCTCCACCAGGGCCACCGCTTCCTGCCACAGCTCGCCGGCGCGCGGGTGCCGCGCCAAGGCATCCAGGGCCTCCAGGGCCTTCAGAGCGAGAAGCGAGGCGTCGGCGAGCTTGGCACGGGCCTGGGCCACTTGGGGCTGGGCCAGGGAGCATGTTTACCACCTATCAGTAATCACTATGATTTAGAAGATCCCACTTAGAACTTTGGGTTACCCAGTTGGGATAGGCCCTAGAACTTTAGTTCTATATCCACTCTTGTGACTGGAAGCCCGCTTCCAAGCAGGGAGGTGCTTTCGCTTGAGGACCTACCAAAATTGTGTCAGCTATGCAAAAATTGGCTGGCTATTTGATCTCTATTTCTACATACACCTTCAAAAAATCAACAACTTGGGCTTGTATTGGAGAAAAACACCTCTGGGTTCAGACATCATTCTCCCCATTCCAAACTGCCATACGTGTGTGTCTGAACATAGGGCACACCCAAAAGGGCCATCAAACAATAGGACCAATGAGAATGAAACACTAAAGCATGTGCCCTTATTTCTCAAGTCCAAACCTAATTCTTGTATGGGTTTGTGTGAAAAGAGGCTATCGGCTATCCTAAAATCCCATGGTTACCCTCCGGTAATCAAATATGGCCATGGAAAACCATCATTTCTAGATTATTTTCCCATTAAAACCCCCATGATTTTGACCGAGATTTCCCAGAAAACGCCACGTTACACCGGAGGGCACAAGTAACATCAAGATCACCAAGTAACAGAATCATTGAAATTCCCATGAAATCCCAGTAAATCACAATTGTGTAGCTTGAAATCACCTTGTTCCCCACGAAAATCGCTGACCAGACCCCACCTGAGCAAGCTCGACATCTCGACCTCGCGATCGCGACGGCGTCAGCAAGCCTTGAAGATCGCCAGCCTGCCAAGGGCAGCCCTTAACATGGCGGGCGGCAACCGTTAAAAATGGTGGTTTTTACATGATTTTACCATGTCTTACTGAGCTGTACTGTCAAAAATGGTGGATTTTACTATGTTTTACATGATTTTACCAGCAACCGTGGTGGTTTTTGCCATCAGAAATCAAAATTCACTGAGGAAATATGAAAAGTTACCAATCCCCGCGACAGAGATCGATCTCAAACGGAAAGTAGCCTACCTGCAGGGCATGCCGCGCCATGCGCGTCGCACCGCGCCATGCGCGGAACCATGGCGTCAGCGGGGGTTCCCGATGTTTTCAGTTGTCCCATATGGTTTACGCCATGATAATCCTATTTTTAACGGTGTTTCATACCATTACCTCATGATAGTTTCCAACTGGCGCAGGATTTATTTCATCCACAGTTTCATCATTATGGCGTTGGTTATTGCTGAAATTTATTTTCTGGGTGCCTATGCTGGTGAAACATGAATGATCTTTGGTGATATCATACCCCATACCATTGGCTTTTTCCCAGTATTTCTCCACTTGAGCAGATTTTTGGTACCCCCGTTGCCCTCAGCGATTGAGTCACACTGAGCCTGGATGAGATGCGATGAGCCAAAAAAACCACTAGTGAGTTGGGCCCAATCCACCTGAGACATCCAACTTGTCGAAACCAGTATCTTGTTGATTGACAATACCCTCTGGTAATTTAACATAGCTATGAAAAATCACCATTTTTAATGGGCAAATCAACTATAAATGGGCCATCTTCCATAGCTATGTTAAATTACCAGAGGGTAACCATTTAGCTGAGATGCGATCAACTCCAAAAGCATCAACCCTATCCGTGTTTTTCCAAAAGGCTGGCTAAAAGTGATGCTGTGTAAGTGATGCTAAAAGTGACTAGGTCCAGGTCTGTACAGGCGGCTTTGGCACCAACATGCGCCGGTAAAATCATATGGGAAAATGTTCCATGGTGCTGGTATGGTTCTTTCCATTTGGCTCATTTCGATGGTAAATGTTCGTAGTTGTAGATATATCTATACCATACATTGTGCATATCTTAGATCACTACGTACTCAGCAAGAACAACATATTTCGCTGTTTAGCAAGTATCCCAATCTATAGCACACTATTATAATGTTATAATTATGTATATACATACATATATATATATAATAACAACCCTATGGATCCAAGTATTACCTGAACCCCAAGTACTTCACCCCAAGTACATCCCCAGAAGGTTCACCAGCATAGGAATCCAGTAGCATCATAGGTTGACCCAACGGCCCTGGACTCCTGAGCCTCCCTTTTTCCGTCCCGGGCTTAGCCGCTGTGACAAGGACTGGCTCGGTCGAGATTCCGGGCGAAGCTTCCCTGGAATATCAGGAAGGCTGTGAAATTTGGAAACAGCGGTTAAATGCGGTTAATGGTTAACCGTTCTTGGAATATCTTGAATAGAACATGTGCATGTGGGATCATCCAAAAACTTTATTTGAAAAGTGTTTGAAGATTGCACATGTTCCAAACACTTTCAAATGGTTTTGGACATGGTTTTTGCGACCTGAATTTCCAAATCAATGCAGCCCGGACCCAGGGGACCCAGGGGACCCAGGCTCAAAACAATGGCACGTTGCCATTGGGAATGGGTCATTTCCCCAATTTGGGCCGTTAAACATGGGAGCATACCACAGCTGCGAGGTCCAAGTCGCAGCTTCTGAAACACGACTCAAGGTGAGTATCGAGCCCTTGTGGCAGACTGAGAAACCACTAGGTAATATTATGTAACAATATACTCACAATATGGAAAATGAAATGATAAAAATCCAATACCTTTCGTTGTAAACTTTGTTTGATGCTGAATCACCTCTATCTTCCAACCAAATGATCTATGACCCGGCCATTGTAGGGCCCGCAGAAAATACTCAAAAACAATCCCAACTTAGGATCCTGAACTGCTCCATGATTTTTTACATGGGCACAATGTCACTGAAACCACCAAGGACCTTAAACATGTATAAAATTCTGTATAATAGGTATATAATTACTTTGAAGATCCCATTTTTGCTGTCACATGCCTTTCCCAAGGAGTTGGGATCATCCACTGGTCAGGCTCAAAAAATTGCCCACCATGTGCCGAGGTTTTGGCTTGTCTGGCTTGATTGTATGGACATCCAAGAAAACAATGAAAACATTGACATTGGCCAGTAACTCCAATTTAGGATCCAACTTTGGTATCCCCGCACCCTGCTGGTTTTGGGTTCTTAACAGAAAAGTTGGACAATGATATCTAATTGGTGGTATACGGTATACCTACCCCTCTGAAAAATATGAGTTCGCCAGTTGGGATGATGACATTCCCATTATATGGAGAGTCATAAAATTCCATGGTTCCATTATTGATTATTATATCCCATTATATCCCATTAAAAACCCATTAAAAAGCCATGTTCCAAACTAGCAGATATGGCACTTCAATAGATCTGTATGCCATCTTCACTGCTGTCGATCCGATCTGTTTTTTTTTCCCCGGATCAACAGTGCCACACAAAAAACCGGCATCAGCAAGGGGTATCCCACAAGTCCGTTGCGTTGCGTCATTGGATTTGGGTACCCTCTGGTTATTTAACATAGCCATGGAAAATGGCCCATTTATAGATTATGTTCCTATGAATACCTCCATTTATAAGGGATTTTCCATGGCTATGTTAAATAACCAGATGGTACTATGTTTGATCATCGCCACAAGTAAACCTCGAAGGTGACTGTTCGATTGTTCGATCCTTAGAATCGAATCCGTGAAGTGTGAAACGCCTATACTTCTGCAAGTCCACCTTCGTCTGGCTGGTGGTTTTTCAGTTCAGCAAATCTGAGTCATGACTGCCACTCAAAAACATGTCAAAAACAACCATCCAGTCCTTCTTTGCTCCAGGTGGCAGCTCTGCTGTTCTGGAGAACCTTTACGGAATTAATTACGGTGTAAGGCCCTTTCTTTCACAAAGGCAGCCACCCATCAAAATATCTCCCGCTCTTGTGAAGATGTGCTTCATACTCATGCTAAGCTATAAAACACAAATAAAACAAATCACAGATTGAGGGAGTTTCCTCCTGTTAGGTCCCAGGATGCACAACCATTCCCCGAATCATTTTTCGTCGCTTCACTCGTTGATTTTAGGATTTCAGCGCTGGGTTTTGTCCTACCCTGGAACTTTCAACATGGCTAATTCATATGGAATGCAGACCTCAAGGAACTTCACTAAACATGGCAAGAAAGAAAAATAAGTTGGCGTTTATAATTTCTAGCCAACGCTCCTTCATGGATCAAACTACTTGGGTATCCCAAAAATGGATAAACAATGATAAACATGGTATGTTTCATCACACTTATTGGCTTAACATGATCATATATGCAATCCTATGGTTCTACAATTTTGTTCCAAAATTATCATACCCCTTTCTGGAACCAAAAAAAAGTTGCTGTCGCTCTGATGCTTTAGGGCTGGCTGACCCATTGCAGGCCACGAAATGCGAGCACAGTGGCACGAGACCGTAGGTCTCAACAAAAAAAATCAATGTTTCTTGGTTCCGTTGCATTTTCAGGTTGGTGATCACATAGTTTCATATATATAGATATAATAGTAATAAGACTAAAATATGTTTCAACAATAATAAATATATAAAATATAATGCTATACAACATTAAAAAAAAAACATTTTTTTTTTTAATATACAAATATATACATGTATACAATGTATACTGTTGCTGATACTTGCTGATTGGTGGTCTGTGTCTCGATTCTTGGTGAATTATCTCATGTTGACCTGCGCCACCCGCCGGTGTCACCTTACGACGCCCGTCCTTGACTCATTACGCTGCCCTGACGGCGAAAGACGGGCACGCCCGAGTTCCTGTCGCGCATGCGGCACCACTCAGCACTGAATTGAAATGACCCATGGTTTCAATGCATTCAAGGAACAAATGCTGCAAAATGCTTTTCCCCAAAGATCCTGCATGAATCTGCATAATACTTTCCGAACCTAATTCTAGGATAATTAGGAACTGAGTAATTTCACCCTTGCCACATACTGGAGCCATGATAGCCATGTTGCAATTGAAGTCACTTATTTCACATAGCAATCACTTCAAATACCTTTTGCAGTCATCATAAATCATCGTCTTTCTTCATTTTGATTCATGCTTAAAGTCCAGCTGGCAATCTCAACTGATCATAAAGATTGTGAGTCATAGCCAGTAAAAAGTGCAACTTGCCCTCCGGCAATCAAACATAGCAATGGAAAATCCTCCATTTAGTTTGATGAAATTCCCCTTTAAAACCACAATTTATCGTTGTTTTTCATTGCTTTTCCAGCTTACCACGTTTGATGACAACGGAACGTACAAGTAACATAGACATAATATGACATAATCATTGAAATTCTAATTAAATCCCAGCAAATCAGAATTTTTGTAGGTTAAATCACCTGGTTCCCCCCAGATCCTTCTCTCTTGAGGCGACGATGAGGAGCGCGCGAGGTCCAACGGCGGTCCGGGCCCCGGCGTGGGCGGGAAGAGATGATGTCCCTGGCGAGGTTGTGGGCGTTTCATGGGGAGAGTCTGGAGGCAAAGATCAAGGATTTCCAAAGAACAAACCTGGATAAACATACTTAAACAGCAATTGATATAAAATATCTAAACACCAATTTACATCAGGTTCAGGATACTGACCCGTATTGACCAATATTGACCCATCAAACAGTGGCAGTGTTATGTATATATATATATATGTATGTGTGTGTATGTATGTATGTATGTATGTATGTATGTATGCATGCATGTATGTATGCATGTACCTATGTATTTATGTATCTATGTATCTATGTATCCATGTATCTATGTATCTATGTATGTATGTATGTATGTATCTATCGATCTATCGATCTATCGATCTATCTATGTATCTATGTATCTATGTATCTATGTATCTATGTATCTATGTATCTATGTATGTATGTATGTATGTATGTATGTATTTGCATGCATGTTTGCATGTTTGCATGTTTGTATGTTTGTATGTTTGTATGTTTGTATGTTTGTGTGTGTATGTATGTATGTATGTATGTACGTAGGTATGTATGTATGTATGTACGTACGTACGTACGTACGTACGTACGTATGTATGTATGTATGCACGCAAGCAAGCATGCATGCATGCATGTATGCATGTATGTTTGTATGCTTGTATGCCTGTATGCATGTATGCATGCATGTATGCATGCATGTATGTTTGTATGTATGTATCATGTACACCTATAAAACTATATGTTTTGGGATATACAAAAAAGAAGAGTGTGGTGACTAACCAACAAACAAAGGGATCCTTTGTTTTGTGGGTGTGGGGTTTGATAGACCTCTTGTTCCCAGGTGATTTGTTCCAACTTGATGCGACCAAGGCGAAGCACTGGAACCAAGAATCCAACTTGTTCAGGGATTTCATAGATAATTTCCACTGCAAATATACCCATGAATGACCCACCCTTTTTTAGATGTAACCGATTATATTCAATTCCAATTCAATGTTTGGATTGAGTTATATCACTACTACCGTCTTCAAAGTTATGCAATATCTAGTCATTTAGATGGTCCAGCTAGCCATGGCAATTACACAAGAGTATAACTATATCAAGTTATCGCATCTGTTCAATGTTGGATGAACATCATCTAATGACTAGCTATGTTCCATATCATGTGCTTCTCCAACTTCGGATTCCAAGGCGCAGAGGAATTCATCTTGGAATCCAAGCGATGGACCGTCTCAGCCAACTTTGTCATCATCTCCTTGGAAGGGCTTCACTTGAGGGTCTATGAGGGATCCCCAAGTCACCATGGGTTTCAATATTTTCAATGTTAAGTTATGGTTTCATGACTTTGGATGATTTGGGGTACCACCTATTTTAGGAAACCTCCAACTCAATATGTGAATCAACCATAGGTTCTATAGATTTTAGCCATTAATTTTTATAAAACTTTAAATGTATCTAGGGAAGTGATGATTTATTTAGTCAATCGCTGGGTTTCTGACATCCCGCGATCTTGCGCGCAGATTTGCACACTGTACTGAGATATGGTCGCATGGCAGTCATGCTGTAGCCGGATTCCAGGCGCTACCCTTTTTTTTGCTAGGGCTTCTCAGAGGAGCTACCCTTGGAAAGTATAACCTATAACGCTGGCAATGTCAAATCCAACCATCGAGAATCCTTTTCGTCTATACATAATATGTTTTCTACGTATGCATATGGGGTCTCATATAATGTCAACCCCGGATTAAGAAACCCCTAGGCTGTTGAATTGGGGGGGTACCAGCCATCACTAGCCATTTACTACTGCGGGCACTACCACAGTTAATCAACCGGGGTTTAGCAAAATCCGGGCTTGGCATGAAATAATGCCAGCCCTGAGCCCAACTGCCAGGTCCGAGCGGCTGAGATGTTTGTGACCTGCGAGGCGTGAGGAGATTCGGCCGTTGGTGCTACAACCAAAACATTACAGCAATGTATAGCAAAACCCAAAAAGAGATAAAACAGAAAGAGGAAAGAGGAAGCCTGGACATATTCTATGGATAATGACACTCACACAAAACTACCTGGAAACAAACTGCTATCTTTTTGGGGATGTGTTTTCAGGCCTTTTTGGGAAATCACCTTAGTCTTCTTCATCATGATCCTGGGTAGGCTCACCCTAGTTGCGCTGGTGATACTTTAGATGTATCTATAGAGTATATCGAATACCCTACAGGACCCACTTGAGCGGGATGAAGCTCTGCTTTGAAAGGCCTCTCTTGCAGGCAAATCTATGTGAACATGCTGTGAAGTCATCTTGATTGAAAACCAATGAAAATCAATGAGCCGGAATTAAAAATACATCCTAAAAATGAAAACATATGTGTCCCAGCGTCCCTGACAACCTATCCAACATAAACCCTCAACCTGCTCGAAACCCAAGGATCCACTCACAGAGTCTTCGCTACATATGGTTGTGCATATTCCGTTCTCTCCTATGTACTTGTAGAATTCATCTTAATTCATCTTTATTTCCCTTAACTGTGCATCTACCTTCCTATCCAATCCATAGATGCACCGGCACCAACCTTCCAACAACTTGGCTTGTCAATTCGCAGCCTCCATGGCACGTTTTTTTCTCTTCCAGCTCCGGATGCGTATCTCCGACAGCGTAAGAGTGGTGTCCATTCAAATGACAATGACATTAGGTCAAACCTATCAGGGTAATTGGCATGTGGACAAATTTCATTAAAACAATGGCGGATGAATGCATCCATGGCCAATGAACCAATGAAAATGCAGGGTTCACAATGTTGATTTGTGTGCATGGTTCAAGTGTGAGTACTGAGTAGATCTAGCCGTTCCACCATTGACACTCAGCATATCTCAACTTGGCAAACAAACTTGTGATTTGATTCCAACCTGGAAGGATGTTCGCTGCAAACCCTATGTTTGCCTGCGCTCATGTTTCAGTGCATATCGATCATCTGGGATCATGATCATAATGCGTTTTTTTTCAGGAACGGAAAAAGTAATATTTGACACAACCAATGCATTTCTGATTGCAGGAAACCTTGTATTTTGTTGATGTACATCCACACGTGCTCCTTGAAACGACAAACTCCCATGTTCAACAGCTAGCTCATCTCAGTCAGTTTGCATCTCTGGCTGTCAGTTTTGGCATGTTTTGACGTCCTGCTTCTATCCAGGCAACTATGGGTGTAGCATTTTGACTTAGAACCACACCTCGAAATGAGTCATGTTACCTATTTTCAGGATGTTTTTCTGTTCACAAACATTGTCTCTAGGTGATTGCCATGTCGATGCGCCGATGCCGTGGCTCACTGCCTGGCCATCTCACTGTCCGAATCGCAGTCGGTGTCGCTGTCCTGGCTCACTGGTCACCAAAAGTCTCCACGGGAATGGGGGGAAACTTCAGAGACTTACTGGTGCAAAACGTAGGGAATGGATGGGTTGCTGGGGGTTGCTGGGATGATGACATTACTAGTGATGACTGGGATCATTCCCGAAAATTCCCTGCGTTTAGCACCAGTAAGAAGAGGTAAGTCACCAAATTTCCACCAAAATTGGCTATCATTTACCTACGATAGCTTGGAACAATCCTGATTTCATGGGATTTCCATGGGTTAACAGCATGCGCGAGTAATTAATCGGGAGTAAAAACGCGTACCTGTTGCGCAATGTCAACAATGTGGATTTACAAACCACTCAATGAACTGATTTGAAGAAAAATCATCAGGAAACTGGAAACCATGGTTTTTTATGACGAAATACATTCACACATGAAATGCTTTCCCGATGGTTCCCCTTGCATCAAGTCTGGGAGCCCCAATCGCCCGAGGGATCCACCATGATTGTACCAAATTTGGAACCCAAATTTCACCCTGGGTCATTGATCTTAAGGCGGATGACCATCGTTGACCATCGTTGACCCTCGCGCCTCATGGTTACTTCGGAATCCCTTCTCTTGGGCTTCCAGTTCGATGGCTGTGGTCTTTGCTGCCTCGACTTGCGGCTGTGACTCGCAGGAGGTTGGGTTGTCTGAACATGGTTATTATATTTATATACCACGAAAAGTGGCGTTTGACATATTTTTACGAAAATGATGAGCAAGTACAAACAATAATTGAGTGCTTGCGGGGTGTTTTGGAAATTCTAGTCGTTTTCCATGAAAATTTGTTGTTTTCTTTGGCTCACACTCCCAGCAATGCCCAGGCCAATCTGAATTATTCCAGACACATGTCATCTCACCGAGCCTCTACTGGTTCAACCCCCAAAGTTGTTTTTTCACCCACAACTCTGCACACTTGCAATCTGAATTTCAGGAAAGTGGCCAAATGTTGCCCACAAAACATCGCAGTTATCAGTTATCAGCATTTGTGGGTATCTTGCAGGGGTTTTGTGGGTAATTTTGATTTGGGTGTGGCTGGCATTCTTCCAAAAAAGGATTGAAGTGTTCATTTCCAAGCGGGCATTGTTTGAGGCCAATTTTGCCAACCCAATGATGCCATGGATGCTTTGATTGACACACGTCCTCACATCCAAAGTCTCATATTATATGATTGAAGTGGTGAGACAGGACTGCGGAAAAGTGGCGCGCAGGCTACATCGCTTCCATATATGCAAAACGAAACAAAGAACCATGTAATTTTATGTAATTTCAAAAAACATGGTGAAGACTCAGGGAATTATAAACTACTGGATTTTGGGTATGGCCCACTTCAAATCAGCCGTTCATCGTTTTGTCATGTTTAGTTTAGTCTAAATAACGTTCTTTTCTGAGGGTTGACACTAGTCACGCAGTTAGTCTCTATCTGCATCGGGATGTCGAAGACTAGCCCTAGATCAGTAGTACTCCCCAAAAGTCAAAAAGAATATGCTTCCTGAAACAAAGATTTTTTGAAACATTAGAGAAAATTTGGGATAGGTAAACTCTCTTGAAGGAACCACTTGCCACTTGCCACTTGACCAAGTGCCTCTTGCAAATTCCCTTGGAAACTTTATGGCAATATCAATGAATGTCTGTTGGATAGAAGATTCCGAGATGTTTTTGTGCTTAATCATTTTCCTGGATCACTTGCTGGAGCAGCAGATGATTGCAGCTGGCAACCAGAGGGTGCGCCCGCGCATGTTTTGTTTTGGGGAAAGGTGGTGGGGCTTGAGATTGTTCCTGAAATAATCATACAGTGTAGGTCTGGGCTAACAACTACCCATAGTGTGCTGGGGTGCAACATGGCACAACACTGACCGAGTATTGGTTGATCAAGCCACCAAATAACTCTTGGTTCCGGAGCCACTTGGAAAGGAGAAACTAAGTTCGAAACACCCACTGCATGATCTGGATGAGCCTCAATCAATTAAACCTGGTCCCGCGCCAATTGAAATTCACCATCTCCTCTCATCAAGTACTGGGTTGGTCGCTTCCATGAATTCGTCCAGGTGTTAGAATCAGAGGGTGGTTTCTGGATCCAGCACTCATCGGTTTTCACACATGTTTGCTTCCAAGATACCAGGCCGGCCCTCGAAATGATGCCACAAAAGAGACCGCTGGCTGTGACCACGCAGGCAGCTTGTACGTGCGCTTGAGCGAACAAGGGATACAACGAAGCCTCAAATCTTGCTCAGTGGGGTGACCTTCCAAGTCACAAGGGCCGCAAACCGCAAAAATGAGTTTCATATATTATACATGTATCTGTTCATAGCGTGTTGGCTGAAAACCTTCTGTTTTACATCATGTACATCATGTTAATTGAAGTTGATAAATGTTTTGGTATTGAAAATAATAGACGCACCTTGAACTCAGCATTGTTGTGATTTGGCACCCTTCATCCACTGCAGGAACTCTCCTGAAACTAATGTATTTGCCGCAGAAATATCAAAACCGGGTGGAAGCAAAACAATCATGCCCGAACAAACCATGTCAATTTGGTGTTTACTGCCCCACCCATGGTCTCAAACCAAAATGTTGCGGAAATTGCTGTCGTTTCACGGGCGAAGTCCCTTCAAGGATCTGAAGTCCAGAAGGCTCTGCACATCTTCGAACCTAAACAGTGCTGTGCCGCAGCCTGGGGGGTTGAACTGTAGCTGGGGTGATGCCTGTAATAGAATATAATATTTCTCTCACGCGCAGAAAGAAACTATAATATATATATATATATATATATATGTACTTATTTATATTATTCTTATTGTATATATATATATTATTTGCGTATATCTATCCATCCATCTATCTGATAATCTATCTAATCGAATCTAATCCAATCCAATCTATTGGCAAAAACGTGGTAGATCCAAACAGGGTTTATAGCGGAAAGACCGCTAAGATCCACCACTAAGCCCTGCATACAAAATTATCAAAGGCATCAGGTACTCAGCACCCGAAAGGTTTGACATGTTCTTTGCCTCATCATTCAGTAAAGGCTCAAGATCAACTTCAACACAAATGAGCAGCACCCCAAACTCTGGTGTCATCCCCTTCTTTGATGCTTGGTCTGGGAGACTCCAGTGATAGATTTGAACCATTTGAAGAAAAAACAATGTAGAACAACTTCGCAAAGAACAACCTTGGCATTGAACATGCAAACCTAAAATATGACCAGAGTAGGAGACATCACGTTCCAATGGCATGGTTCTTGGGAAGTTCCTGCTCAACAGGCGGGTGAAAATTTGCCGCATGTTCGCGTGCAATTTATTAAAACAATCACATTTTGGTGGTACCACCCATTTTCACACAAACTCAATCATGCATCATACACTGGTTCTGTATCCCATTATGTTCATCCTATTCCCATATCATGTCCCCAGGAAATAAAGGTTGTGGAGAGAGCGTCGGAGGGTATACTAGCCATGCTCTACCAAACCCAAAGATCCAACTATTGTCAATAATATATACATATGTATAAGTATGCACGTGTATGTATGTAATGTAATGTAATGTAATGCAATGTAATGTAATGGTATGGTATGGTATGGTGTGGTGTGGTGTGGTATGGTATAATATGATATGGTATGTATGTATGTATATCCATGAATATATATATATATATATATATCCCCAACAATCTCAACATAAAGTTGGGGACTTTCTTCCCCATCCCGCCCCAGTGCCGCTTTAGGCACATCCATCAGCTCCTCAACGGCGCCGTCGTTGCTGGGGCGTTTCCGCAGCAGTTTTTCCAGGTCGGGGCGTGGCAGTAGCGAGACACAACGGCCCTCCTCCAACAGCGGCAGAAAGGGCGCCTCACAGGACCTGGGTTGAGCCGGTGGTCGGAATGGATGGTTTCTGACGGGAAAACAAGATGGGGAAATTATGGGCAAACCTAGGGGAAAAAAAATGGAACATATATATAAACTATTATAAAATAATAGAGGCAACATAGCTGGACTCCGCTCCTTTTGTTTTTTTTGTTTTGTTTTAGTTTTTACTGTTGTGTATGTGCTGCTCAGATTCTTATGTTCGATTTGATCCCCTAGATTTTAAGCTTGTGGTTTCATCCAAAAAGAGCTCATCAGGGACCAGCCAGCGGACTGCTGATTAATTTGGTATTATTAGCAAAAAAAACTAATTTTGGCGGGTGGCAAACAATAGAATTGGATATGCACAATTCATCATATGTACATACATGTAGACATACAAATGTAAATGAAAAACAATAGCACATAATTATAAGTGTATATTTTGCGAGTAGCCCCTTAATGACAATATGTACCAGTGCCAGGTTGGACTACCATGCTTTGTCAAATAAGTGATACCACAACATGGTAATCTTGATGATGAACATGACGATAAACACGATGAACTGAGGAAATTCCGCGTCACCCCGGGTTGATGCGAACTCGTTTGATTTATTTAGGGGGTACCATCCAAAAACGATAAATTCATATTTAAATGGGGTTGCTCCCTTCTATTTGTAAACTGGTGGCTTGTTCATCCTGGGGTAACATTTGGATACCTCCATTTTATGCAGGATATCACTATTAAACCACCATTCAATCCCTATTCATGGGCCATAGCAACCTAAAAAAACATTAGGAAAAAAAGGCTCATGCAGAATCCCAATCTGAAATTCAGTAGTCAACTCGATCTTGGGATTACATGCGGTCTCTGGAAAATGTCCTTCTTTGAACTGCCAAGTCGCTTCAAGGCAGCTTCAACGTCTTTCACCTCCGCCAGCGCCTTCAAGCTCACAGCTTCCCTAGGCAGCTCGTCCATTAGATCCTGGGAAGGGATGAAGAGCTGGCGCAGAACTCTCCAGCCGAGGTATAGATATTTATAGTTGGGATGAATATTCCCAATATAAGGAAAAATAATCCAAATGTTCCACACCACCAACCAGTATAATTCTAGATTTGTGAAATTCCAACCTCAAATCGTGGTCAATTGAAACCGTTCTATTCTTTGGGCATTTTATGGTGATGAATATATGGACATTTATGAATGAACTGTTGACCATGGATACCATGGATACCCCACCAAACAGGGAGATGACATGGAGATGCAACTAACATCATTAGATATGGAAACCCGAAACCCCCACCATTGTAGGCAATTTTCTTTGAAGAACCATAGGTTTTCCACATATCTACGTTAGCTTACTGCCATATTGACCTTATATAAGTGGAATGGGTTAAAATAAAGCGACAAACACAGCTGCCGGAAGGGACCTATACAGGCAAATTGGTTCACAACTAAGTTAAAATATTTTTTTAAATAAACATAGTCAAGGTGGACAAATCTATAGTTAGATGGGTTTACAAACCGACTTTCCATTTGGATTGTTTCTTGTGCCCACCTTATTGTAGGGCAGCAGGTGTGATGATCCTCCTGATGAACCCAACCCTACCATGTTCATCGAGGCACAAGGGTGGAGAAGTGCGCCAACTCCTTGCAAAACTCCTCGGGGCTCTGGTTAGCTGCTGGTTCATTGCAGGAATGGCCACTAGTTTATAATTTACAACATGTTATAACATTATTAGCATCTAACATCTCATACCCCTGGTTGACTCAGTAGGCTAAGGGAGAGGGCCGTCCAGTGAAAAACATGAACTAACTGGGTTGAATTAAGCCAGGGATCCCAACTGAGCAACCAAGTAGAGTGGGAAATATCACATGGATTTGTTTAACCATTAAACATGAAACATACCAAGAAGAACCGGTTGGAAACAATTCCCTCAAAATATATTGCTAGGTTTAGCTAGTAATTAGGGATCAACGCATCATCTTGGGAAGCGCTAAATATGTACAACAACCCTTGACATTTTTTTAACCTGACAGCCCCTTCTCTGGCACTCTTTCTAACAACCTATGAAAAACAAGTACATTCATTCAATATCACTAAATAAATCTAAATCAGAAGATAACAAAAAACACTTATATGCAGTTTAAGCACACATATATTATATATATATATTTAAATTTAGTTGATTTTTTTAAAAAAAATATTTCATATTATTTGAAATATATTATATATATATATATATAAAATAGATTAAACATATATACAAAATTATTTACAATATATAATACAGAGTAAAGGAAATATATATATAAACTAACTATACTATACATTATATATTACATAGCATATATTATAAATTAAAAACTATGCGTTATATATTCTATATATAATATTAAACATTAAAAACTACACATTATAATATATATATATTAAAAATATGTCTGGTATTATTGATATATTACAGTTTTTTTAATTATATATATATGTTTGAAATATATATATATTAAATAGATATCATAAAATATATATATATATATTAAAGAATGTATGATATTATATATGTTGAAATCATATTATATTTGTATTAAATATGAAATAATATTATATATATATATAAATTAATATATTATATGTTGCCAACATATCATGTCTATAATATATAATATATTTTAAAAATTTTATAAAGTATGAAATATATATACATATATCATACGTATATGTAATATATATATATATATAAACATGGTATATGATATATATATAAAACAATATATATATATAAAACAATATATATATATAAGTCGAATATAAGCATATGGCGTCAAGGAGGAGAGAGTTTCCAGCCCATCTTTCTGAGATAGTTCCGTCTCTAAGCTGGCACGGACGCCGCCAAGATTCTGCAGGCAGATATGGCACCTTCTTCAAGATCACTTGCCTTGGACCCCAAGCCAGAAAGGGGTTCCACAGGTCCTCTAGAATCCTCCGGATATCTGAACCATCGGTTTATCTGGCCGAATCAAGAGAAGGTCTATATCAGCAACAAATAATTTTTGGCGCTAAAAATTGGCGCAAAAGGAGCCACATGATTAGTCATTCTTGCATTTGCACGGCCATTTTTTGGGACGGCAACCATGGATCTTAGTAGAACCCGGTTTAAAATAGTAATCAATTGTGCCTCTTCTGTATCTTCTTGGAGTTACCCTCCTGTAAATCCTCCACGTCTTTGTTAGTTTACCCCCTGAAGCTACATGCATTACATTACATCACATTACTTTACTTTAAATTACATTACATTACATTACTTACATGTGTATACATATGCAAATGAATGAATATATATAGAGAGAGAGATAGATAGATAGATAAATAGATAGATAGATAGATAGATAAATAGATAGATAGTAGATAGATAGATAGATAGATAGATAGATAGATAGATAGTGAACATACATATATACAGTGCGCCCGCAGCTTGGGTATGACCTTTGGCACTGGCGCTGACAACGCGTTGCGACGACGGATTCGCGATGAGCCCTGGCCCCCTTGACAACACATTGTGACGACACACTGTCTGACGACACATTGCCCCCTGGCTCCCTGACAACACACTACCCCTTGACGACGTATTGGTATCTCCAAGCAAGACTGGCAGTGGGTTCCCTGCGAGCCCCAAGGGCAACTGACTATAAATAATTTCCAACTGTGATGCTTTCTTTCCCGTACGTCTTGGCAGGGTGCCTGCTTCCATCGCTATGCTGGCTGTCACGGTACATGTTTCAAGTTTTGTGCTTCAGCCGGTGGTTGACCAGGAATTGCAGCTGCTATATGCCTCTGTGAAACGAACTCTGTGACAGTGTGGCTTCACTGCCGTGGCTCTACCTCTCGTTCCTTGTGCTCTTTTTTTAGCTTAATGACATCAGAACAGCTGCGGGACCTTTCCTTCATTGGCTGCAAATCATCTTCGATCAGCTACTCTTAGTCAATGAATCCCGGGCCGCTCCTATCCACTGCCGCAATCTCATTTTCATATCATCATCGCCATGATGGCGCAGGTGGCCCACAAAGCATTTGACATGATCATGTTGGTCTGTGCCATCCCTTCTTCACTTTCCTCACAGCGCCTGCGTTTGCATCTGGGTCTGGCCCCTGCCAAAAATGGGTCCACATGTCAAAGCCTGGCCTGACTCACTCCCGTTCTCATGCAGAGACAGGACCATAAGGTTTTTGCAAAGATGGAGTTTTCATGTCATGCTGAAGATCATTACCAAAAAAAACTTCCAAGCCTTACCATTCAAATCCGGCACTTGCAGATCAACGGCATCACACTGGAAAACGCAATGAACATCCCGGATTGCCTTTTTTTTCTCCGACACCGACCGTAAGATACCCCTTTGGACCGCCCAGGGAGGTTCACTCCTTGGAAAAACATGCGAATTCAAAACTATTTCCTAGGGCTCGGGCCTATCAACATAGAACAACAATGATATTAAATCTTGGAGATGTTAGCTATAAGATCCATACTACATCAAAAACCAATTTAAAAAAATACTTGTCTCCCATCTCATGAACTTCGGTCATATTTATCCAACATCTCAAAAGGTTTATCCGTTTTTCCTGTCCCCTAACCCCCCTCCAAAACAATCCTAATGCCGAATCCGCGCCCAATTTTTAATCCTGTCCCCTAACCTCCTCCTCAAATCGATTTTACATATGCCCCAGATCCAAAAAATAAAATCCAGGTTCCTCAACCTAGGGCGTTAGAGCATATTACATGTATATTACTATCTATATTTCAAAAAATATCCATGTAATAAACCTTAGGCTGTGCAGATGTAATCAAATTTGGGTGGTTATTGTATATATTTTTCAAACTGAACCTACAGGAAAACAGTAATAGTAAAAACGGGCATCATATGGAGATGAACATTGACAAAAAGGCCTCTTGCTCCTCGCCGAGGTAAAGAAACAAAATGCATATATATATATATATATATACATATATATAGATAGATAGCTATATAAATATAATGTATTTATATATATATGTAAATATATATATATATGTCAACATATATATATATAAATTATTTACATGTGTTTAAATATACATACAGCTATATTCATACAACTATGTATATATATATATGTATATATTCATTTATTTCCTTACATATATATATGTATATATATATATTAATTTATTTATTTGCATATATATATATATGATTATATACATATCTTTGTACTATAAATCCTCTCCCATGGAGTGACCCCCCAGCTGAAAATCCCAGCGGCTCTTCATCCCAAGGCCTGATGCAAAATGGGGTTCAAATGGGGTAGGGGATCTATAGTGGGATTTAGTTATTGGGAGTTAATGGCATTTCGTGGGATTTAATGGAACTCATTATTAGTAAACAGATTTATTGAAAATCACCCTCTAGTAATTTAACGGTTTGCTATAGAACACCATCTGCGTTTCGGGGTATGATAGGGATATACTCGAATATTACAGTACTTGAATATGGATGGACTATTGACTATTGGTTAATACTCCGGTAATAACAAAATAGTTTGCCAACTGGACAAGTCGCATTTTTAAGACGTGAATCATCGAACTAAATGGGCCCATGGCTTCCAGAGCAAACGGCTCTGAAGTACTGGAGGGCATTGATCATTTCACGAAGATCTGTTCATAATTAGTGATTCTCAATGGGACATGTTAGTAGTCTCACTATATACATGTAATTTTTATAGGGCTAGATATTGATTCATGTTGCAATAGTTTTGTGATGAGAAAGACATGTGGAACATCATCAGCCCACCCTCAAGTAAACTAATATAAGTATGGCTATGGAAAATCAACATGTTTTATGGGTAAATCGGTAAACCTGCCAACTAACTAAATGGCCATGTTCAATAGCTACATAAGTTTACCACACAGTATGCATTGAATACATTGGCTGCACCCTCCATGCGGGGACCATTAGTGGATCGGATTGTCCGTTTTACCGGGTAAGACTCCCAACCTCAGAAGCTGGAAATCCCACATGTTGAAACATGTTCTGCTATGGGATGCTTGGGTAAGTGTTTCTGCTATAATATGTTTAAATATATGTAAAAAAACACTTGTTATTTGATATTAATTGTCCCATTTTTTCGAGATGTGGAACCAAATTCATGTGATGGCCCTAATATATGTGCACATATGGATAGAGAGAGAGAGAGAGATATATATATATATATTATAAATCTATTAGTCACATTCATTGGCTTATCTACCGATTGATTTCTTGCTGCGAACTGGGGAACCCAGTTCAAGCTGTTGCATTCAAAAATACTCAGCCACAAAAAACCTTGTGATGTCATCTGCTACAAAAATGGTATCCTACCCAATTAAAGAGCCCTGGGTGAATGACACATTAATACATCATATTATACAATAAGTTGATATTCATGAGGGCTTGGATTTCCACTTGTAGATTACTTGTCAAGAGCGGAGACTATTTTTTTGCGCACATCACGTAGGACACAGTCTCCCAGCTGCGGGGTGCTGAATCAGCAAACTACTACCAAATTTGAACATCTGGAAATCCTTAGTATCCTCTGGTTGATGAATCTAGGTTGCTAGATGGCTCTGTGCAAAATACTCCTGAAGATGCCGCCGTCAAAAACATTTAGCTTCGTGGAAGATTAAGCCAATGGTCGATCACAAGTTTCCCCAATTGCATAGAAATGCCACAGGGGTACCCCACTGTCAAACACACCCAAATATCATACGGTTTGTTGCACAAGTTTCCCATTATATCGCCAGTATATCCCCCTTCTACCATTTATATCTAATATATCCCCAACATCTTCCCTTATCTCCCCATAAAAGTCATGAAAACCCCCAGATTTCCGAAAAAGATCTCTTCCCGCAGGCAACAAATCCCATGAACGTCTTCGCCTGGTGCAAGCTGTCCATCGGCTCGTGAAGAGAGAGATACTGACCGCCAGCATCAGTGGAGGAATCAAGTCCACGTTGTTAGCGGCTCCACCTGAGCCATGGCACCGTGGGAATTTCAAGGCCATTTTTCTTGGGATAATTGGGATATGGGGCAATATAATATAATATAATATAATATAGCTAGAAAATTAGTTAGAAAATAGTAACTTAGTTCACTGGAACTGCACTTCCAAGTGCAAAGTTGAGCCAACTGTCCAACCATTAAGGTGGATAGACCTAGGGATTTCATGGGAATGTCTGCTACCGTGGGACTTTACAGGATGTGACATATACCATCCGGAAATTTGACAAAGCTATGGACATGGGAATTACCTCTTAAAATTGGTGATTTTCCATGGCAAACTGTTAAATTGCCAGAGTGTATGTACACCCAAAATGTCCCATCCCATGACATAATGGTCGCTTTTATAATGGCCATGAAAGTTGAGTTCTACCCCTGAAATACACTCGTCGATTAATAGTGACTATGAGACGTTTGTTTGTTTGATCCAAAATAATCCGGGTACTTTTGCCCCTCCAATTAGTATATCTTATATTATGCTTTACCAATTGCCATTTATAACCAATCAACACGGTTTATTTTATGATCTTTAATGGCTCAGAATTAATTGACATCGTGAAGTACAGAGACATAGAATGAGGGATCTTAATGGGCAGCCCGTCAATGTGAGTAGGAGAATTCCAGCGCTCAGGATGCTCAGGGAAAGGGATTACAAATCAGTAGAAGTACTGCTTTCCTTCACTGATAAATCTGATAATTGCCCCCCTTAGGGTGACAAAGAGCTTGAAGCCGAACCGCCAGGTTTGCAACCGCCGAACCGCCGGGATTTGGGGGTTGATCATTGATCCTCAATTTCCAACCGATCTGGGCAAACTACTGGACATTGATACCTCATTTTGGGCATGTTTCTGCTTGCTACTTGCTTAGCAAGTGGGGCGACAAAAACCCATAAACATCCATAAACTATATAAACCAAATATTCTAGTCAGGGGACTTACCAACCAGAGTTATTAACCAGCTACATCCAGCTACTGTACTGAGTGAGCCCAGGTTGCCACCCAGCTGCTGATGAATAGCACGCAGGCCACGCTCATCTGCTTGAAACTGGACAGCATGGCTGCGGCACCAATCATGGCATAGATGCCATTGCTTGCGAAGTCCATGCTGGGAAAACATTCGCTCAAACAACCTGAGGATCTGCTGATTTCAGCTCATCAACTTGAGGAATTTCTTTGTGCTATCTTCGCCAATGGAAAGTAAAGATCTTTGAACCAAAGCAGGTCCAAGTCACATCCCATTACGCGCCCCGCCATGCCGCCAATAACCATGGTCCCTGTGAAGTTCCCCGTGGGCACCGGGACCCCCGTGAAGGCCACGTTCATTGTGAAGTAGGTCAGGAATGCGATAGCCGAGGCGCGACCCGTCATCACGAAGTTGTCGCGGTTGAAGAGCCTCATCGGAAGATCCATCGCTGGTTGGTTAGCTTCTGGTAGACTAAGGTAGCTAAAATCAGTAAATGTTTCTACCTCTGCATTATTAATTTCGATACAGTAGTTATGTTGGTTTGGTGGACGGTAAAAGAGAACCATGATACCCTGGTCGCAGAAACCGTAAGAATGGCATGATGGTGAAGATTCCCAATGATCATTTTTGGAGATCGACATGTGGCATTCGCATATATATATACAATAATAAATGATAATAAATGATAATAAATGTATAATATATAATATAATATAATATAATATAATAATATATATATATTCAATATATGTATATATATAATATATATATATACTTACTGTATCGTTTGCCTTCTGTATAGCTTTATACCCACACTGTTCACTCTCCATAAATACTTGTTTTTTTTCCAGCGTGGGCAGGTCAACCCTTTCAGCCTTCGCACCAAAATCATACGACATTCCGTCCAGTAAATGAACATAGACGTGGAAAGTAATCTTCCAAACCCCCTATTTGGCGGCGTCTGAGTTAGTTGGGGTGGTAATATGGCTTGTCTCTGATGTGCATTCCCCCAATTCAACCGGTCCCATAGGTATTGACCCATCCCCAACTGTGGCAAATGGAGGCGACAATTTCACAGCCCCATCAGGTGTAGTCAGAAGCCTCAGCATTTGCGAAGGTTGAAGCCATCACAGGAGATCTCAAGAGACGTATGCCAGATAGACTCCAGGTGTTCGACATACTCAAATCAAATATTCTAAGCGTGGGTGTGTCTGAAATTGGAGTATACTCCCCAGCAATCTAAATGGTCAAAGTGATGATAATTTCCTGAATCTTAAGGCACCAAACCCACAGAAATTGATTAAGATCAAAAGTCGAGTGCCACGCTCTGAACAATTCAATAAGGTGTTTACACACGTGGTAACAATGATAACATCTACAAAAGAGATGAAAAATAATTGCCATCATAACTCATGACGACAAACTGACACAATACGATAACAGTTGTGTTTGAAGTAGTACGAATGATTAATGATGTTAAAGAACAAACAATGACAATACCCTCTGGGTATTTAACATAGCTATAGAAAATCAGCATTTTTAATGGGAAAAACAACTATAAATGACCATTTTCAATAGCTATGTTAAATTACCAGAGGGTATATAGTTTATGGCACTCCAACCTCGAAGCGTTTGCTTGGAATGCACCACAGCAACACACAACTCTGCCAGTTCTCGTCCTATGGGCCTATGGGTCAAGGTTGTCAAGATTTGTTGGGCCAAGTTTGATTGCACGGCTAAACCCCACAAGCCACAAGCAACATATATATATACATATCCAATAGTGAAACCGTCCACTAGTATATATGCAGATTTGGTGCAGTTCCATCTTACCCTCAAGGTTTCCACACATGAAAACTGGAACATTTAACAAAACCAAAATGGTCAGACCAAAAAAACTCCGATATCATACCAACTTGTGCATACCCATAATGGGCAATTGTGGGATCCTACTACTAGTACTGGTGTAAGTCAAAAACGTACTTGAACGAGGCCTCCCAACCAACTCCTGCACACATCAAAGTCATCAAAGAGTCTGTGGATATACACGCATAGATATTATGGCTTTGTCTCAAGATAGGGCAATTACATGATATTACATGTAATTACCCCACAAATCCGTTGGTTTCTCATTAGCTCATCAAGATTCATCAAGTAAAATGGCCATAAATTGAGGGGAAGGGGCCCCTTCGCGATGCTTCGCGACCAACTTGAAAGCCCAAGCTACCAAATGCTTGAGAAATCTCCACCATGTTTTTGGCCGTGAGTCAAAGGGGGCACGCGGCCCAAGACACACTCTCCACATGAACTCGCGTAGATACTGAAAATTCACCACTTGCAAATGAGTTCTACAGAGAAACATGAGTCTCCTGCATCTTTTTTGTCAACTTCAGTGCAACCTCGCCCAACCATACAGTCGATAAAAATCCCAAAGTCACAGCCGGAACAGCTGTGCCCAGCAACAATGATGCCACCGGATTGAAGTGCTGTGCCGGGCAGTCAAATTGGACGGAGCTCAGTTTCTCTCCGGAACTCGGCGGAAGCGGCGAAACGGAAACAGTTGGAGGTATCAAAATGATTCAATCCACCATTATCATATTGAGTTTGATTTTTACCAAAACAAAATATAGGTATACATAACTTGCAAAAACAGGGGCCTTGACCAATACGACAAACCGAAATTACAACCTACCAAAATCATATTCCCAATAAAATGGGCACTCACAGAAGAAATTCAACACATTTCACCAGGAGTTTCTGAAGAAGCATCTAGTGAATCTAGTGTGACTTTTGACAATAAACCAATCATTGGGGCATCTATTGGGCCGCTCAAACACTCCCGTGAAAATCCGGGGGCATGACCACCCTCCACGGGTGTGTGCGACATGGATTCATGGCTAACCTTAGATATGAATGGATATGCGAAGTTTCCTCAAGTTCCCTAAAAATGACCATGTATCCACTCACCCACCAAAAAAAAACATATGGATTTTGAGAAAACCGCCTTCCAAAAAAAAATGGCGGATTCCATTTTTTGTGTCATAATGAGTGTGATGGAGGGGTTGGGTTTTATTGACAGATCTGTAAATTCTCAGGGACACCCCCCCAAACCGGCCAAGCTGCAGATTGTGCGCCTCGGAAGGAAAACACCTGCCCAAGAAAGTTGTTTCGAAATGGTTTCGAATCACTTCAGGGAAATGATTGTTACCATTCTCAATGGATTTGTTTAAGGGAAAATTCACAGGAAAGAAGAGTTGTACCATCAACTATAAAAAATGTAGAGGTTTCCTCTAAATTATCCCTTAAACTTAAAACCAATCCAATGACATTCAATTGATATGGGAGTTAAGCTATGAACACAGGGATTTTGAAAAGTCAAATTTTGATTCAACCAAGCAACATAATTGTTTGGAAGCAAGCCAAGCATGGGCCTTTACAGCCCTGAAACAAATACATAACAGCCATCGAAAGCGAGTTTGGAATATTATTTCCCGACATTCTTGGATGTGGAAATCCTCAAGAAAATAGGTCCACAATGGAATACCTTCGAAGAACAATGGCCGGAAAATCTTGGGTGTCTACCATGCATGAAATCCAAGTAAGTCTTCAAATGGTTACATCTCAAATATGGATTCAAGATGGTTCAACCTGCATTTCTAGTCGTGGTCCATGGGCACCCATGTTCTTGTTGCTGCTTCAAATCCACATGCATTGCTCAACTTCCTTCTTTCCTTGTCAAATCTGTGTTGTGGCTGTTTAAAATGGCTAAAGTCATCTAAAGCCCTGGTTTGGGCAGGTGCAAATTGAAACTTTGTTGATCAAATGTCTGCATTGTTAGATTGGGTCCTGATGGGCCAACCCACATTTTACAATATATGACTAAATCCCCAACTTTGGATAAATCCCCATCGATGGCGAACTCCCACCCAGATCCTGTGGTGAATTATAGTATTGCGTTGGTAGCTGAAAATGGGGCACCTACTTCCATCCTGTGGCCTTAAAACCTTACTTCGGCCATCAAAAATCATCATTTTAAAATGGCTAATTTTATACTTCAATTCTCCCAAGTACTGGAAGTTGTATTGCCATATTTCTACCCTTTTTTTGGATGGTAAAAAGTCATTTCCCTGTTCCCTAAGTATTAACAGTAATAAAGCAACAGCAAACCATCCCCAAAATTCACCATTTCTACCGGTAGTATAAAGCGTCAAACTATGGATGGCTTATGACATTTCTTTACTAATAATAAATCTGGGTAAATTATAATATTTCACTAACCTGAATTAAGGCCATTTTGGGATGATTCCCCTTATTAACCATGATTCCAATGAGGTCGCAGTGAGGTCGTTATAATTTACCCAGATAAATGCCTAGACTGTTGGCATCTTCAAACCCTTTCGCCTTGAGATCCACGAGGTGAAGCCGGTGATTAGCGCACAGAACATGGCGAAGAGGGTGGCATCAGCGATTTTGGCCTCGCTGTTCCCAAGGATTTTTTTTAAAGAAAAAACAGGTGTCCGGATATAGAAACAAGTGGTGTTTTTTGCAGTTTACTTGGGTATTAGTATAATTGGGTACAATAATGGGGGTGATATAGGCATTATGGATCATAATGGCTAGCTATACAGGTAGTATCTTTGATTAGGGCCTTGCGGTTTAGGAAATTCCATCTACTTTAGGGTGATTAATATAATGGGTACATATTCATACATATTCAATAAATGAATATAAATGATCGATAGTTGGGTATGAAAACTTCACAATAGGTACACTGCAGGCATATTATTGGTATCTAAGAAAGGTCCAACGGTCCCCTAGAGCTTACCCCTTGCCAATTTAAGAGGGTTTGTGAATCTGGGGTGTTGGAGAGACTTCGGGTATGCTCCAGAGCCATGTTCAATCCAATTTAGACAGTAGGAAAAAAACGCATAGTTGTATGATATGTAAATCATGAGGATGAGCATATGCTAGGTATATCAATATTTTTCATAGAACATAAAACTGCGAAATATAATGTGCATAATTATGTAGCGTGCCCGGGACGTGATTGGTGTATCTAAATATATTGTGCAAGTGTGTGTGTGTGGGCAACTGTGATACATCACCACCGAAGGGTCCGTCAATGTGGGTGTTGCTTTAGAACCCCCATGAACTATAGCCATATTTGCCAGAAACCATGGTTATATATGGTGATATTAGTTATAAAGAGCTATAAGTGACAACTCACTTAGCTAACTATGGGGCGCCAGCTTGTATTTTCATACGGACACGGATATGAATTATATGATGTTATCTGCATATACATCTGAAACCCCAGTACCCAGCCGACAACCACAGCCAAAGAAACCCAAGGTTGACACGTCCGAAGCCGCGTTTCCTACGGCATTGCGATTTCCGTCCAAACGAAGCGGGGCTTCACTGAGGAATGCTGCTCTTAGACACCAAGAAATGATATAATATATAAATATATATATATATGTATAATTACATGTAGCCTAATGCTAGTAAAGCAATGTCATGTGTCATGAACCAGCAATATGTTGCATCCATTTCTGGTACATCGATCGAAGATGTGATAAGAAACGGGGGCGATTTTTTACACAGCTTAATATGGGTTAATAATTGTTAATACACTAATATACAGTTCGCATATACACCATATTTCAAGATAGTTCAATATATTTCATGTCGTACTGAGTCTTTCTTGTCTTTCTCTCTCTCCATTGCCATCTCCAGGAGTCTAGCCTTTCTCGTCTTTACCCGTGCAAATTGGAATAGATGTATGCACATCAACATCAACATTCATCAACTGAATGGCTGCCAATCGCTTCGTATGTTTGAAAAACACACACACACACACACCCACACACACACACACTAGACAAGAATGGATCATTATATGATCCGGCAGGAACTGAATCCTGAAACGTGCAGATGAGATACGAAACAATGAAATTAACGAAGCATCCTACGAATAATAGAAGTTCTCCTGAATGGTTTCCATGTCCAAATTCGTCATCAACAAATATAGATCGGCGACGTGGTTTTGACAAAGTAATCCAAATGCATCGGCGACATGGTTTCGGCGAAATAATCCAAAAAACCAGTGGTAGTGTCGGCGACAAGGTTTCGGCGAAAAACTGAGGAAGGTTCTGATGCATGTAAATGTCAAAATTGTTTCCAGATTGCGTCAACAGTGCAGCAAATTGTATAACATTGTTGTTGGGGTTCTAAGCTTGGCCCCTTGCTATGTCCGAAAAAAGCAGGTACAAGTGGTTGATCAGACCACTCATCCACCGAAATGCCATAGCTTCGTTGGACTGGATAGGCAAATCGGCTCCAGTCCCCCTGCATTGAATTTAGAATTAGAAAGGGAGAGGACAAAGGAAGAAAAAGAGAGAGAAGTTTTACATCTATTTAGATGTTACACACACACACCCGGCCGGAGCCGGGTCAACCCTGAAAGGCAAGAGGAAGAAAAAAGCGGACACACGACGGGCAAACGGCCAAAAACAGCGCAGGGGGGGGAGGGGAACAGACGGACCTCCGGAACCAACCTACACGGCGAAACAGACCTGACAAAAACAGCGCACACACCTAAACCCCACGACACATTACGGAGAGGCACGCGGGGAAAATTAGGGACCACATGGGGGACTAGTTAATGACAGGCAAGAAAACCAAAACAATTAATTAAAGACAGGATCCAGCTCCTAAACCTAAAGGTCGTGCGTTGTGCCAATCCAGGCCCGTGTTCCAGTCAGCCACAAGGGCATAAAACGGCTTTCAAGTTCCAACGAATTAGATGCACAAAATGTTCAACCTCACCAGACAACCATCACACACACACACACTTGAAAGACCGTATCTCGTCTATGAGTCTTTTCATTCCCGATAGGGCACCTGAACTGATTTTGCTGTTTACATGCATAGTTCAGGAAGGCCGTCTTTGTCCACATTGGACAAAAGTCGCAGAAATGGGTAAATACTGAAAAATGCGTAACGGACTCCGATTTCTCGAATTATTCATGCATATGACAAAATCCGCCCACACCGCTTTGGCGGTGAAGGCGTGCTTATTGGGGGGCAACAGCAACACTAAATGCTCAATGACATTTGTTAATATAGCAGTCGCTATATCAGCTTTAGCTGGGGGGGGGGGGCCAAAAACGGTTTCGCACCGAGACCAGACCCCAAAAACGGTTTCGCACCGAGACCAGAATACGGTGGTGTTTTCGACATTTTTCGAGGATTTTTGGGTGTCTGAGCGCAAGAGGGTATTGAAATGGAATTTTGGGTCATTTTGGTAGCTTTCCGGCAATGGAAAAACGGCCAAAAATGAAAAAAACATTGTACATAGCAAGATTTTGCAGGGTTTTTGGATGCCAGAGCATTGAAAACACTGCAAAAACAAGTGTTTTGGACTGACGTTATAGCAAAAAACGTGTAAATTACCGTATGCTTGACTGGAAACATTACAAAAACACTGTCAAAAGCAATGTTTTGGAAGGATTTACTGCCTTTATGGCAAAAAACGTGTAAATTACCGTCTGTTTGACTGGAAACATTGGAAAAACACTGTCAAAAACAATGTTTTGGAAGGATTTCTTATTGAAACTTCTTAGCTTGAAGAGCTCCCACGGGGGAAAACCACCCTTAGCCCCTCTCACGGACCGAAATAAACCTGCGGTGTGGGCGGCCACCCCACGCGAAGCGGGGTGAATAACAACCGGAAAGTCATCAAAAAGCTTGGATAATTAAAGAACATCGTGGCCAATTGCAGGTACGTCAGGGTGATCAGCCCTGATATCCCATCCAAGACCGTAGCTTCGTTGCACACGGTGGGTCAAGGATGCCGTGTGCCCCTGCTTGTAAATTGGGAACTGTAACTAAAAATTGGACATGTGATGAAAGCCCTTCGGAACAGGGGTTGCCCCCACACACAAAGGCCGTATGTCGCGAAAATATATCATCCGTTGCTTTCAGCAACGGTGATCTTGAAAATACTGTTCCAGCGAACTTCAAAATGATTCCATGGCGAAAGTCTGAGAAACGAATCAGGAAGGCATTACAAGAATGGGCCAACATACAGGCAAGAAATGTAATGACAAAAATACAATGACAAAAATGCACTTCCATGAACAAATCGGGGCAAAACGGACAGCAGCAATACTTACTTGCGCTGGTTGAGTGCTTGATCGACGTCAGGTTGGGAAAAAACCTTTCTGTACATATAAGACGCCCAGCTGCGTCAAGCTACTGGAAATCAAACTGGTCGGATACGTGTATTTTCGAATTAAATGAGCCCGGCTTTTCAATCCACTCATTCTGAGTCGGAGTGACCCCTGCCTGTAAATTGGGAACTGAAACTAAAAATTGGACATGTGATGAAAGCCCTTCGGAACAGGGGTTGCCCCCACACACTAAGGCCGTATGTCGCCAAAACATAGTATCCGTTGCTTTCAGCAACGGTGATCGTGAAAAAACTGGTCCCGCAAACTCCAAAGTGATTTCATGGCGAAAGTCTGAGAGGCGAATCAGGAAGGCATTGCAAAAAAGAGCCAACATAGAGGCAAGAAATGTAATGACAGAAATGCAGGTCCATGAAGATATCGGGGCAAAACGGACAGCAGCAATATTTAGTTGCGCTGGTTAAGTGCTTGATCGACGTCAGGTTGTGAAAAAACCTTTCTGTACATATAAGACGCCCAGCTGCGTCAAGCTACTGGAAATCAAACTGGTCGGATACGTGTATTTCTGAATTAAATTAGCCCGGCTTTTCAATCCACTCATTCTGAGTCGGAGTGATCCCGCAGAGACGCAATCTCTAATCTGACGAATGTCAGGTTGAAGATATTCAACAGTCTAGTGCGTCTTTCAACGTATTATTCGAATTAGATGAGCCCGGATTTTTGAGTCCACTCATTCTGAGACGGGCAGATCCCGCGGATACACAATCTCGAATTTGGTGCACATCGGGTACTGACTCAGGGTCAGAAAAAGGAAACACAAGTGCAGGCAGAAAGCGACAAGTTCACAGGTGGTCAAAAAACCTCGGATACCGGGTGACCCCCCACTTGAAAGCCGTTTTGTCGCAAACAATCATCGTAACGTGCTGTTTCATCTAGTTGAAAAATACGGTAAGTGGAGAAAACGTCGGATCGATTAAAACTTTTCTGTACATATGCTAATGCGAAAAGGCTAACTGTGATTAAAAATCCGGTGGAGACTTGGACTATGAAAAAATGCGAAACAAGCTTGCACAACGAGGAAAAAGGCAGGGCCAGACACTCAATGTGTGAGGCAGGATGAGAACGCAACGAAAAACAAGTTCCAGTTCAACTGGACTGCCACTTAAGTCCAAGTCTGTAAAGACTTGAGAAACGGAGGTCTGAAGGTGGTCTTTTCTGTACAATGAGAAACTTACTGTCGAATTATCAACGTATCTGACTACAAGATGATCGAAACAAGGTTGAGTCAAAATTTGAAATGTACTGCTCCACGACCGTTCGTTGTGGTCATGGCCAAATTCGACAGTGTCAAAGATGTCTGACTTCCGACTCCTGCACTTCTAATCTGACGCAAAATCCAAATCAGTGCGGAACAAGTTTGCACAATGGAGAAATCGCAATGGCGAGACATGTCAATGTCTGAAGATGGAAATCCTGTCTGTACATACAGCGGTGCTAATTCATGCAAAAAGTTCGGGTTTGTGACTACGAGTATTGAATTAAATGAGCACGACTTTTGAGCCCGATGCACCATGAGAGTGCAACGAAAACAAGTTCCAGTTCAACTGGACTGCCACTAAAACCCAAGTCTGTAAAGACTTGAGAAACGGAGGTCTGAAGGTGGTTTCTGCTGTACAATGAGAAACCGATTGTCGACGTATCGACGCAGCTGACTACAAGATGTTCGAAACAAGGTTGAATCAAAATTTCCGAAACGTACTGCTCCACGATCGTTCATTGTGGTCACGGCCAAATACGACAGTGTCAAAGAGGTCTATAACTTCAGAGTCCTGCACTTCTAATCTGACGGACATTCAAATCAGTGCGTAACTAGCTTTCACAATGATTTGCTGTTCCCTTTGTTCAGGGTCTTGTGGCACATCTAGGGTCTTGAGATTTTGAAGGCTCCTGCAGGTTTCAAAACCAACTGTTTTTGACACAAGGCATTGGCCCATGACTTTGCTGATTTGATAGTCAAGCTGTCATGACATGACATGACTTTGCTCTTGAGGCCATGGGTTTGAGTCAACAATGGCTCACAAACCCGCGGGTCACACATTGTGTGCTCGTGTGCGCTGAGAAAAAGTATATACATATGATATATATATATATATATTTACAATTATTATATATATATGTAATTATA